TTGCCTGGGAATCTGCTCCATCCCACGGGATCTCCCTGCCTGGACAGCCTGGCTGTTGATCCCAGTCAGGCTCGGACCAAAGCTCGGTTTAGAAGGGCACCAAGGGCCAGGAGGGGCTGGGAATGCTCAGTTATCCCAGGATGGCTCCAGACAAACCTTCCCTTCCCAACGGCCCCGTCCTTGCTGCTCTGCCAACTGGGAAGGGAAAACAGGGAAAAAAGCCTGCCAGGAGCCTGGACTGAAGCACTGCCTCGCTTCCCACTCCCATGGGATACAGGACAGGATCTGCCTCAGCATTCCATGGAGGCAAAGCTGGAGCTCGAGGATTGAGCTGCCAGGGTGCTCCAGGTGAACTCCAGGTGTTCCCAGCATTCCAGAGGAGGCACCTGGCAGGATTTAATCCCCAAGCTTCCAGAGTGTCTGCACAGCCTCCCCCGGGATCCAGGCTGGGACAGGGATCTGGGATGTGTCTGAGGGAGGAATCAGCTGACGTTGTGAGACAGCAGAGCTGCTCCCCACGAGAGGGAGGGCAGGGCCCGGCATGGATCCCATCCCCCTGTTTGCCGGGAATCCCAAGGGCCCAGCGACCTCCAGGCTTTGCTTTCCCTAAGATTTCAAACCAAAAACACCCCAAAAGATGAACCCCATAAAGAACATCAAACCCCCAGCAATGACCAGGATCAAACCCAGAATTCCAGGGGGACAAACCATCATTTTTCCCTTGCAAACAACAGGATGCAGAGCCTGGACAGGGGGACCATCTCCTGCCCCAATCCCAGAGCTCCAGACCTTGCCCTAATCCCAGAGCTCCAGAGCTGCCATGAGAGGGCATCTCCTGCCCTAATCCCAGAGCTCCAGACCTGCCCTAATCCCAGAGCTCCAGACCTGCCCTAATCCCAGAGCTCCAGAGCTGGCAGGGCTTGGCAGGACGTGGAGTGCTCCAAGCTGGGATCTGGCTGTTGCCAAGGAATACTGGGCATGTGGGAGTCGCTTCCTAAAGGGCCCCTGGGATCGCAAGGGAGTCATGAGGACACCTCAAAACAACCCCCTACTACAGCTCCAGGCACGGCATCCCTGGGAAAGCTCCCTGCAGCTGCTCCCTGGCATTCCAGGTGTGCTCCACCACGGAGCAGGTGCTCCCTGGCATTCCAGGACTGATCCACCACAGAGCAGGTGCTCCCTGGCATTCCAGGTGTGCTCCAGGAGCCCAAACTCAAACATCCTCCAGCACCCAACAGGCAAGACAAACAATGGGAGAGGAAACTCAGAATCCCAGCCGGTTTTTTGGGGATAAGACCCACCCAGCCACCAGTAAAGACACGGAATTCCACCCATCAGGCAGCAGGGATCCCCTTGGAAGTTGCCATTTAGGCACAGAGCTCGTTTTTTGGTGCAGTGTGCTCAGGCTGGGCAGAGATTTGTGGGTTTCAAGTTCTCCCAACAAGGGGCACCCCCCCAGCCACATTTACCTGGATTTATGGCTCAAGCCCTGACCTGTGCCAGCATTTCTGATGGCTCTGGGAAGAGAGGGGGGCTCTCCCAGTTCTGGAAGGGGGCCTTTGCCACATCCCTGTGCATCCTGAAGCGTCCCCACCCGGCTCCCCCCACCCCCGGGGGCGACACGGGGCAGGAGGAATCCCAAAATCCTGAAATCCCGCACTCTGACCCCTGGCAAAGCTGTCCAGAAAGGCCTGACTTTGATAAAAACCCCCAGCACAACCAACCCCTCCCAAAACGAGCCCTGCCAGTGCCCCCTCCGGGGACAGGCCAGGGAGAGCAGGGCCCCGTGACCCCCCTGCCGTTGCTCAACTGGCCCTGGCAGGGGTTCAGGTGGGACAGGGAGGGAGCTGCGAGCCCAGAGCAGGCACACAGAGCCATTTCCCCCACAGGTAAACTCTGCCCTGCCCTCTGCCTGCCCGCGGGGGGGGCAGGGCGGCGATTACAAAACCAAACCCGGAGCTTTGGACCTTTATTCTCCTTGACTCGGGACGAGCCTAAAATTAGCAGGGGCGAGAGAGGGGTGTGTGCCACACAGGGGGGGCCTGGGCAGCACGGGGGCCACTCACAGACAGCTGGGCACCCCTCACAGTCCCCTTCAGGCACACAAAGCAGGGTGACAACCTCCCTCTGTCCCCCAGCTTAGAAACAGAGCGCAGGGAGCACAGAATTCACCCACGGGAGCAGGGAAAGGACACCCGGCCCCGAGGTGACTGCCCGGCCCAGGGGAAGGGAGCAGGAACAGCGAGCTGTGCCCGCTGTGGGGAAGGATTTGGGGTGAAAAGAGCCCGGCTGGGGCACCCCAGGAGCTCCCGCTCGCTCCGCCCCGGGCCCGGTTTCCGGGTAGTAACAGAGCAGCCAATCGGCGGAGTTGGGAGCTCCTCTCCAGGCCTCTTCCCTGCAAACTCGGCTCCAAGGCCAACCCTCGGGCCTCAGCCGGGGGGCACCGCCGAGGGGAACCCCCATCCTGCCATTCCGGGGGTTGGGGGGCACCTGGAGCGGCCTGGGACGAGCCGGAGCTCTTCCCGCAGGGATAACGGGAGGGCGCCGGGAAGCGCGTCCAGAGGGGGGTTTGGGGGGCACAGAACGTTCCCTCCGTCATTCCCGCCTCCCTCCCCTCCCTCCCGGCACTGCCCCCCACCCTGAGGGGGCACAGCCCGCCCGGGAGCCCCCCGGAGCGGGAGGGAGGGAGGGAAGGTGGCTGCCCCTTTTCCCAGCTCAGCACCACGAGCCGGATCGGGCCCGGACAATGAGGGACTCGAGTGCCACACAGCCAGGCCAGGATCACCAAAGCCCAGCCCAACAACCCCCCCAGGGCACGGGCACCTCTCCCCTCCCCTGCTCACAAAGAGGGAGCCACAAAAGGCCCCGGACGTGTCGGGACTGAAAATGGGAACGGCCAAGGGAGCTCAGGCGGCTCCCAGAGCTGCCAGAGCAGGGAAGGCAGGGCGTTATTCCCCCGGGAAAAGGTGGCCCTTGGCAGGCCACGAATCCATCAATCCATCCCGTTATCCCCCGCTGGAGACACGGGGAGGGATGAAAAGAGACAACGTCGCGAAAACGGCGGGGAAGAAAGGTGGGGAAAGCCCGTAACAAAAAGCTCCCCGGAACAACAAAAAGCCTGGCAAAAGCCGGGAGGAGCCGCCTCGGGGACATTCCTTCAGAGCAATCCCGGCCCCCGGTCACCACCGAAGGGTCCAAGGGAGCCCGACTGCAGCTTCCAGGGAGGGAGATTCCCCAGGGAAGCGGCGGAGCCGGGGCCTGGAGAGCTGCGGGCGAGTCAGGCAGGCAAACAAAAAAGGATGGGAGGGAGGAGGGAGGGAGGGAGGAGTGGAGAGGAGTCATCTGACACATCCAACTTCCTAAGTTTGTTGTCCGCAGGAGCCCGGCTGCTCCAGCCCTCACCCCTCGCAAAACAGGGAATGCTGCGCCTCTTTTTTTTTTTTGGGGGGGTGGGGAAGGTGGGAAGGATCGTTTTGTCAAAGCAGGGGGGGCTGAAAGAGCAGAGCGCCGCGAGGAATCGCCGATATCCAGGGATTTCTGCCTGCCCGGCCGCTGGAAAACACCCGGCGGAGGCACCGGGGGAAAACCTGCTCTTTGTCTCCCAAAACGCCGCGACCGCTGAACAAAAAAAAGGGGAGGGGGGTGGAAAAATAAAGGGGGAAAAAAGAGAGGGGGAGGGGAAAGGGAAGCGGAGCAGGTCGGGGCTCGGCCCCTCTCCGGGCAGGGTATCCCGAAGGAAGGTTTGATCCCGGGAAACAGCTGGAATTGCCGACCCTCCTCCCGCCGCGATTAAAAACATCGATCGCAAGCGGCGTTCGGCGGAGTCTGACATGTGTAACTTTAAACCCCCGGATAAAAATAGCCCCGATTCGAGCACCGCCAGGAGTCATTTCCTATTTGCTTCAAAACAGGGCGAAAAACCACCCCGAGAGCAGCTTTTTTTTTTTTGGGGGGGAAAGGCGGAGGGGGCCAGAAACGCGCAGGGGGAAACGTCACGCACAAGTTTCCTTCGATAAGCCACAAACAGGAGCTGCTGCTCCTCCCTCCCCCCCCCTCCTTCCCCAAAAAACACCACCGAATCCAAGGAAGTTTGTTTATCTCTCCCTGGGAACTAAACCAGCCCCGTTTCCCGACCCCCTTCCCAAGGCACCACCAAGCCCAAATCCCGCTGGGGGAAGGTCGGGAATACCCCCCCATCCCCCCCCCCCAAAAAAAACACCCCACGTTTGATCCACTCTTGTCATTCCCAAGCCCTTTTCCCGGCTCACGCCGCCACCTTGTAAACAAAAAACTATTAATAAAACAAGCCCCAGCACCGAATTCCCGGTGATATTTTTCAACGCCACCCACTCCCCAGACGGGAGAGAGGGAGAGAGAGAGAGAGAGAAAAGGGATTCACCGCCCCGGGGGAAAGGGCCGGGGAGGAAAACAAGGAGGAAAAAATATCAACAGATAGAGAAAGGGTTGAAAAATGGGAATAATAAAGGCCAAGCGAAGCTGGAGGTTACATAAACCCCTGGGGAGACGGGCCGGGGCCGCGATGCCCCTTCGGCCACCGCCGGGCTCAGCCAGGGCCGGGGAGGCCCCCCCCGAATTCAGGCCCCGAGCAGGGCCCGGGGGCTGCGGGAGACGGGGGGGGCAGATAATTAATGACCGAAACCCCCGGCAAAGCCCTCCCCGGGCCGCGGCCGCCGGGGCTGCCCCGGCCCCCCTCGCTCTGCCCGGGCCGGGCAGGGGAGCCCCGCGCCCACCCCCGGGGGCATCGCACAGGGGGGGCTGGGGGACCCCTCCGGGGAGCCTGTGAGGGCACGGGGGGTTAAACCCCCGATCTGGGAGCGGGGTGGGGGGGTGAGGCCTCTCCCGGTGGCGGAGGGGCCCAGCGAGGGGACACCCCGACGGGGCGGGGGGGCTGTGGGGGTGACCCCCCCTCGGGACCCTCCCCCCGGCCCTGCCGCGGCCCTCCCGGGCAGGGGGGGCGGGCGAGGGCACAGCAAGGATACAGCTTGACCACGTCGGTGTCCATCCGCCTCTTGCCCGGGCTGGGGGACGACATGGTGGCCGCGGCCGCCCCCGGCGCTCCGGGCGGGCTGTCAGCGCCGCCGCGGGCCGGGGCCGCCCGGCCGCGAGGGGGAAGGCGGGCGGCGCTGCGCGGTGGGCGCTGTCGCCGCTGTCGCCGGTATCGCCGCTGTCGCCGCTGTCGCCGCCGTGCCCGCCAGGGCCCCCCCCGCCGCTCGCGCTCCCTCAGCCGCCCCGGCCGCCTCTGCCACAGCCTCTCGCTGGGCCCCTGACGTCACCCCCGCCGCGGTGACGTCACCGCCCCGCCGAGCGCCCGTTGGGCCGCCGCGCAACGCTCGGGCCGCGCCGCGCGGGGCGTGACGGGAAATGTAGTTCGGGGGGGGGGGCTGGAGTTCTGGAGTTCCATGGGCTGGATGGAGTTCCATGGCTGGAGTTCCATGGCTGGAGTTCCATGGGCTGGAGTTCCATGGCTGGAGTTCCATGGGCTGGATGGAGTTCCATGGCTGGAGTTCCATGGCTGGAGTTCCATGGCTAGAGTTCCATGGGCTGGAGTTCTGTAGTTCTATGGCAGGGTCTGTAGTTCTTGGCGGAAGGGGGGGGTAAATGATGGCAGGGCCGTGGGTTTGAGACCCTGCCCGGGCTGTGGTGCTTCCCTTTCCAAGCGTTTCCCGCCGTTCCCCGTGGGAATGGTCCCCCCATTCCCGTTCCCCGTGGATTCTGATGCCCGCCTTGCTCACCCCATGCCCGCTCTCCGTGTCCTTCCAGGGTCAGGGAGCACCCCAGCCCCGTGAGGCCCAATGGTTCTCTCCTATTCCCTGTGTTTTCCCCATTCCCTATGGATTCTGATGCCCCCCTTGCTCTCCCATCCCCACCAGGGTCAGGGAAGCTCCCCAGCCATGTCAGGGCTTCCCGAAATTCCCCATGGCTGCCCCTCTTCCCTGCACTTCTCCCCATTCCCCATGGATCCTGACCCCCTCCTTGTCCCCCCATCCCCACTTTGCTCATCCCCACCAGGGTCAGGGTCAATGGTTTCCCAAAATTCCCCAGGGCTCCCCATTTCCCTGGTTTCCCGTAATTCCACCCAGCTGCCCCTTTTCCCTGCCTCCCCCACATTCCCCCTGGATTCTGGCACCCCCCATCTCCACTTTTCCCACCCCCACCAAGGTCCAGGGACCACCCCCCAGATCCTGGGGTGCCCCTCCAACAGGGCCAATGTTCTCCCCCTTTTCCCTGGGTTTCCTCCCATTCCCTGGGGATTCTGACGCCCCCTTATTCCCCCCACATTCCTGTCCCCATCAGGGAACCACCCCCCCAAATCCTGGGACTCCCCCACGCCAGGGATAACGACATTCCCGAGCCAGGGCGGGGTGTCCGTGTCATCCCCCATTAAATCCAGGCCTTCCCGTGGATCCCACGCCGGGAATGTGGCAGGTGGAAGAGTCATATCCCGGATTTCCGGAGCGACACCGGCACAGCATTCCCGGGGCCTGCCCAGGGCACAAATGGGAGCCTCTCCAGCCCCTGTGGAAGCTCCACACCCCGCATTCCTGGCTCCAGCATCATCCCAGAAATTCACCCCAGCGCTTCCTGCCCTGGCAGGGGAGGAGACACAGCCAAGCAATCCCAAAAAGCTCCTCCATGTCATGGCCCAGCATTCCCTGAGTCCTGCTGGAGCAGGAGCTGACACACCTGAGGGGGGGCAAATCCACCCCCCCCTCCATGGATGGGAATTCCCGGGGGGAATCTGGGAGGGTTTATTCGAGCAGAGCACCTGGAAAAGTGGGGAGAGAGGATCCCCCATTTCCCCAGCCCCTCTCTCCCAGACTGGCTCCAAGGAACCCGGAGAACAGGAGGGGAAAACCAGGATTTTCTCTTTAAATTCCTTGGAATCCTCACATTCCATGGGTGAAACACCACAGCCTGGCAGCAGGAATTCTGGGATAACAGGGGCTATGACAGCATCCTGGTATTTTTTGGGGGGTGCCTTAAGGCCACTCTCGCAGTACCCAAATCCTGGGATGTGAGTGCCCAAGGAATTTTGGGATCCTCTGAGCCCTCCTGGGTCTGAAAATTGGGATGCAGGGGTTGTGTCTGGCCTTGGCCTCCCTGGAATGGGGACGTTGTCCTCCCTGGAATGGGTGAATCCCGAGTTTTTCAGGGGGGTTCCCTGATCATGGAGCCAAGGGAGGGGGAACAAGGTGGGGTCAGAATCCATGGATGGGGAATGTGGGGAACGAGGGGAGCCACTGGGAATTGCAGGGAACCGCAGGAAAGGGGGATCCATGTGGACCAGAGTTCTGGGAAGCTCCAGGAGCTGTGGGAGCTCAGAGGGGGAACCAGGGAAACCACAGGGGGCTGTTGGGAACACAGGGAAGGTCCAGGAAGCTGGAAAAGGGGCTCCTCCATGGCCAGCCCAGGCACTTCCCAGCCCATCCCCACCCCTCTGGATTGGGAATACCCCCCTCTTCATCCCAAATCCCAGCCCAGCAGGGCCATGGGGTGAGGAAGCCCCATGGAAATTGAGATCCTCTGGGGAAAGGAAGGATCCCAAGGGATTCCTGCCAGCACCCACCGAGGATAGCTGTGTCCCAGCATGGCTGTGTCCCAGCTGGGCAGGGGCATTCCCAAGTTTTGGGGTTCAGGGAGAGCAGGGATCCCGACCAAGGGCACCTGCAGCTTTCCCAGCAACTCCCAGAGAATTCCCTCAGAGGGAAGGAGGCAGGATGAGACACGGATGAAATCCCAGAGCTGGGGCTGAGGAATCCCAGGAAGGGGGTCCCGCTCCAGAGGGGGTTGGTTTGCTCCAGAAAACAGGGAATGGCAGGTCCCAGTGGCTGGGACAGAGCTGGGGGGAGGAGATCCGGCTGTGCCCGGGTTTTCTGTGGAATCTCAGCCCTTCCCAGAGCCCTTTCCCAACATCCTCGAGGACGGAGATGACAGATCAGGGTCTCCCTTCTCCTTTTCCCCCCCTCCATGAGACCCCAGGCCATGGGAAAGCCTCCCCCTCCTCTTCCCGGGTTTTGGCCACATCCCACCCTCCAATCCCAGGGATTTCTCATCCCAAAGGGGCCCCCAGGGAAATCTGCTTTGGGCAGCTGATTCCAGACCCAGGGGCCGGGAAAAGGCTGGGAGGGCGATGAATGGAGGAGTGGGAAAGCCCGGGAGGCAGATGGACACTGATCCACAGAATCCAGGGATACAGGGGCCACAGCCCATGCCCAGAGCTCATCCCACCCCTGGGAAAAAACACCACGAGAGGAGGAAGGAGAAACAACCAACCCAAACTGAAATGTTTATTCCCACCTGGAGTCACTCCCAGTGGGAAGCGCCGGACACCCCTCCGGGAACGGGAATGGGAACGGCGTCTCCTCCTCATCCCGCAGCAATCCCAGCGCTCCGAGGGCTCCCGGAGCCCCTGGAGCCACGGGGGGAGGCAGGCGGGGAGGGGGATCCTGGCACAGCTCCCTTGGGATCCCCTCCCCAGGCACGGAGCTGGGAAGTGGAGGTGCCTGCAGGGAGCTGGGAAGGGGATGTGAATGCAGGGAGCTGGGAAGGGGATGTGAATGCAGGGAGCTGGGAAGGGGATGTGAATGCAGGGAGCTGGGAAGGGGATGTGAATGCAGGGAGATGGGAAGGGGATGTGAATGCAGGGAGATGGGAAGGGGATGTGCCTGCAGGGAGCTGGGAAGGGGATGTGAATGCAGGGAGATGGGAAGGGGATGTGAATGCAGGGAGATGGGAAGGGGATGTGAATGCAGGGAGATGGGAAGGGGATGTGAATGCAGGGAGCTGGGAAGGGGATGTGAATGCAGGGAGCTGGGAAGGGGATGTGAATGCAGGGAGATGGGAAGGGGATGTGAATGCAGGGAGCTGGGAAGTGGAGGTGCCTGCAGGGAGCTGGGAAGTGGAGGTGCCTGCAGGGAGATGGGAAGGGGATGTGTCTGCCCCGGGGTGCGCTGGGCTCCAGAGGCAGAGGAATCCGGGAGGAATCCAGGAGCAGCTCAGGAGGAGTTCATGCTCTCCCACTGCCGGAAGATGCGGAACACCTTGCAGGACTTCTCCGAGAGGCTCTGGAAAAACGGGAGCAAACAGCTGGAGTCAAGGCAGGAGCAGGGCCTGACAAAGGGACACGAGGAGAAACTGCAGCAAAAGATCCACCCCGAATATCCCAGCTTGGATACCATGGACACACAGGGACACCAATTTGTTCCTTTTCTTCGTTATCCCAATTTACCAACCAGATGGAGGGGAAAAAAAACCCAAGGTGACAACAAGGAAGCAGGAAAGGCCTCCAAGGAGGAGGAACTGCCAGGAACAGGGAGAGGAGGAAGAGGATCCCAGAAGCAGGAAGGGACTCCAGGAAGGAGGAAAGGGCTCCAGGAAGCAGCTCCAGGAAGGAGGAAGAGGCTTCAGGAAGCAGGAAGCGACTCCAGGGAGCGGGAAGGGACTCCAACCATGCCCTGCTCCAGCTGGAGTTTTCCTGGCACCTGGCACAGCCAGAATCACAGATTCATGGAATGGTGTGGGTTGGAAGAGACCTCAAAGATCATCCAATTCCAACCCCCTGCCGTGGGCAGGGACACCTTCTCCAGGAGGGACACAGCTCACTGGAAGCCCCCGAGAGAAATCCTGGAGCAGGATTCCTGCTGCTTCCTCCGACTTCCCAGCAGAGCAGGAGGAATCCCAGTGGATAAGGAGGCAGGAGCAGCCACTGGGAGAGCAGTTGTGGCCTCAGCTCTGCTCCCCTGGCTTGGGAAACCCAGGAGCCAGGGATCGGGATGGCTGCAGAGCTCTGGGAACAGGGAATGACTCTGGATCTTGGGAAAGGCTGTTATTTCTAGCAGCAGGCACTGCATGGATGAATCCCGGCGAGGGGCTGCCAGGGGGGAGCTGGGGGGAGTTTGGTCCCTGTCTCCCAGCTGGGATTGAGCTCTCAAAGGAAGCCCATCCATCCCAAATTGTGCCCAGAGGGATCCAGGCCTGGAGCAGCTCCACAACACTGTCAGGGATGAATCCCGGTGAGGAGCTGCCAGAGGGAAGCTGAGACTCTGAGGGAAGTTGGGTCCCTGCCATCCAGCTGGGATTGAGCTCCCAGAGGAAGCCCATCCATCCCAAATCATGCCCAGAGGGATCCAGCTCCACACACAGCATTGCCACGGATGAATCCCGGGAAGGGGCTGGGAACTGGGACCCTGCAGACACACATTTGGTCCTCGTCTCCCAAGGCCTGGATTCAGCCCAGAGCAAGCCCATCCATCCCAAACCATGCCCAGAGGGATGCAGCCCATGGATCTGGGAATCCCTGGGAATCCCATGCTCACCACCGGCTCCGTGTCGGGCACGGCGTCGCCCCTGCGGGTGCCCAGGAGGGCGTTCAGCACCATTTTCCAGCCCGGCTCTGCCTTCCCGGGCTTCTCCGGCTGGGATGCGTCGTCGTCCAGGGACTCCTGTCCTTCCCCGCTGCTCACCCAGGGGCACCAGGCCCGGTGCTGGGAGCTGGGCTGGAAGAAGCTCCTGGGGGAAGCGTCCTGGGAACGGAGAGAAAGGGAGGGGGGGTGGGCGGTGGAATCCTTGTCCGAGCCCACATCCCCCCCTGGGAAGAACATTCCCAGCTCCGCGTGCTCACCGAGCCTCCGGAGGAGCAGAGCCGCGCCCGCTTGGCCCTGCGCACCGGGCTGGACGGCACCTCCGCCGTGTCCCCCTGGCCCATGCTCCGCGTCACCGGCCGGCTCCGCAGAGCGGGAACCGCCGCCTCCAGCTCCCCCCGCTCCAGGGAGCCGCCACAGTCCCGGGATACGGGCCGGGATACGGACGGGGACGGGCTCTTCTCCTGCTGCCGGGGGAAAATGGGAATTAGGGATGGCCATGGGCTCTTCTCCTGCTGACGGGGGAAAATGGGAATTAGGGAGCTCCTCTGGACACTTCCAGCTCCCCCCGATCCATGGAGGTGGGAGAACCCCAACCCCGTGGGTGGGACATGGATAGAGAGGGGTTCTTCTTGTTCAGCCAGGGGGGAAAACAGGGAATTATGGAGTCCATGGAGTGGGAGAATCCCAACCCCCAGGGTGGGAGATGGATGGAGATGGGCCCTTCTTGTGCTGCCAGGGGGTAAACCCATGGAACTGTGGAGATCCACGGACACCACCGTGCCGGGGGTGGGGGAATCCTGCCCAGCTCAAACAGGGGATCAGGTCCTTGTCCACCCACATTCCCTCCACACCCACATTCCCTTCCCAGCAGGAGCAACCTGGCCATGGATGAGGGAGCCCATGGGTGGTGCCGGATGAGTCCAGCCGGACAAGGACGTGGCCGGAGCCCCCGGGGTGTCCCCGTGGGGTGTCCCTGTGGGGTGTCCCCGTGGGGTGTCCCTGTGTGTTGTCCCCATGGGGTGTCCCTGTGTGTTGTCCCCATGGGGTGTCCCTGTGTGTTGTCCCCGTGGGTGTCCCCCTGGAATATCCCCGTGGGTGTCCCCGTGGCTGCCCCGGCCGTACCTGCTCTGCCGTGGGCGGGAGGGTGTCCTGGCTGCGGGTGCCGATCCTGCGGGGGGACATGGGGGACGGGGACATGGGGGACAGGGACACGGGGGACGGGGACACGGGGGAGGTGGCAGCAGGCGGGACGCGCTCCGAGGGCGCCGGGGTGGGATCCGGCTCCGGAGCCGCAGATTCCAGCTGGTGGAAGGCCCAGAGCCCCACCTTCCTCATGCAGCGCGAGCAGGAGATCACCGGCAGGCCCGGGGAGCTGCTGGCACTGCGGGAACACGGGACGGGCTGGGAAACTGGGAATGGGCAGCATTCCCACCCCAGGGACAGGGATACCTCCCACCAGCACTGCGGGAACATGGCCAGGAGGGGATGGGAAACTGGGAATGGGCAGCATTTCCATCCCAGGGACACCTCCCACCAGCTCAGGGTGCTCCAACCCCTCCAGCCCGGCCCAGGATGCTCCAGGGGTGGGCAGGGAAAATATGGAAATAGAGGGAGACAGGGGAAATAGGAAAATAGTGGAAACTGAAATAAGGGAATTGGGAGCACAGGGAGAAAGAGGGAAAATAGGAAGATAGTGAAAGGAAGCAGGAGTGGGGAGGAAACTAAGGAAACGGGAATGTAGGGACAAGGGGGAAAAAGGGAAAACTGGAAAAGAAGGAAAATAGGAAAAGAGTGAAATAAGGGAATCAGGAGAATGGCAAAGAGGGAAAATAGGAAGAGTGAACAACAGTGGAAATAGGACAACAGTGGAATAAGGGAAGCAGGAGCAGAGTGAAAAACAGGGAAAAGGAGGGAAAAGAGTGGAAAATGGTGAAATAAGGGAAGAAGGAACACAGTGAAAAATAGAGAAAAATAGGGAAAACAGTGAAAAAGAGGGAAAACAGGAACAGAGTGAAGAAAGGGAAGCGAGAGCAGAGTAAACAGGAGGGAAAAGGGGCCGGGGGTGGGCCGGGGGAGCGCCCCTTTCCCGGGAGGAGGAGCCTGCGGCTGTCCCGGCCCTTCCCGTGGCTGTCCCGGCCCTTCCCAGGGGTGTCCCGGCCCTTCCCGGGGGTGTCCCGGCCCCTCCCGCGGCTCCCCCACCTGCAATCCCAGCCGCACAGCGCCAGGACACAGGCGGCAACCACGTGGCCCTGCGGGCTTTCCTTGGAAAACGTCCCGGGGGGTTTCTCCCCTTCCCGGGGGGGCTCCGGATCCTCCTCCAGCAGCTCCAGGAGGAGCCCGAGCGTGTCCTCCGACAGCGCCTGCGGAGCACAGGGAGGCACGGCTGGGATTCCAGTGCCATTCCAGGCATTTACACAGGCAGGGAAACCCCTTTGCCCAGCGCCCAACGCCCCCAGTGCCGCCCCACAGGGAAAAGGAACGGATCCCTCCTGCCCCGGGGCCCTCTGGATCCACATTCCAAGACTTCTGCTCTGGTTATCAGGGAACAGACTCCCTATTCCAGGACTTCTATTCTTTCTAATAAGGAAAAGGAACCTCTCCCTCCTGCCTTGTGTCCCTCTGGATCCAAATTCCAGGACTTCAGCTCGGGTTAACAGGGAACAGACTCCCCATTCCATGATTTCTACTAACAGGGAAAAGCAGCACATTCCTCCTGTGGGATCCCAAATTCCATTTCCCAAATTCCCTGTGGGATCCCAAATCCCATTTCCCAAAGGAGCCTGTGGGATCCCAAATCCCCTGTGAGATCCCAAATCCCATTTCCCAAGGGAGCCTGTGGGATCCCAGCCCTCCTGTGGGCCCCCCGCTGCCATCCCCAATCTGTTGGCATTCCTGGGTTTGGGAAGCTGGGGCAGGGACCCACCAGGCTGCCCAGCTGCTCCGGGGCCAGGCGTGGCAGCTGCAGCTCCAGCCGGCACAGCCTCTGGAAGCGCTCCCGGAATTCCCGCAGGAGCAGGCGCGGCTCGTCCAGCGGCAACAGAGCAAAGTGTGCTGGGGAATGGGAATAATGGGGGAGAAATAGGGAATGATGGGGGAGAAATTAGGGAATCATGGTTGAAAGAATAGGGAATAATGCTGGGAAAAACAGGGATTAATGGTGGGGAAAATAGGGAATAATGGTGGAAATAATAGGGAATAATGGGTAAAAAACAGGGGAAAATGGTGGGAAAATAGGGAATAGGGGTGGATAAAACAGGGAATAGTGGTGGATAAATAAGGAATAGTGGTGGATAAGTAGGGAATAAGGGTGGATAAATAGGGAATAGTGGTGGATAAATGGAAACAGTGCTGGGAAGTTGGGAACAGTGGTGGGAAGTTTGGGAAGGGTGGGAAGTTGGGCACAGTGGTGGGAAGTTGGGAACAGCAGTGGGAAGTTGGGAAGGGTGGGAAGTGGGCACAGGGTGTTGTGAGGCCCCACCTGGGCAGGGGCTGTCGGGCCAGAAGCAGAAGCGCTCGTGGGCCGAGCTCAGGGCTCTCCTCAGCTCCGCACAGCGCTCCCGGTCTGGGAAACAAACATGGATCCTCCTGGGATATTCCCTGCTCGCTCCGCAGGGGGAATCCCTGCCGTTCCCTCCCTTCCCACCACGAGTGGCTGCCCCAAATTCCCTGGAATTCCCCCCGTTCCCAGGAATCGCAGTCCCTGGCACTGGAACTGCCCCATCCTGCAGCTTTCCTGCCAGGAATGCTGCTGGTCCCTCCCTGATCCCCTCTGTGATCCCACACCCTTTCCCAGTTGGAACTCCTTCCCCCCCTCCCCACCATTCCCACCCACCCAAGGCCGTTTCTTCCCCCTGGGGATCCATTCCCAGACCCACCACCCCAGTCCATGCGTGGGGGGCTCCTCCCACCCCGGCTATCCCTGAATCCCTTCCTGCCGGCACTGGCTATCCCCAAATCCCTCCTTCCCATCCCAGCTATCCCTGAATCCCTCCTGAATCCCTCCTTCCCATCCCAGCTATCCCCAAATCCCTCCTTCCCATCCCAGCTATCCCTGAATCCCTCCTGAATCCCTCCTTCCCAGCTATCCCTGAATCCCTCCTGAATCCCTCCTTCCCACCCCAGCTATCCCTGAATCCCTCCTGAATCCCTCCTTCCCATCCCAGCTATCCCCAAGTCCCTCCTTCCCATCCCAGCTATCCCTGAATCCCTCCTGAATCCCTCCTTCCCATCCCAGCTATCCCTGAATCCCTCCTGAATCCCTCCTTCCCATCCCAGCTATCCCTGAACCCCTCCTGAATCCCTCCTTCCCATCCCAGCTATCCCCAAGTCCCTCCTTCCCATCCCAGCTATCCCTGAATCCCTCCTGAATCCCTCCTTCCCATCCCAGCTATCCCTGAATCCCTCCTTCCCACCCTGGTTATCCCCGACTCCCTCCTTCCCGGCACTGGCTCTCCCTGAATCCCTCCTTCCCGGCCCTGTGTGTCCTGAATCCCTGTTTCCCGGCCCTGTGTGTCCCGGGATGGAATCCCTGTTTCCCGGTCCTGTCTCTCCCGGGCTGTGCTCCCCGTGTGTCCCCATGGCACTCACGCTGTGTGTCCCCATGTCCCCACTCACGCTGTGTGTCCCCACTCACGCTGTGTGTCCCCATGTCCCCACTCAGGGTGTGTGTCCCCACTCACACTGTGTGTCCCCACTCACGCTGTGTGTCCCCATGTCCCCACCCATGCTGTGTGTCCCCACTCACGCTGTGTGTCCCCACTCACGCTGTGTGTCCCCGCTCACACTGTGTGTCCCCATGTCCCCACTCAGGGTGTGTGTCCCCACTCACGCTGTGTGTCCCCACTCACGCTGTGTGTCCCCATGTCCCCACTCACGCTGTGTGTCCCCACTCACGCTGTGTGTCCCCATGTCCCCACTCACGCTGTGTCCCCACTCACGCTGTGTGTCCCCATGTCCCCACTCAGGGTGTGTGTCCCCACTCACGCTGTGTGTGTGTCCCCACTCACGCTGTGTGTCCCCATGTCCCCACTCAGGCTGTGTGTCCCCACTCACGCTGTGTGTCCCCACTCACGCTGTGTGTCCCACTCACGCTGTGTGTCCCCGCGGGTGGCGGTGCCGAGCAGGGCGTGGCAGGCGCAGCATCGCAGCAGGGCGGGGCCCACGCTGGCCCAGCCGAAACGCGCACAGAGCAGAGGGGACAGGGACAGCGGCTGCCCCGCCCACTGCAGGGGGTGCAGCGTCAAGGACAACACTGGGGACGGACAGCACCCACCCCAACACCAACACCCATCCCAGCACCCATCCCAACACCCAACACCCATCCCAGCACCCATCCCAACACCCATCCCAACACCCATCCCAACACCCATCCCAGCACCAACACCCATCCCAGCACCCATCCCAACACCCATCCCAACACCCATCCCACACCATCCCAACACCCATCCCAGCACCCATCCCAGCACCCATCCCAACACCCATCCCAACACCCACCCCAACACCCATCCCAACACCAACACCCATCCCAGCACCCACTCCAACACCAACACCCATCCCAGCACCCATCCCAACACCCATCCCAGCACCCATCCCAACACCCATCCCAACACCAACACCCATCCCAGCACCCACCCCAGCACCCATCCCAAAACCCATCCCAAAACCCATCCCAACACCCATCCCAACACCCATCCCAAAACCCATCCCAACACCCACCCCAACAACCATCCCAACATCCAGCACCCATCCCAACACCAACACCCACCCCAGCACCGGGACAGACCCAGGGATTCCTTGGGAAGGGAAAGGGAGCGAGGGCCAGGATCCCAGGGAGCAGCAGGAGCTGGGCCAGGGGAATATCCCAAAAAAATCCCATTTATATGGGAGAAAAGAGGCTTCCAGGAATGGGGAAAGAGCCCCGAGGGGATTCCTCAGGAAGGGAAATGGAGGGACAGAGCAGGGACAGGATCCCAGGGAATGGCTGGAGCTGGGCCAGGGGGTAAATCCCAAAATCCCAGTTTATTTGGGAACAAAAAGCTTCCAGGAAGAAGGAAAGAGCTTGGAGGAGATCCCTGAGGAAGGGCAGTGGAGGGAGCACCGATCCCTGCTCCCTGGGAGATCCCAGGAATCCTGCAGCTGTGCCAGGGGGGTGAGTTGGATTTCAGGGAAATGGGAACAGCTCCCCAGGGAATGGTCACGGCCCCAGGAGCTCCAGGAATGTCTGGAAACGCTCCCAGGGATTTGGGATGTCCCGGGCAGGGCCAGGGGCTGGGTTGGATCCCTGTGGGGCCGAGGAGATCCCGGCATTCCAGGGGGGAGCATCCCAAAGGATATGGTGAAGGTCTCCACCCTGCTGAAATAGGCTTCCCTGCTGGCAGATTCCAGGGAATTCCCCTCCACGTGGGAGGAGCCCTTGGCTGACTCGGACAGCTCCGACGAGTCCTTCCTGAGGGGAAAATCCCGGGAACATTCCTCAAGAAAAGGGACCCAGAGCACAGGGAATTCCCAGCCCCTCATCCCTCAGGGCTGTCCGGGCAGGGATCTTCTCCAGAGCTCCCCATTCCCGAGTTTCCCTTAATTAACAATGGAACCAATTAACAGACGCCAATCCCAGACTGGGGGGAACATTCCCGGGGGAATTGCACGGGAAAAGGAGGGGACAGGGATTTGTTCTCCCAGCTCAGCGAGGACAGGCTGGGAATGTCTCTGGAGCCAGGGGGGATCCCAGACATCCCAAATCCAGGGCTGGAATTCCAGTGCCACCATTTGGCCTCTCCCAACCCCCTCCCAAGGGAAAAAACTCAGGGATAGTTGGGAAAAGGGGGACTGAGACACCCCCAGGGCTCAGGCCCCAGTGTCCCCCAGTTCCTCCCAGAGCCCCCCAGTACACACCAGTGTCCCCCAGTTCCTCCCACTGTCCTCCAGTGCCCCCAGTACACAACAGTGTCTCCCAGTGTCCCTCCCAGTGTTCCCCAGTTCCTCCCACTGTTCCCCAGTGCTCACCGGGGGGTCCCCAAGCCCCCCCCCCCGACCCCCAACGAGGGAAATCCGCCCCCTTCAGGGCCCCCCAATTCCCTCCCAGGACCCCAATAACCCCAAGGGACCCCCAACCCCCTCAAGGGGCTCCCCTGCCCTCTCTGAGGGTCCCAAGACTCCTGAGGGTCCCAAGGCCCCCCATTTCTCCCCAGGACCCCAACGAGGAGTCCCCCTCCGGTACTGCTCCGGCGCGGCCTCCCCTGCTGCCCCCGCCGGTGCCGGCCCCGCCCCGCGCCCCCTGCAGCCGCTCACCCGTCGCTGCCGGTGCCCCCGGCGGCGATGCCGCGGCCGAGGAGGTCCCTGATGTGCCGGGGGTCACTGGACCCCGGGGCGCCCCTCGGGCTGGGCCGCAGCCGCCCCTCCGCTGGGCGCCGCCATCTTGGCCCCTCCCCGCCCCTCCGGCCGGGAAATCGCAGCCCGCAACAAACGTTCCGGCCCCCACAACGTTCCGGCCCCGCAATAACGGGCCGCTCCTGACCCCCCCAGCCACGACCCCCGCGCGGCCTCGGGGACCCCGCGGGGCTCTGGGGGTGACGCCGCCCCCGGGATGTCCCCGCGAGTCCCCTCGTGATTGTCCCCGCGGATGTCCCCGCGCCGCCGCGCTCGGCGCTCTACTGCTCCGGCCTGCATCGACCGCTCGGCTCTCCCACCTGCCAACAAGCGCGCGGCCGATAGGCCGCAGCCCAAGAAGCCGCGCGCTGATTGGTCGGTGCGCTCCGTCCCTCAGGACGGCCGGGCCATGTCGGCGGCGGCCGCGGCCCGGGCCGGGCCGGGGCTCGGGGAGGGCGCGGGGGGTCCCTCTGGGGGTCCCTCGGGGGGCGGCGATGGCGCCGGCGGCATCCTCAACCGATTCGTGCGGCTGCCGGCAGGGCCGCGGGCAGCGGGTGAGTGACGGCCCGGGCGGGCGGAGGGGGCTGAGCGGGGTCGGGGCAGGGCCGGTCCCGGCTCTGAGGGCTGAGTGGGATCGGGGCAGGACCGTCCCGGCTCTGAGGGCTGAGCAGGGTCGGGGCAGGGCCGGTCCCGGCTCTGAGGGCTCAGGGGGGTCGGGGCAGGGCCGGTACCGACACCCCGAGGGGCGGCCCGGGGGCTCTGAGGGGTGGGGGCCGCGGCTCTCCCGCTCAGGGTCGGGGGTTTATGGGGCTGGGAACCCGCCGTGCCCGGCGCTCCGAGGGGTCGGGGTGACCCCCCCATCCCTGCCGTGCCCGGGTCGGGGCACCCCCGGCCCCACAGGAGCACCCAATCCAGGGGATCCGGGACTGGGATACCCCATTCCCGAGGTCCCTAGGGGTGTCCCTAAAGCCCCTGGGGGGGCTGGGCTGCATTTCCAGGTTTGTTTTCTTCCCGATTCCCATTCGAAACTTTCCAGGTTTATTTTCTCATCTCCCACTTCTCTGGAATTCCAGAGTTTCCAGGTTTATTTTCTTACTTCCCAATTCTCCAGAGTTTCCAGATTGCTTTTCCTACCTTCCAATTCCCATCCAGATTTCCCAGGTTTGTTTTCTCACCTCCCAGTTCTCCAGAAATTCCAGGCTTTCCAGGTTTATTTTCTTACTTCCCAGTGTTCTTCCAGAGTGTCCCAGTGTGTTTTCTTCCCAGTTCCCATCCAGACTTTCCAGGTTTATTTCCTCACCTCCCATTTCTCTGGAATTCCAGACTTTCCAGGTTTATTTTCTTGCTTCCCAATTTTCTCCCAGACATTCCAGGTTTATTTTCCTACCGTTTAAACGAACACCTGGAATATTTACCCCCCCTCCCATGCTCTGGCCCCATATCCCCAGATTTTCCCTTAATTCCTTCCCTCTCTTCCCGTTCCAGCCACTCCCTGTGAGTTTTCCAGGTGGGAATGGCTGGGACAGGATTTTGGCAGGAGCCAGCCTGGATCTGCCCCTGCAGTTTGAATTCCAGGCCTGAGCTGGAGCTGCAGGAGCAGCAAACAGGGAATGGGATGAAACTCCAAGTTCATTCTCCAGGCTGGAAAACCCCCCGTGTCCCTTTTCCTGCAGGAAAATCCCTTCCTGCCCCAGCTTTTCCGCTCCTTTTCCTTTGCTCCGGCTGGTCCTTGAACCAGGCTCTGACAGGAACGTTTGGGATCCTCACTGGGTGATTCCCAGAGGTTTGTGGAGCAGGGAAAGAATTCCAGACTTTTCCTCGCTATTCCTGTCAGAGAGCTTGAGATACAAACATTTGGGAATGGTTTTCCAAGGGAAATCTGTGGAACAGGATGAAACAGAGGGGGATTTCTCTCAGGAAGAGCTTTTGGGGGAGGTTCTCCAGGTGTTCCAGGGAATGAGATTCCACACAGACATTCTCCGTTTTCCTGCTGGGATCCTTCCAGAGCCATCCCTTGTGCTTCCCTAGCCTGGAAATTCTGGAGGTGTTCCCAGCTGTTCCCCAAGGAGACCCCGAGTTTGGATTGGGATTGGGAGAGGGAAACTGGGAAGGCAGGAGGTGTTTCCCTGTTTCCCTGGAGCTGTATTCCCTGTTTCCCTGGAGCTGTGTTCCCCATTTCCCTGGAGCTGTGTTCCCCATTTCCCTGGAGCTGTGTTCCCCATTTCCCTGGAGCTGTATTCCCTGTTTCCCTGGAGCTGTATTCCCTGTTTCCCTGTATTCCCTGTTTCTCTGTATTCCCCGTTCCCTGGAGCTGTATTCCCTGTTTCCCTGGAGTTGTGTTCCTTGTTTCTCTGTATTCCCTGTTCCCTGTTTCTCTGTATTCCCTGTTTCCCTGGAGCTGTATTCCCTGTTTCTCTGATCCGTATTCCCTGGAGCTGTACTCCCTATTCCCTGCCCCCATTCCCGTTGCTGACAGATATTCCCTGTTCCTGCCCCCATTCCCGTTGCTGACGGGTATTCCCTGTTCCCAGAGCTGTATTCCCTGTTCCTGCCCCGTATTCCCGTTGCTGACGGGTATTCCCTGTTCCCAGAGCTGTATTCCCTGTTCCTGCCCCCATTCCCGTTGCTGACGGGTATTCCCTGTTCCCAGAGCTGTATTCCCTGTTCCTGCCCCCATTCCCGTTGCTGACGGGTATTCCTATCCCAGGCCAGCGCTGTCCCCCCGCGCGGAGCGGGCACCGCTGCGTGGCCGACAGCTCCAACCTGTACGTGTTCGGGGGGTACAACCCCGACTACGACGAGTCGGGGGGCGCCGACAACGAGGACTACCCGCTCTTCAGGGAGCTCTGGAGGTTCCACTTCGCCACCGCCCGCTGGCACCTGCTGGCCACCGAGGGCTACATGCCCAGGGAGCTGGCGTCCATGTCACGTGAGTACTGACCCCACACACACCCCAAAACTGCCTCCCTGTCCCATACCTAACTACCCACCCCAAAACACCGAGGGGTACATGCCCAGGGAGCTGGCATCCATGTCATGTGAGTACTGACCCCACACACACCCCAAAACTGCCCCCGTGTCCCATACCTACCCACCCCAAAACACCGAGGGCTACATGCCCAGGGAGCTGGCATCCATGTCACGTGAGTACTGACCCCACACACACCCCATGTCCCATATGTACCGACCCACCCCAGAGCTGCCCCCATGTCCCGTACCCACCCACCCGCAGCTGCACCCGCAGAAGCCCAGCCTTGGGTTGGGATCAGGGAGTTCTTTCCCTCTGCACTCGCCTGAGCAGGAGGGAAAAGGAAAGGGAAGGCAGGAGGTGTTTTCCAGGGGTTTCTCTGGAAACTTCCAGCACACACCGCAGGGCATCCATGTCATGGGTGTGGGAACCCCATCCCTGCTCCTTTAATCTCCTTTATCCCAGTTATTTTAATCCACACAGACCTGGGAATTCAGTGTGGGATTGGGGTATTTCTCTTCACTCACTTGAGGAAGAGGGAAAGGGAAAATGGGAAAGCAGGAGGTGTTTTCCAGGGATTTCTCTGGAAACTTCCAGCACACCCCTTAAACCATACAGAAACATCTGGGAACCCATCCCTGCTCCTGGAGCTGGGATTTAATCCTGCCTGTTTTCATCCACACGAGGCCAGGAATTCTGGAGGTGTTTCCAGCTGTTCCACAAATAGACCCCAAGTCTGGGTTGGGATTGGGAGAGGGAAACTGAGAAAGCAGGAGGTGTTTTCCAGGGGTTTCACTGGATGGTTGCTCCAAGCAGACACCTCAGAGCATCCATGTCATGGGTGTGTGGGAACACAGTCCCTGCTCCTGGAGCTGCCTTAATCCTGCTTTAATCCTGGGTAGTTTAATCCACACAAGAACTGGGAATTCTGGAGGTGTTTCCAGCTATTCTCCAAGCAGACCCCGAGTTTGGGTTGGGATTGGGAGAGGGAAACTGGGAAGGCAGGAGGTGTTTTCCAGGGTTCCAAGCAGACACCTCAGAGCATCCATGTCATGGATGTGGGAACCCCATCCCTGCTGCTGGAGCTGCTGTAATCCTGGCTGATTTATCCACACTAGAATTGGAAATTCTGGATGTGTTTCCAGCTGTTTTTAAATTGAACCCCGAGTTTGGGTTGGGATTGGGTTTTTTTCTTTTCCTTTTGGCAAAAAAAGGGAAGAGGGAAGGGAAAACTGGGAAGGCAGGAGGTGTTTTCCAGGGGTTTCACTGGAAACTTTCAGCACACACCTCAGAGCATATGGGAACATCTGGGAACCCCATCCCTGCTCCTGGAGCTGCCTTAATCCTGCTTTAATCCTGGGTAGTTTAATCCACACAAGAACTGGGAATTCTGGAGGTGTTTCCAGCTATTCTCCAAGCAGACCCCGAGTTTGGGTTGGGATTGGGAGAGGGAAACTGGGAAGGCAGGAGGTGTTTTCCAGGGTTCCAAGCAGACACCTCAGAGCATCCGTGTCATGGTTGTGGGAACCCCATCCCTGCTCCTGGAGCTGCTGTAATCCTGGCTGATTTATCCACACTAGAATTGGAAATTCTGGATGTGTTTCCAGCTGTTTTGTGAGGAGACCCCGAGTTTGGGTTGGGATTTGGGGGTTTTTCTTTCCCTTTTGGCCAAAAGAAAACTGGGAAGGCAGGCGGTGTTTTCCAGGGCATTCCCTTCCAACAGACATCTTTGAGCATCCAAACCCAGCTGGTTGTGTTGGCTCCCCATTTTCCCAGGCAACCCTTTGCTTTCCCTGGATTTATCCTGGATCGTCCAGGTCCCTCTGGAGCCCCTCCGAGCTGTCAGAGCAGTGTTTGAACCCTGAGCCCTCCCTGCTCCCCAGGGCTGGGAATCACGGAATGCGCGGGGAGGAACCCGAAGGATCATCCGCCCCAGCACCAGGGCCACCATCACCCACTCCAGACCCACCATTCCAATCATTCCAGACCTGTCCTTTTCCCACTGCATCCCACCCAGTGTGTGCTCTCTGCCCCCTGTCCCAGTTGTCCTGCACGGGAACAACCTGCTGGTGTTCGGGGGCACCGGGATCCCCTTCGGGGAGAGCAACGGCAACGACGTCCACGTCTGCAACGTCAAGTACAAGAGGTGGGCCCTGCTCAGCTGCAGGGGCAAGAAACCCAACAGGATCTATGGACAGGTGGGAAGGAATTCCCTGAGCCTCCCAGAGCCCTGCCCTCGTAGTTATCCCAACCCCCCGTAAATAAAGGCCGGGAAATCCCTCACGCAGAAAGAAAACGGGGCCTGGAGGTTCCAGGGGAAAAAAGGAGGGGTTGTCTTGGGGTCAGGAGGGGTAAAATGTGGGCCCTAAACAGCAGGAGTGGGGGATGGCAAAGAGGGGGATGAGTTAAGGAGCACTTGGGGCTTTCTGGAGTTGTTCTGGGACCTCAAAACCTTCCAGCCCCAAAACACTGAATGAAAATGGGGCAAAACTCCAAACTCCTACACGGGAAAAGGGGGTTGGAGGGCTTGGTTTCCAAACTCTGCATGGAAACAGCGGTGTGAAACCCCAAACTGCCTGAAAACAGGGGTGTCAGACCCCAAACTCTGCATGGAAACAGTGGGGTCAGACCCCAAACTGCCTGGAAACAGTGGGGTCAGACCCCAAACTGCCTGGAAACAGTGGGGTCAGACCCCAAACTGCCTGGAAACAGTGGGGTCACACCCCAAACTGCCTGGAAACAGTGGGGTCACACCCCAAACTGCCTGAAAACAGTGGGGTCACACCCCAAACTGCCTGAAAACAGGGGGGTCAGACCCCAAACTGCCTGAAAACAGTGGGGTCAGACCCCAAACTGCCTGAAAACACGGGTGTCAGACCCCAAACTCAAATAAAAACAGAGGATTTAGATTTTGTTTCCAAACCCAAAACTCTAAATGAAAACAGTGGATTTAGGTTTTATTTCCAGACCCCAAACTCCAAATAATAACAGGATTTGGGTTTTATTTCCAAACCCCAAATTCCAAATGCAAACAGTGGTTTGCAGATCAAACCCCAAACCTCCAAATTAAAAGAGTGGGAGTTTTAGGTCTTGTTTTCCAACCCCAAAACACTGAATGAAAACGGGGCAAAACTCCAAACTCACAAATGAAAACAGGGGTTTGGAGGCCTTGGTTTCAAAACTGCCTGAAAACAGTGATGTGAAACCCCAAACTCAAAACAGTGGTGACAGACCCCAAACTCAGAGATTTAGGTCTTGTTGCCCCCAAAACACTGAATGAAAACGGACAACTCCAAACTCACAAATGAAAACAGGGTTTGAGGCCTTGTTTCAAAACTGCCTGAAAACAGTGATGTGAAACCCCAAACTCAAAACAGTGGTGACAGACCCCAAACTCAGATGAAAACGGGTCAGACCCCAAACTCAAATAAAAACAGAGGATTTAGATTTTGTTTCCAAACCCAAAACTCTAAATGAAAACAGTGGATTTAGGTTTTATTTCCAGACCCCAAACTCCAAATAATAACAGGATTTGGGTTTTATTTCCAAACCCCAAATAATAACAGTGGTTTGTGGGTTTTATTTCCAAACCCCAAACTCTGAATGCAAACAGTGGTTTGCAGATCAAACCCCAAACCTCCAAATTACAAGAGTGGGTTTTTAGGTTTTATTTTCCAGCTCCAAAACACTGAATGAAAACGGGGATCAAAACTCCAAATGCAAACAGTGGGGTTCAGGTCTTGTTTTCAGAACTCCCAACTGTAAATGCAAACAGTGGTTTGCAGGTCTGATTTTCAATCCCAAATCTCTGAGTGCAAACAGGGTGTTTAGGTTTTAGTTTCCAAACCCCAAAACTCAATAATAATAATAATAATAGTAATAGTAATAATAATAATGGAGGATTTAGGTTTTATTTGCAAACCCCAAAACTCTAAATGAAGACAGGGGTTTAGGTTTTATTCCCAAACTCTGAATGCAAACAGGAGTTTTTTAGGTTTTATTTTCAAACCCCAAAGCTCCAAATGCAAACAGTGGCTTGTAGGTCTTGTTTCCAAACCCCAAAACTCTGCATGAAAACAGTGGTTTGATTTCCAAACCCCAAACCCTGCATGAAAACAGGGGTGTCAAACCCCAAACTTGTAATGAAAACAGAGGATTTGGGGTTTATTTCCAACCCCCAAACTCCAAATAATAACAGTGGATTTAGGTTTTGTTTCCAACCCCCAAACTCCAAATAATAACAGTGGGTTTAGGTTTTATTTCCAAACTCCAAATGCAAACAGTGGGTTTAGGTTTTATTTCCAACCCCCAAACTCTGAATGCAAACAGTGGGTTTAGGTTTTATTTCTAAACCCCAAGCTCCAAATGCAAGCAGTGGGTTTAAGTTTTATTTCCAACCCCCAAATTCCGAATGCAAACAGTGGGTTTAGGTTTTATTTCCAACCCCCAAACCTGAATGCAAACAGTGGGTTTAGGTTTTATTTCCAACCCCAAACTCTGAATGCAAACAGTGGTTTGCAGATCAAACCCCAGCACTCCAAATTAAAAGAGTGGCTTTTATAGGTCTGACTTCCCAACCCCAAAACACTGAATGAAAACAGGGATCAAAAGTCCAAACTCTCAAATGAAAACAGGGCTTTGGAAGGCTTGGTTTCCAAACTGTGCCTGAAAACAGTGGGGTCAGACCCCAAACTCTGCTGAAAACAGTGGTGTGAAACCACAAACTCTGCCTGAAAACAGAGGATTTGGAGTTATTTCCAAACCCCAGAACTCCAAATAATAACAGGATATAAGTTTAATTTCCAAACCCCAAAACTCCAAATAATACCAGGATTTAGGTTTCATTTCCAGAGCCCAGAACTCCAGACAGGGCTTTGCAGATGAAAGCCCCAAGTCCTCCATGAAACCCTTGTTTGCAGCTCTTCTTTGCAAGCCCCAAACTCTTAAATACAAACTTTTAACTACAACAAAAAAAAAGGGGATTGGGGTCTTACTTCTCTTATAACAACAACTTGTGGGGCTGTCCTGGCTGTCCTGGGTGAGGGTGGTGCCCAGGGAGTCCCTCCCATGGCAGTGCCCCCTTCCCCGGGCTTCCCAGCGGGATTGGAGGTGTTCACAGCAGGAAAGGCTCTCCCCTTTGCCAGGCCCGTGGTGGGTGGGGTTGGGAGTGGGCAATTCCCGGTGTCCCATCCCTTTCTCCCGGGCTGTGTGTCCCCAGGCCATGGCCATCATCAACGGGTGTCTCTACGTGTTCGGCGGCACCACCGGCTACATCTACAGCACCGACCTGCACCGGCTGGACCTCACCACGCGCGAGTGGGTGCAGCTCAAACCCAACAGCCTGTCCTGCGACATGCCCGAGGAGAGGTGAGTGGGATACACACCCACTGCCTGGGATCCACTCCTGGGATCCACACCTGCACTCCCTGGGATCCACTCCTGGGATCCACTCCTGGGATCCACTCCTGGGATCCACACCTGCACTCCCTGGGATCCACTCCTGGGATCCACTCCTGGGATCCACACCTGCACTCCCTGGGGTCCCTGCTGGAGTGGGGAGCTCGCCAGGCCTTGGGAATGTTCCCCAGCCGGAGCTCCGGCGATCCCAACCCCGGGGAGCTGGACCAGATGGTGATCCCGGGTTTATCCTGGATGATGGCAAAGGAGGGCTGGAATGCTGATGGCTGTGGAGTCCTGGTGCCCCATAAATCTCTGGCTTTGACTCCCCCGGTGCTCCCAGGAAAGGCCCTTCAGAATTCTGCAATCCAGGGCCTGGTGGAGCAGGGCCAGGCCTGGAGCTGCTCCCTGGCCTGGGTGGCATTCCAGAGGTTTGTGCTGTCCATTCCCTGATGGATCTGGGGGTGCTCTGCTCCTGCAGGTACCGACACGAGATGGCCCACGACGGGCAGAGGATTTACATCCTGGGAGGGGGCACGTCCTGGACAGCCTATTCCTTGGACAAGGTGAGCCAGGGCCAGCCCCAGCTCCAGCACTCCAGAAATCCCACTGGGGTTTGGTTTTTTGGGGTTTTTTTTTATTCATTTGTGGGTTTCATTGGGTTTTTTGTTTGGGTTTTTTTGTTTGTTTGTTTTTTCTTGGGTTTTTTTAAATGTTTTTCATTTATTCGTTTTTATTTTCACGAAACAAAATGAGATGTCCACTTTTCCTTTCCATTCCCATCACTTATTTTTCATTTCACTCTACCCAATCTGATTTTCATTTCATTAAATTCCCATCACTTATTTTTCATTTCAGTCCACCCAATCTGACTTTCATTTCATCCCCTTTCCTTTGGTGAACTCGGATTTGGGGCTTTTTTCCTCTCAAACCCCCAACACAGAAAGAATTTATTGGTGAAATAAAATGAAAAGTCGACTTTCCCTTCCATTAAATTCCATTTCCAGCAATTGGATTTGACTTTGTTTGGAATTACAAATTCCATTTTCTGTCAGGAAATGATCTTCAGGTTCAGGAAGGGAAATTTCAGCTCTTCATTTCATTTGGTTTCATTTCAGGAAATCTGGTTTCATTTCTTTAAATTTCGTCTCAATTCCTGAAATTCGATTCAAATCGATCTCATTTTATGAAATTACATTTAATTCTCTTTAAGGAGACAAAAATGAAATTTCTACCCCTTCATTTCGTTCCATTTTGTTGTTTCATTTCATCTCAAGAAACCTGATTTTATTTCATTTCATTTCATTAAACTTCATTTCAATTCCTGAAATTTGATTTGATTTGGTTGAATTCCATTGCATTTCATTTCCTTTAATGAAATGAATCTTTATTTAATTTCATTCTGTTTTATTCAATTTAATTTCCTTCCAAAAAATCTGATTTTATTTCATTCCATTAAATCTCCACTCAATTCCCAAATCTTGATTTGATTTCGATCCACAAAATAAACCAAAATTCCGACTTTTCCTTTCATTCCTTAAAACTTCATTTCACTGCAAGAAACTGGATTTGATTTCATTTGATCCAATCTCATTTCTAATTTATTTTGTGGAATTGGAATATATTGGATATCCCACAGTGAAATCAGGGATATCCCACAGTGAAATCAGGGATATCCCACAGTGAAATCAGGGATATCCCACAGGGAAATCCTGGATCAGGGATTGTCCACAGTGAATTCCTGGATCAGGGATATCCCACAATGAAATCCTGGATCAGGGATATCCTACAGTGAAATCCTGGATCAGAGATATCCCACAGGGAAATCCTGGATCAGGGATTGTCCACAGTGAAATCCTGGATCAGGGATTTACCCACAGTGAAATCCTGGATCAGGGATATCCTACAGTGAAATCCTGGATCAGAGATATCCCACAGGGAAATCCTGGATCAGGGATTGTCCACAGTGAAATCCTGGATCAGGAATTTATCCACAGGGAAATCCTGGATCAGGGATTTACCCACAGTGAAATCCTGGATCAGGGATATCCCACAGTGAAATCCTGGATCAGGGATTTATCCACAGTGAATTCCTGGGTCAGGGATTGTCCACAGTGAATTCCTGGGTCAGGGATTGTCCACAGTGAATTCCTGGGTCAGGGATTTACCCACAGTGAAATCCTGGATCAGGGATTTATCCACAGTGAAATCCTGGATCAGGGATTTATCCACAGTGAAATCCTGGATCAGGGACTTACCCACAGTGAAATCCTGGATCAGGGATTGTCCACAGGAAAATCCTGGATCAGGGATTGTCCACATTGAAATCCTGGATCAGGGATTTTCCCTCTGGAGAGCCTGGTTAAAAAAAAAGATAATTGGGCTGTGATTGTTCCTGGATTTCCCTAAAACCTGGATTTGCCCCAGAACCTCCTGTTGGCCTCCCGTGGTCCCCAAATCCCGGCTTAAACTGTGCTCTGCTTCCTAAAAAACCCTGGACTCTGCAGCTTCTCCTGTCTGCACTCTCCCATCTTTGTTTCCTCCCTGCGAGCCCAGCGTTCCCAGACAGCTCTGGGAGCTGGCAGCTGTGCATTCCTCCTGTTCCCGGGGATTGGAGGAGCCATAATCCCACTTTTCCCTGCTCTCAGGAAGCAAAGCCAGGTTTAGAGGGGGTTTGGTCCCGCTCAGTCCCCACCAGGCTCAGCCCTTGGGGGTCCCATTTGGGGTAAGAGGAGCTCTTTGGGGGGAGGCTGAGCAGGCTCAGCCCTTGGGGGTCCCATTTGGGGTAAAAGGAGCTCTTTGGGGGGGAGGCTGAGCAGGCTCAGCCCTTGGGGGTCCCATTTGGGGTAAGAGGAGCTCTCTGGGGGCGAGGCTGAGCAGGCCCAGCCCGGGACAGCTCCTGGACCCCGCCTGTCCTTGCAGATCCACGCCTACAACCTGGAGACCAACACGTGGGAGGAGATCCCCACCAAGCCGCACGACAAAGTCGGTGGGTCTGGGATAACCCCGGGAAAACGGGGCTGGGGGGGCTGGGTTTGTCAAATCGGGGGTAAATTGGGTGGTAGGTCCATAGGAATGTTAAATCCATGTGGGAATAAATGGGCCTGGGGTCTCATCCTTTAGCAGCGAGGATTGACCCCGGGGAAAGGTTAATAATAAACCCTAAAAGGCAGGAGGGGAGAGGGGGCAGTGCCTGGCCCTGCTCCCAGAAAATCCACAGCCCCCTGAGGCACCAAGGGCCGCCCTGGGACAGCATTCCAGCAGCGTTTCTCCCTTCCCTGGAAAATCAGAGGAGCCTGGGATGGAGGGGTGGGGCAGGATCACCCCTTCCACGGGCACTTTAAACCAGCTCCAGTTGATTTTATTTATTCATCAATTATTAATTCCTTTATTCCTCCCCAGGTTTTCCAGCAGCCAGAAGGTGCCACAGTTGCGTCCAGATAAAAAATGGTAAGATTTGCCTCTGGAAAATCAGGGATGTGCTGTCCAAGCAGGCACTGGAGAGGTGGAAGGGCGGCAGGGAACACGTGGCTGTCCTGGAAAAGGATTCTTCCCTCCTTCCCAAGCCTTGAGTGGCACTGAAGGAGCAGTTCCAGCACTGATCCCTCTCTCCCCAACTCCTGAGGGGGGGTCTATTTTCCAGGAGGGAAAGGGTGCCTGTAAGAGCAAGGCAGGAGCTGGGAGGTGATTCCAGGGCCTGCAGCCAGCAGGGATTTGCTGCCTCTGGGCTGAGAACTTGGGAAAAGCCAGGAGTGAGGTGGGATTGGGAGCTGGGGCTGCTCCCTGTGTGTTTGAAGTCCAGGCTGGGAGAGCTGGGAATGTTCATCCTGGAGAAGGGAAGGCTCCAGGGAGACCTGAGAGCCCCTTGCAGGGCCTAAAGGGGCTCCAGGAGAGCTGGAGAGGGACTGGGGACAAGGCCTGGAGGGACAGGACACAGGGAATGGCTTCCCAGAGCCAGAGGGCAGGGACAGATGGGAGATTGGGAAGGAATTGCTGGCTGGGAGGGTGGGGAGGGGCTGGACTGGATTTCCCAGAGAAGCTGTGGCTGCCCCTGGATCCCTGGGAGTGTCCAAGGGCAGGTTGGAGCAACCTGGGATAAGTGGGAGGTGTTGGAAGTGGCTGATCCCCGAGTCCCTTCCCCCCAGCCCTTCCAGGCCTGTTTCAGTGCCGTGGGAGCCCCCTGTGCTGAGCTAAACCCACCTCCAGCCCCAGGCTGCTCAGGGAAGGCGATCCCTGACTTCTCCTGGGCAGGGAATGGCAGGGCCTGGACCCCCCTGGAACTCCCCCTGGAGCCCCCCCGGCCGTGTTTGTCTTGCAGACGTGTTCGTGTGCGGGGGCTACAACGGGGAGGTGATCCTGGGGGACGTGTGGAAGCTCAACCTGCAGAGCCTGCAGTGGCTGAGGCTGCCAGCGGCCATGCCCGAGCCCGTGTACTTCCACTGCGCCGCCGTCACGCCCGTGAGTGCCCTTCACCTGCTTCTCCTGGCTGTGCTGCATCAACACTGTCCCGTCCCATTCTGATGGAATTCCTGGGCGGCACTCACCTGCTTCTCCTGGCTGGAATGCATTCACGCTGTGCCGTTCCATTCTGATGGAATTCCCGGGTGGGACTCACCTGCTTCTCCTGGCTGGAATGCATTAACACTGTCCCATCCCACTGTGCTAGAATTCCTGGGGTGGGCCTCCTCTGGCTTGGAGCAGCTCCCAGTGTTCCCGGGGCGTTCCTGGTGGTGATTCCCTGTGTTCCCAGCAGTGATTCCCTGTGTGTTCCCAGCGGTGATTCCCTGTGTTCCCAGCGGTGATTCCCTGTGTGTTCCCGGCAATGATTCCCTGTGTTCCCAGCGGTGATTCCCTGTGTTCCCAGCAGTGATTCCCTGTGTGTTCCCAGCAGTGATTCCCTGTGTGTTCCCGGCAATGATTCCCTGTGTTCCCAGCGGTGATTCCCTGTGTTCCCAGCAGTGATTCCCTGTGTGTTCCCGGCAATGATTCCCTGTGTTCCCAGCGGTGATTCCCTGTGTGTTCCCAGCGGTGATTCCCTGTGTTCCCAGCGGTGATTCCCTGTGTGTTCCCAGCAGTGATTCCCTGTGTGTTCCCAGCAGTGATTCCCTGTGTGTTCCCAGCGGTGATTCCCTGTTCCCATCGGTGATTCCCTGTTCCCAGCAGTGATTCCCTGTGTTCCCGCAGGCCGGCTGCATGTACGTGCACGGAGGGGTGGTGGACATCCACGAGAACAAAAGGACTGGCTCCCTGTTCAAGATGTGGCTGGTTGTTCCCAGCCTGCTGGAACTGTGCTGGGAAAAGCTCCTGGAATATTTCCCCCACTTGGCAACTCTGCCCAGGCCTCAGCTCCTGCACCTCGGACTGACGCAGGCACTGGTGGAGCGGCTAAAATGAGGGCCCTGCTCCTCCCCTGCTGCAGAGCCCCCTTCCCACTCCTTATTTATGGATCCAGGAGCCGCAGGAGCAGGGAGAGCCCGCCCAGCTGAGCCTGCAAATCCAGCCGTGCCTGCCGGAGCCTCCCCTCGGACCTGCTGGGAAAACAAACTACAAACAACAAACCAATCCCCTTTTTATTTATGGAGCTCACCCATCCCAAAAAACCTTCCCTGGGCCTCGGCCCCCGACCATCCCCCGCTCGGTGATTAATTAGGGAGCTCGTTAACGAATGTCTCCACTGCCCAGGAGCAGTCGCTGCATACCCACCCCCCAGCTGCTGCTTTCCCTGGATAACCCCTCCCTGCCCCCCAGCTGAGCTCCCAGCAATTCCTCCTGCTCTGCACGTGTCTCCCGGGCATGTTCCCACCCCCAGGCTCCGCAGGAATGTCCCAGCTTTCCCTGGAGCACCGCTTGGAAACACCACCACCCCCCCCAGTCCTACCCCGGCCGTGCTCCCGCGTGGAAAGGTTTGCTTGGAAAACTCCCAGGAAAAGCTGCCACTGCAGGGGCTGCCGCAGGAGGGGGAGGGAGGAGGTTGGGCCGAGGCTGTTTTAACCTTTCCTGCTCCTGGAATGAACCCCTGGAAAACCCTGAGCCCAAGATCTGCTGGACCCACGTGGGGCCCTGGGTCTCTGCCTTTGCGGCTTTCCCTCCTTCCCACTCCTCGTTCCTCGGCCCTTCCCTCGTGTCCCGCTGTCCCCGCGCCCCGGGGAAAATGGTTGGAAGTGTGGAAGGCCGTGGCTTCCTCAGCCTGGGAATTCCAGGGGGAAAAGCGGGGAGAGGGAGCCAAGGGAGCGGGGGAAGGAGGGGCTGTCCCCACTCCTGTGCTCCGTACCTTCACCTTGGCCCTTCCAGTGGCCCCCGGAATTCCTGCTAAATCCTTCCTTTTCCGTTGCAGACCGTTTTTTAAGTGCCTTTTCTTTCAAACATCGGCTTCTCCCGCTCTGCCAGGGCCGAGGGTCCCGCTCTGGGCTTTCAGTTCCCTTGGAGGGGTCGCGTTCCGGCGTTCCCGTCCCAATAAACCGGAGCGTTAATCCCGAGGCACTGCCTGCTGCAGTCACTGCCACCCAAAACTGACCTTCCCCGGGCTCCTTCTCCTCCTTTGGTTCCTGCCTTTTTCCCCCCCAAGGCTCAGGAAAACCAAAGCTGAGGCTCCCTCGGGTGTGTTGGTCGTCGGGGTTGTTGTCTTGGTCCCTTTTCATGGGAGCTGTTGGACCTGAGGATCTTGGGAGGTCTTTCCCAACCTGAATGATCCTGTTCCAGCCCCTGTCCCAGCCTCCCTGGCTGCAGATCCCGCAGCTCCTGGCTCAGGAGCCGGATCCAGACCCTGCTGGCAGCTGTGGGGAGGGTTCCTGGTCTGTGGGGTCCCTCCTGCAGGACCATTTCTCCAGCTCCTCCTTCCATCCTCAACATCCACCTCGGCCTTCCCAGTTCCCTTGGTCCTGGAGCTTCCTGCTCATCCCTGGGCTGGTTCTTCCCTCCGAGGAGCATCTCCCACCATTCCCAGGGTGCCATTAGAACCATCCAAACCTGGATATCTGTGAGCAAGCAGCTTCCTTAGGCTCTTGCCTTGCTCTGGAAAACTCAGCTTTCCTGTGCTGGAGGAAAGCAAAGCCTCTCTCCCCATGATTTTTGGGAATGTGGAGAGGTCCCAGCAGGCTGGAAGCTGGAGGATTTCAGGAAGGGCAAGAAGGAGGAGCCTGGAAAGTCCAGGCCTGTTGTTCTCACTTCAGTGCCTGGTAAAATCATGGAAAAGATTATTCTGGGAAGTCCTGAAAAGCACCTGGAGGACAACAGCCAGCACAGGCTCAGGTCCTGCTTATTCCCACCTGATTTCCTTCCAGGACAGGGACACCCACCTGGCTGCTCCAGGAAAGCCAGCAGATGCTGTCTTTGGTAGTGTCTCCCAGGATCCTTCTGGAAAAGCTGTCTGGGATACCGCTGGATAAACACACCGTGTTGGGGGTCAGCAGCTGGCTCACAGGAGCAAAGAATTCCAGGGAGTGGGGTGACACTGGGGGGGCTCCACAGGGCTCTCCAACATCTTCCAGGGACACAGGCTCCAAGGAATACCAAGTTTTTTGGACTGGGAAGAGCTGTTGGCTCCCTGAGGGCAGGGAAGGGCCTGGAAGGGCCACACAAGGAATGTCTGAGGGCACTTGGATTGTCCAGCCTGGAAAAGGGGAGACTCACCGGGGTCTCCAACATCCTTGTGGGACCCTCCACCCACAGCCTGGAGCTGCTCCCACCAGGAAAGCCATGGAATAAACCCCCAGGGATCTGATAAATCAGGTAAAGGCATCGCCCACTGCTGGATTTCCAGGGATCTCTCCTGTTCCAGGCCCCAGGGGTGGCTGGAGCATGAGGGGCACGAGAGCTCGGGGGCTGCTCCTCCTGAAAAAGGGGCTCATTTTGAGCTCCCATGGCAGGGTTTGCTGGGATTCCTGCTGGGATTCCTACTGGGCTTCTGCAGGGAAGGAGAAAAGCTTGGATCGCAGTTCCCTAAGGGAAAGGATTCAGGCCCTGCAGCACCAATGGAGAGGAGATCAGAGCAGCCTCTCTGGGGTCTGGGATGGGGACAGGACACAGGGAGAGCCCAAGAATTCCCTGTTTACCTCAGTGTGAGGACACTGAGCAGGTTCTCCCACACCTGCCTCCCATCCCTGCCTGTGCAGCTGCTGCAGATCCTCCCCCAGGAACGCTCCCAGCCATCCACACTAATGCCAGCACTGTCCACGCTGCTGCCTGGCTGGGAAAACAGGGCAGCTTCATTAATGCCCCAGGAGCTGCTGCCCTCGGGAATCCCAGGGGGATCCCGGGCTCTCGGGATCTTCCTGAGTGCAGCATCCCAATGGCAGGCAGGGAGCAGCACCGCCATTCCCGGGGTGTATCCGAATGGATCAGGACAGGGAAGGGGCACAGAAGGCTCCTCCCCCGTGTCCGTGGGGCTGGCAGGGGTTGGGGTTAAAGCCCCGGTCCTAAATCAGTCCAAGGCTTTGTCCCATCGTCACCTCATCCCGCCCCGCCCTGTCCCGGAGATGCTCCCGGACCGTCACTGGCCCAGCTCGTGCCACCGAGGCCACCGAGGCCCCCGCAAGGAGAACCCACCTGGTGCTGGTTTGTACAAAACTGCTTTAATGACCAACCGGCTCAGAAAACCCCCGGGTGCCTCCAGAGAGCCCCCCGTGACCCCAAAACCCCAACTCCCGCCATGGGATCACCCCGGGGCCCCTTCCCCGGCACCTTCTCCCAGTGCAACGCTCCCCAGGGGAGGGGTCTGTCCCGGGATCCCCTTCCAGCCCCTCCTCCGAGGACAAACATTCCCTTCAGGCACCCGGGGGGTCCCCCCGTGCCAACCCCTCCGTGCCGCGCTCCGGCCTCGGGGCTCCCCCTTCCTTCCAGGAGCGATCCCAGCCCCGCGGGAGGGGCCAGGGAGCAGCAGCAGCTCCAGGAGTGGTCCTGCCCGCCCGGAGCCAGCCGGAGAACTCCGGGAATCCGGGCAGGGGCGGGAGAGGCCAGAGCTCAGCAGCCACGGGGCGAGGGGGCGAAGAAATACACGGCCAGGAGGATGAAGTAAACCATCACCAGCACCGTGCCTGGGGGGACACAGCGGGGAGGGGGAGTTAAAGTCTGGAGGGCAGGTAAAGTCTGGCCTGGAGGAGCCCCCTGTGGAGGAATTTCGGGGGCCTCTGCAAAATCCCAGTTAAAAGGGGGGTTTAAGCCTTTTTAAAGGGTAAAAAGGGATTCCCCCCCGGAGCAGCTCTAAGATGGCCAAACCAGACCCCAGAGAGCAGGTTGGAGGGAGTTGTTCCATGGAGCAAGGAGAGAGGTGGATTTAAGGCGTTCTGGGGTGCTCTGGATGAGCCCCCCTGTAGAGGAATTTCAGGGGCCTCTGCAAAGTCTCAGTTAAAAGGGGTTTAAAACCCTTTTTAAGGGTTAAATGGCAGTGATTTCCCTTGGAGCAGCTCCAGCACCTCCGAGGCAGCCAAGCAGGACCCCCACACTGCTCAGGTCACCCCACCGCGCGCAGAAGCCCCCAGGGTGAGTCCAACCCCCCCCCCCCCAAACGTGCCACGTGCCAGGTCACCTTGGAAGTAGTCACATTTGCCGTCCATGAAGGTGTAGTTCATGAGCACCACGCTGAACATGCTGGCGTACACGTGCAGGTCGCTGAACACCAGCGTGAAGTTGGTGGGCTGGGGGAGGCGGGACCGGGCTGAGCAGCGTGTCCCCAGCCCCACACAGGGGGGGTTGTGTGTCACCCCCAGGGTGAGCAGCGTGTCCCCAGCCCATCAGGGGGGTTGTGTGTCACCCCCGGGGTGAGCAGCGTGTCCCCAGCCCCACACAGGGGGGGGTTGTGTGTCACCCCCAGGGTGAGCAGAGTGTCCCCAGCCCATCAGGGGGGTTGTGTGTCACCCCCGGGCTGAGCAGCGTGTCCCCAGCCCATCAGGGGGGTGTGTGTCACCCCCGGGGTGAGCAGCGTGTCCCCAGCCCATCAGGGGGGGTTTGTGTGTCACCCCCTGGGCCACCCGTCTGCCCCCGCCCAGGCGGGACACGCCCAACCCCGCCGTGAGCAGAGGGGACACAGCGGGGTGGGGGCGTCCCCTCCCCGTGTCCCTGCGTGTCCCCAGCCCTGCGGGGGGGAGGGGGGGTGTCACCCGGGGCTTCCACTCACGTAGAAGATGGTGAAGAGCACGAGGATGGGGATCTGCAGCATGCAGACCTGCACGGCGATGCAGTTCCCGATCTCGATGCTGCGGAGGAACCAGGACTCGGGAGCTGCCCCGGGAGGGAGCAAAACCCCCCTCGGGGAGCCAACCAGGCAGCCCATCCTGCTCTGATCCCGCTTTTTGGGCGGCTTCGAGTCCCCTCAGGGGCGAGTTGGCAGGATCTGCCCCCCCAGGGATTGGGCAGCCCACCCAAGGCAGCAGGACAGGACTGGGACAGGCCACGGGCACCACCCCAAAACTCCTCCTTGGAGCCAGCTCACCTCAGGCTCAGGTTGTTCTGGAGGGCAAACTGGATGCCATTGACAATCTCTGGCAGCTCAGGCACCATGGCCAGCACGGTGACACCGATGAAGTACTGCAGGGGAGAGGGGACATCAGCCCGGCCCAGCCACAGCCAGGAGCTCCTCGGGGGGAGGAGCAGCTCAGCACCTTTTCCCTGCAGCTTCTGGGGCTCAAACTGCACCCCTGGGTGGGGTGTCCCGGTCCCCAGGGCCACCCAGCCCTGCCCCCCCAGCGTCCCCACGGCTGTCTCACCTGGGAGATGGTGGAGTTGGTGAGGATGGGGCTGATGTGCTCCGTGGCCAGGTCGGCACAGGCCGACATGCAGAGGGTGGAGAGCAGCAGGATGACCAGGGCCCGCCAGCGGGACCAGTGCACCACGGCACTGTGGTGGTGGCCTGGCACTGGAGGGACAGGGACACACTGGGACCAGTGACACTGGGACCAGAGACACACTGGGACCAGTGACACAGTGGCGCTGTGGTGGTGTCCTGGCCCTGGGAGGGACAGCAGCACGGTGGGACACCCCAGGGTGCCAGGAATTGGGGACACTCACTGTGGCAGCCGCTGATGTGGATGTCGTAGATGTGGGAGTGGGTTTTGAGGGTGAAGCAGAGCCCCACGAGGTAGCCAGCAGGGAGCAGCAGGGACACCGTGTACACCAGGGGTCTGTGGGACACAGGGGACACATCAGGGCCACCAGGGCCACCTGGAGACCCCTGGGATGGGGGCAGAGCGGGGAGTGGCAGGGATGGAGGAGGGGGCAGGACACGCACTGGACGTGGCTGTAGTAGAGGGTGCCGTTGTTGTCCATCTGCAGAGAGAGCACCGGTCAGGGGGGACACAGGGACAAGGGACAGCCCTGCTGCCACCACCACAGCACCACAGCTGGGCGATCAGAGCATCCCCAGCCCCAAAATCCCCATTAGAAAACCCCAGAGTGGGAAGGGACCCACAAGGGTCATCAAGTCCAGCTCGTAAGTGAATGGCCATACAGGGACTGAGCCCACAACCCTGGCACTGCAGCACCAGGCTCTGACCAACTGGGTTAACCCCAAATCTGGGGTTAATCCCAAACCCAAACTGGAAGGGACCCACAAGGACCATCAAGTCCATCTCATAACTGAACAGCCCATGTGGGGACTGAACCCACCGCTTGGCATTTTAGCACCAGGCTCTGACCAGCCGAGTTAATCCCAATTCCATGGTTAATCCCAGTTCCATGGTTAATCCCAGTTCCATGGTTAATCCCAAACCCGTGGGCCACCGCTGGGGTGCCCCAGCCCCCTCACCAGGTCGAAGTGGCAGCTGTGGCACAGGTAGTGGCCCAGCGGGTTCTGGGTGACGTTGTGGCACTCTCCGCACACCAGCTTCCCATACACCTTGGAGAACAGCGTGGGGGCAAAGACTCCTGCGGGGGGACAAAGGCACGCGCGGGGTGGGCGCCCAAACCCCGGGGGGACCCCCCCAGCTTCCCCCTCGGAGCCGGGGCCGCGCCGGTCCCCACTCACCTCCCACCGAGAGGAAGAGCAGCGCGGAGCTGACGCCGGCAGAGCGGCTGTTGAAGCGCTGCTCCTGGTGCCGGATGCCCCCGATCACCATGCACAGACCCTGCGGCACAGCCCCCAAACCCCTCAGCGCACGGACAGCCCGGCCGAGGGGGACCCGCCCCAAAAGAGGGGGAAGGGACCCACCAAAACTCGGGACCCAGGAAGAAAGCTGGAAGGTCCCCACCGGGATCAGCGCCCGGGTCCTGCCATCCCCCCCGCCCGAGCCCCCCGCTCACCGGGATGAAGAGCACGCAGCCCACCAGGGTCCCGGTCAGCGCCGCCTTCACCACCTCGGCGTAGCAGGCGCTGCCCTCGCGGGAGCCCTTGAGGAGGGCGCTGATGTAGAAGGTGAGTTCGGTGACGGAGCCGAAGGTGGCGTTCACCACCGCGCCCACCGCGAACGTGCTCTGCGCGGAGATGCTGCGGGACAGCGGCGGCTCAGGGGAACAGCGGGGACAGCGATGGGTCAGGGGCACGGCGGGCACAGAGGGGACAGCGGGCACGGCGGGCACAGCGGCAGGTCAGGGGCACAGAGGGCACGGCGGGGACAGCGGGCACGGCGGGGAAGGGACTGTCCCCTCTGGTGGCACCTGGGGAGGCGTCGCCTCGAGTGCTGTGCCCAGTTCGGGGCCAGTCCCGACAGGAGGGACACGGAGGGGCTGGAGCGTGTGCAGGGAAGGGAAGGGAGCTGGGAAGGGGCTGGAGAACTCCTGAGGGAGCTGGGGGGGCTCAGCCTGGAGAAAAGGAGGCTCAGGGGGGACCTTCTGGCTCTGCAAGTCCCTGACAGCAGTGGGGGGTCAGGCTCTGCTCCCAGGGAACCTTGGTTTGGAGCCCTCACCTCTGAGAAGGGCCAAATTCCCCAGAACCTTTAAAAACATGGATTTTGCTGCTGGGCACACCAAGCTTTAAGTTGTCAAGAGGGGAAAACCAGGTGGGGATTGAAGACACAAACAGGACACTGTGCGAAGATCCCAGCAAAGGACACACAAAGCCCAGAGGGAGCCAACCACGTTGGAATAAGCCTCAGAACAGCTGGAAAACGTGGGCACATCCCACGGGATGTGCAGGTCCCAGAGAACTGAGCGTTCCCAGGCAGTGTCCCCGGGCTGCCCCAGCTCACCTGGCGATGGCCATGCCGATGTAGTAGGACAGGGGCATGATGGAGAGCAGGGCCAGGGAGAACTTGAGGGTGGAGCTGCTCAGGTGGTTGTGGCTGTCCAGGTACCCCAACAGCAGCGTCACCAGCACCAGCGGCAGCAGGTCTGGGGGCTGGTCAAGGACACTACAGAGCAGGTGGGATTTGGGGTCACCCCCTCCCCTTCCCCTCCATCTCACCCCATCCCCAGCAGGTCCGGGGGCTGCTCAGGGAGACACCCAGGGCGGGGTGGGATCGGGGTCCCGTCCCAGCGCCCCCGGCGATGGATACTGATGGCGAAGACGTTGAGGCCGTGCACGGAGTACTTGTAGTAGTAGGGGTTGGCGGCGCGGTGGCAGCACAGGAGCACCTCCCCCTCCAGCGGCACCTCCGTCTGCGGGGACACGGCTGGGTGACCCCCCTGCTGCCACCCCAGCCCCCCAAACCGCCCCCCACCCCCTGCGGGAGCCTCACCATCCTGACCCTGCGGACACGCACGCGCTCGGGGGGCAGCAGCAGGACGCGGGTGGCACTGCGGGCGCTCAGCTTGGCCACCGGGATGGTGACGATGAGGAGCCAGGCGGTGACACACACCAGCCCGTGGCACAGGGCCAGCAGCGGGTACCCCAGGCACAGCCAGGCCGCACAGCCCACCCGGCGCTGCAACGGGAGGCACCGTCAGGGTCGGCCCCCAAACACCCACCCCGGGGAGAGGAGGGGCCCGGGGGGGCTCTCCCCACCCTGGGGGGCTCTGGGGGTGCAGTGCCTGGTGTGGGGGGTGTCACCCTGCCCGGTGTGGAGCTCACCCAGTATCCCGTGCCCTCCCAGCACCGCGGGCTCCAGCGGGCTGGGGTGCGACCCCCCAGCAGGGCCGAGCTCTCCCCCGCTCCGGCCTCCTGGGATTTGGGCACCTGGGGGACACGGGGGGGGTCAGAGCGTGGCACAGCACACCCCACCCACCCCCTGGGATTCGGGATGCACCTTTACCTCCACCTTCTGGATCACTTTGCCGAAGGGCCACAGGAAATACCCGGCCAGGTCCCAGCACAGCCGCCCTGGGGGACACCGGGGACACTCTCGTGTCCCCTCCAGCTCCGGGGAGAAGGGACGCAGGAGATCCCCACGCTGTCGGGAGCCCAGCCGGGACACCCCCGGCTCCCCCAGCCCCTCCCAGCGCTGGGACTCACCGTGAGGAGCCCCCACCACGGTGAGGAACATCCCGGCGGCCACCAGCCCGTGCAGCAGCGAGAGCCACCAGCCGAAGAGCAGCAGGTACAGGACGTTCCCGCACGTCACCGTGGACCCTGCGGGGATGGAGGGGGCACAGCTGGGACCCCCTGGCACCCGCAGCCCCCCCAGAGCCGCAGGGCTGTCCCCGGTCCCACCTGCAGGGCCCCGGAGCACGGTGAGGTCAGAGTAGAGCTCCTTGACGATGTCTGAGCGCTCCTCCCAGGGCCGCGCCGTCACGTGGCTCTTCCACTTCTTGAAGCCGAACTGCGGACACCGGGGGGGTTATTTGGGGTGGGTGGAGAAAAAGCCAGCCCGTCACACCCCCCGGAGCTCCCCCGGCCCCACGGGCACCCACCTTGTAGTTGTTGGAGAGCTTGTTGGCCTCCACGGCGTTCTCGGCCGTCAGGGTGGTCCTGGCGCAGCTCTCGCACTCCTCCAGGTGCGGGGGGGGCGCGGCTGGGGGGGCACACGGCGGTCACGGGGGACAGGACCCCCAGGGGCACACGGCGGTCACGGTGGGGAGACGGGACCCCCAGCACCCCTGCCCGGCCCCCCCCACGCCCACCTACCCGCGGGGCCGCGGGGCCGGTGCTGGTGACAGCCCGGCTCGCCCAGGTCGTTGTTGATGGTGGAGCAGTGCCGGTCGCACAGGGAGCCCCGGCGGGAATCCCCCCGGGAATCCGCGGCCTTGGGAATGTCTGTGGGAGCGCCTGGAGTCACATCCAGTCCCGCTCCTGCCCCGGACAAGCAGGTGCTGCTGTGGGGGGTGACAGCCCGGTCCCCGAACCCCACGGGGGACGGGGACACGGAGTTCCCAGGGTGGGAGCCAAGGGATGCTGCGGGGGGGACCCCACCCGTGCCTGGGAAAGGGGAAGGGGGGTAAATCCCACGCGGTACCTGGCGCGAGGGTTGGGAGGGGGGATCCCACAGTGCCCGGAGCGAAGCCCGGGAGGGGAGACCCCACAGGTACCTAGGAAATGGGGGAGAAATCCCACTCGGTGCCCGGAGAAAGGGTTGGGAAGAGGGACCCGGCAGTACCCAGGACAGGGGGGAACCTCCTCTGGTGCCCGGAGTGAGGCTGGGGAGGGGGGACCCTCCCAGGTCCCCGAGCCCCGCTGGTGCCCGGAGTGATGTTCGGGAGGGGGGACCCCACAGGTGCCCGGGAAATGGGGGGGGAAATCCCACTCGGTGCCCGCTGTGGTGCTCGGGGAGGGGGGGAAGGGGGGACCCTCCAGTGGCCAGGAAGGAGTACCCTCCGGAGCCCCCCGCGGTGCCGGGAAGGGGGGGCGCTCCCCGGAGCCCCCCGCGCTCACCGGGCGGGTCCTGCCCGCAGCAGCGGCGGCAGCAGCGGCGGCGCCGGGCGGGCTCGGCCTCGCTGGCCATGGCGGTCCCGGGGGGCGATCCCGGAGCCCCCCCGGCCGCCGGAATTTAACGGGCGGGGCCGGACATGCGCGACCCCGGCACGGGCCGCCCCCGCACACCGGCAGGGCCGCGCCGGGCAGGGCCGCCCCCGCACCGGGGGATGCGCCGGGGAACGGCGGGAGCCGGGATGGAGGGGCGGGGATGGGGGGCACGGCGATAGGATGCGCAGGGATTGGGGTGCACAGGGATTTGAGGTACGCAGGGGGATCGATGCTCAGGGATTGGGGTGGGCTGTGTATCAGGGTGCGCAGGGACTGGGGTGCGCAGGGATTGGGGTGCGCAGGGATTGGGGTGCGCAGGGATTGGGGTGCACAGGGATTGGGGTACACAGGGATAGGGATGCACAGGGATTGGGGTGCACGGGGATAGGGGTGCCCAGGGATAGGGGTGCCCAGGGATTGGGGTGCGCAGGGATTGGGGTGCGCTGTGTATCAGGGTGCGCAGGGATAGGGATGCACAGAGATTGGGGTGCACAGGGATTGGGGTATGCAGGGACAGGGATGCTCAGGGATTGGGGTACACAGGGATTGGGGTGCACAGGGATAGGGATATGCAGGGATTGGGATGAACAGAGATTGGGGTATGCAGGAATTGGGTACACAGGGATTGGGGTGTACAGGGATTGGGATGCTCAGGTATTGGGGTGTACAGGGATTGGGGTACACAGGAGTGGGGGTGCCCAGGGATTAGGATGCGCGGGATTTGAGGTGTGTGGGAATAGGGGATGTGCTTTATCGGGGTGCCCAGGGATTGGGATGCCCAGGGATTGGGGTGCTCAGGGATTGGGGTGCCCAGGGATAGGGATGCTCAGGGATTGGGGTGCACAGGGATTGGGGTGCACAGGGATTGGGATGCGCAGGGATTTGGGGTGTGCGGGAATAGGGGATGTGGTTTATCGGGGTGCCCAGGGATTGGGGATGCACAGGGATTTGGGGTGCGCGGGAATAGGGGATGTGGTTTATGGGGGTGCACAGGAACTAGGGTGTGGGGTGCACGGGATTGGGGATGGCCAGGAGTTGGGGTGTGTGGGGTATGGGGGGACACAGGGATTGGGGGGCACGGGCGGGGCTGGCAGGAACTGGGGTGTGTGATAGATCGGGGTGCACGGGAACGAGGGGGTGTTGGGGTACACAGGGAGGGGGGGCTCGGGAACAGGGTGGGTGTTGGGGTACACAGGGAGGGGGTTTATGGGGAGCAGGGCTGTGGTGCAGCAGTGTGAGATGGGCTCGGGTGCATGGGGAGTTGGGGTGCACAGGGTGTCAGGGTGTAAGAGGGACCAGGGGCACAGGGACTGGGGTGTGTGATGGACTGGGGTGCACAGAGTATTGGGGTGCACAGGGATGGGTGTGCCATCTATTGGGGTGCACAGGGACTGGGGGGGGGGGGTGGGGTATTGGGGTGCACAGTGTACTGGGGTGCACAGGGATGGGTGTGCCATCTATTGGGGTGCACAGGGACTGGGGGTGTGGGGTATTGGGCTGCACAGTCTGGGGTGTGTGTGTTATTGGGGTGCACAGGGATGGGTGTGAGGTATTGGGGTGCACGGGGAGCAGGGTGTGCCATGCATTGGGGTGCACAAGGAGCAGAGTGCAGTGTATTGGGCGCACAGAGATTGGGGCACACAATTTATTGGGGTGCACAGGGACTGGGTTGGATGGGGACCAGGGAGCAGGGTGTATTGGGGTGCACAGGGACTGGGGTGTGCCATGTCTGCAGGTGCCCAGTGCATGGGGTGCCCAGGGTATGGGGTGCCCAGTCTCTTGGGGTGCCCAGTCTCTTGGGGTGCCCGGTGTATTGGGGTGCACAGTCTATTGGGGTGCACAGTCTATTGGCGTGCACAGTGCATGGGGTGCCCAGTGTATTGGGGTGTACTGGGTATGGGGTGCACTGGGTATGGGGTGCAGTGTATTGGGGTGCCTGGTGTATGGGATTGCACAGGGTAGGGGGTGCCCAGTCTATTGGGGTGCCCAGTGTATGGGGTGTAGTGTATTGGGGTGCCCGGTGTATTAGGGTGCACAGGGTATGGGGTGCAGTGTAGTGGGGTGCCCAGTCTCTTGGGGTGCCTGGTGTATTGGGGTGCCCATGGATCTGGGCTCCTGGGAAGGGGCTGCCCAGGGGGCTGGGGGTGCCAGAGACCCCAGAGCTGTGCAGGGTGGGGTGTCTGCAGAGCCCTGAGCCCGAGGGAGCCCCAAGGGACGGGATCTCTGTGAGAAAACCCCTTTTTTGGGGGGAAAGCAGGGGATTGTCAGGGTTTCTGCACTTCAGGTCTTCAAACACGAGAAAAATGCAGCTCCAGGGGGCTTTTGGGGTAAAACCAACAAAACCTGCTCCTGGCACATCCCCCCTTGGCCTGGGGTGGATTTGGTGCTGCTGAACCCAAGAAAAAAAATCTCAAAAAGTGTTTGATGAAATGAACTATTTAATTCAGGAACCAAATGAGCCACTTTGGTCCCATTCCTTGGAAAAACCCGGGGCCCCCCAGAGAGGGAGAGTCACCAAAACCCGTCAGTTCACACCAAAAAACCAGCCCAGAGTTCCACAAATCCCTCTTTTCCCACCCCCACAAAAAACACCGTGCAGTGATCCCGTGTTCCTGTGGTCCCAAATTCACCCCAAGTGCTCCTTTGCCAGAATTTACACTAGTGGAAACAACTGAAGTGGAGATTTGGCAGAAATCCACCGAGCCATTCCTGGAAACAAATCCAAGTGGTTTCCCCCCCACCCCCAAAAAAAGTCTGGTTTCCCACCAAGGTGCTGAAGCCACATCCCAGTCCCTAAAACTTCCCCCCTCCCCCCCCAAAAAAAAAAGAGGTGATGAGTGAAAAAAAGGGGAGCAGGAGAATCAAACCCCAAGGTGAAGTGTGGGGGCCCCACAGGGAGGCCAAAGCTGCTGTTTGGGACTAAACAATTCACTGAAACAAAATGACAATAAAACTGTCAAATGTGAGTAAAAAGTGTGATTTGCTGAGTCAATCTTGGTTCCTGCTCCACTGACAGCAGCCCCTGTGGGGTCAGAGACACCATCACACCAACAATCAGGATCAGAGCTCGGGGGGTTTTGGCATCAAAGGAAGCAAAGCCAGGTCTGAACACCCTGACCGGGATTTCCTCATGCCCAGAGGGGGTTTCCTGGATCCTGGAGCTCCCTGGGCCCTCCCCTGGGTTGGATCATCCCTGGGTGTGCCCGGGACCCACGGGAGGCTGCTCTGGCTGAGCCCTCCCAGGTTTAGGCTGGCTCAGTTAAGCTCAGTTTAAAGGGGCCCCTCAGGTGAGGAGCAGGAAGGAGAGCCCTGCCTGGAGCTCATTCCCGGAGCACTCGCAGGGAAACGTTTCATGGGGTGCCTGGGCAGGGGATGGATCCCTGCAGGAACCACAGACCCTCTGGGAGCAAAGCTGAGCTCGAGTGAGCCGGGTTTAATCAGCAGGGAGATGGTCCCAGCAGGGCCCTCAGTCCCCGAAGATCCACAGGATGTTCACGCCAGACAGGCCCAGATTGACCCGCCTGGAAAACACAAAGGGAGGGAATGAGACCTGAGGGGAGAGCTGCTGGGTTATCCCCCCAGAAAGGGGCTTGAAACCCCATTGATAAGTGATTTAACCCCACCAATAACGTGATTTAATCCCATTAATAAAGTTATTTAATCCCATTAATAAGTGATTTAACCCCATTAATAAGTGACTGAACCCCCATTAATAACCCCATTCCTGATCCCCCCAGTGCCATTTCCCATTTTTTCCCACCCCATCCCCCCTTTTCCCAGCACCTACCCCAGCATCCCGGATTCCTTGCTCTTGATGATGTAGAGGAACATGAGCAGGGTGTGGAACATGTTGTTCCTGCCCTGGATCCGCAGGAGGAGGGAATGGAAAACCGGGAATTACAACAGGGACTTTGGCCAGCCTGGAGCTTCCCCCCGGGAATTCTCATGGACCAGGTTTGGGGGCCTCAAGGGGTGACAACGAATCAGGGATTGGGGTGTTTGGGTTAAAAAAATTCTAAATTATGTTTAAATTTCAATTTAATGTACAATAAATTGGCAGAAAACCAACTGCACATCAGGGACTGGGGCGTTTGGTGTTTAAAAAAATGGGAATTTTACAGTAAGTTGGCTGAAAAACCAACAAATCAGGGACTGGGGGAGTGGGTTTGAAAAAAATTCTGATTTTATAATAAATTGGTAGAAAAGCAACAAATCGGGGATTGGGGTGTTTGGGTTAAAAAATTCTAAATTGTGTTTAAATTTCGATTTAATTGAGCAGGAGAGGATTCCTGGAAATGGGAGAGGATTGCCAGGAGCAGGAGAGGATTTCTGGGAGCAGGAGAGGACTTTTAGGAGCAGGAGAGGATTCCCGGGAGGAGGAGAGGATTCCTAGGAGCTGGAGAGGATTTTTGGGAGGAGGAGAGGATTCCCAGGAGCAGGAGGGGATCCCCAGGAAGGAGTAGGAGGGGATTCCTGGGAGTGGGAGAGTACTCCCATGAGTGGATTCCCGGGATCAGGAGTGCATTCCTGGGATCAGGAGAGCATTCCCAGGATCAGAGGGCATTCACAGGATCAGGAGGGCATTCCCAGGATCAGGAGCGTATTCCCGGGATCAGGAGGGCATTCCCGGGATCAGGAGCGCATTCCCGGGATCAGGAGCGCATTCCCGGGATCAGGAGGGCATTCCTGGGATCAGGAGCGCATTCCCAGGATCAGGAGGGCATTCCCGGGATCAGGAGGGCATTCCCGGGATCAGGAGCGCATTCCCGGGATCAGGAGGGCATTCCCGGGATCAGGAGGGCATTCCCGGAGCAGGGAATCGGCCGTACCTTGGGCAGGCTGTAGACGTGGCACTCGTAGATGAGCTCGTAGTGGGGGGGGTTGATGCTGCTCTGGTAGATGCAGAACAGGTTCTCGTTGGAGGTGTCTGCCAACGACAGGGGCACGTTTAGGGGCTCTGGGGCGATCCCAGAGGGAAAAGGGCGGCTGTCCCCGTTCCCAGGGCGGGGCAGTACCTGGTTTGTCCGGGCTCTGGATGAAGTGCTGGGAAGTGAAGGTTTTGCCGTCGGGGTACTTGGGGTGGGGCGGGAGCCGGGAGTCCAGGTAGGTGCAGAACACGTGCATGAGGATCTGGGGATGGACCCACAGCTCGCTGGGATGGCCCCAAAAGGCACCCAGGAGTCCAGCACAGCGGGGCCAGGCCGGGCTTGGCACCCTGGCTTAACCCAGGGCTTGGGAACAGCTCTGGGAATAAAGCACCCAGCAGGGCAGGAACCCAAAACCCAGCTCTGCCCACCCCAAACCCTGGCCCCATTCCCAGGGATCCCCTCCATGATCCCAGGCAGCTCCTTTTCCCATTTTCCCCCCGAATCAGGTTGGGATCGAGGCCCTGACTTGGCAGGGGGAGCAGAACCCTGTGCTGAGGGGTCCCTGGATCCCAGGGATCCCCCCGTGTTCCCAGGGAGCCCCTTTTCCCATTTCTTTCCCCCAGAATCAGCTCAGGATCGAGGCCCTGAAGCAGCATCAGTTCCATGGCTGGATGCTGGGGATGAATTCCCAAAGATCCCAGGGCAGGATCCTGGTGGATCCCAGTTCCCCCGACATTCCCAGGGCCCATTTTTCCCACTTTCCCTATTTCAGCTTGGAAGGGACCTCAAAGCTCACCCAGTCAGCTCCTCTGCTGTTCCCACTTCCCCACACTCTCCCAGGCCCCCCTGGCTGCTCCTTCCAAAGCCTATCCCCAAACCCAAGCCCCCATCCCGGTGTGTGTGGGATCTCACCGCCGAGTCCGTGGGCAGGTCCGTGTCCCACTTGCGGCCCTTGAAGTCCCCCCCGGCGTTCCAGCGGAAGGAGCTCATGCAGCCCCCCTGGGACAGCTCTGCAAGCAACAACGGGGCACATTTGGGATCCAGGGATAAAGGGGCTTCCAAATGGTGTGGAAGGTTTAATGCACATTTCTGGTGTCCAAACAGGAGTGACTCAACCCAGGGAATGGCTGGGAGGGGACTTGGGCAGGGAGGGAAAACTACAGGGTGGGGTTTGGTCATGAGGGGGTTTAATCCAGACATTTTAATCCAGGACATTTTAACCCAGCACTTTGCACCCTGAGCATGGAGGAAATCATGGAATGGTTTGGGTTGGAAGGGGCCTCAAAGATCACCCAGTTCCAAGCCCCTGCTGTGGCCACTTCCACTGAGTGGGACACTCCCAATGGCTGGGTGTGGAAGGGTTTGGGATGAGGACACCACGTCCCTCTGAGCCTATAAACCCACCAGGTATTCCTGGTTTGGGGTGGGACCCAGGCTGGAATGGTTTAGGATGAGGACACCACGTCCCTCTGAGCCTTTAAAGCCACCAGGTATTCCTGGTTTGGGGTGGGATCCAGGCTAGAAGGGTTTAGGGTGAGGATACCACATCCCTCTGATCCTTTCCACCAGGTATCCCTGGTTTGGGATGAGGATACCATGTCCTTCTGATCCTTTCCACCAGGTATTCCTGGCTTGGGGTGGGACCCAGGCTGGAATGGTTTGGGGTGAGGACAGTACGTACCTCTGATCCTTTCCACCAGGTATTCCTGGTTTGGGGTGAGATCCAGGTACTGCACCAGGGCGTTCAGGGTTGGGATGAGAGGAGCCTTCACCAGGGCCGCCTGCTTCAGGCTGCTGATGCTGGCCTCTGGAATGCAGGGACACAGGGATCACCAGGGAGCTCCTGGAACATGCTGGGATCACCTGGGATCTGACCCCACCCCCCCCAGCCATTCCAGTGACAACCAAGTCTCCTCTACGTCGGAATTTCAAAGCTGCAGGGAACCCACAGGGAGCAGAAAAAGGGGAGGGACAAAGTGGGAATGAGAGCAGCATCCCAGTTTTCCAGAGATAAAGCTCGGTGAGAAACCCCCCAAAACCTGGGAATTTCGTGGAAATGCACCCCATCAGGTCCAGCTCTGGGCTAAGGAGACACAAATTTGGAGTAAGGGAACCATTTCCTTCAAGCTGTGGTTGGAAAAGCAAACCCCCCCCCCCCGAATTTAAACCCACAGATTTCTTGGAAAGCAGCTGATCTGGAGGAAGAACTGGGAAAAGGACACAGCAGTGGAGACAGAGAGCAAAGGGAGACACTGAGGGTTTACAGCACATTTAGCTCTGAAATGCTTCCTGACATTAACAGGCAATAACTGATGATAATTTGGGTGAATTGATAATATTATAATAGTTATAATTATTTATATGTTCTAATTTCTATATTTCATATATATGTGAAACATATTTCTATATTTCATATATTTAGATATGAAATACAGTTCTATAGTTCATACATTTATATATGAAATGCATTTATACATTTAATATATTTATATATGAATTTATATTATATTTTATATATATTTATATGTTAAACACATCTATAGTATTTATATATAAATATATTTTATATATATTTATATATGAAACATATCTATATGTTTAATATATGTATATATTTAATACATGTATATATTTAATACATTTATATATAAATGTATAATATTGTATAAAAATAATTAAGTAAATTTAGAAGGGGAAAAAAAGAAAAGAAAACCATAAAGAGAGCCATTGCTGCATTTTACACAAGTGTCTGTGTGCCAGCTCAGTATTCCCAAAGAGTCTTAGCAGGAATCTTTCTGGGAGGTGGAACCAAGACCACACCAAGAGAAGAGCAGAAAAGGGACAGAAGTGATTGATTTAATGTATTACAGATTGATGTCATGTATTTCAGTAGCCCCTGTGCAGCACTCCTGGAGTTCCCACCTCCGATGTGCAGCTCGGGACAGCCCATCCTCCTCAGCTGGGTGCTCACCGACTCCATCTCCTCCACCAGCGGCACCAGGATCGTGTCGTTGATCCACTGGGACGAGGACAAGGGACAAACTGCGGGTCACAACGGCCAGCCCTGGGTGTGCACCCCCTGACACCCCCCCGTCACAGCTGAGCACACACCAGGCCAGGGAAGGAGGGGACACTTTAATTCAGTGATCCAGTCCAGAGTTGAAAGGATCCTTTAACACCCCCTGGAAGGGCGGAAAATCCAATGCAAAGGAGTTGGGAGAACAGCTCTGCATTGGTGAAGCTTCTCTGGACAACAAGGGGCATTTGGAATCACGGCCCTCCAACCACAAGGATTAATTTTTGGGGTCACTTGGTGGAGTTCTGGGCCTACTGTTGATGTTCAGGAATAAAGGGAGGTGACCAACACTTGGGGTGGGATCTGACAGCCCATGCCAAGCCTCAGGCACTGCAGCCCTTCCCATCCCAGGCAGAGAATTCCCTACTCCCCTTGTCTCTGAAGCCCAGGCATTCCCTGAAGATGGGACTTACATTCCTGAACTTGGCTGTCCAGGAATCCATGTGATCCAGGAGCTGCCTGTTCATCGTCACCCGCGCCCAGACCTGTGGAAAGGTTTGTTCAGAACACAGGAAAACCTCACACAACACCCACGGCTTTCAGGGTCCATGGCAATTCCTGCCACTCCCAGAGGAAGGAAGCTGGTTGAACACTGGAGGATTTCCCCCCCTCCATTTTTCTGCCCCAGATCCAACCCAAACCTTTGCACAAAACTGTGCTTTTTCAAGGCCTGTTTCTCCCCTGGGAGCACTTTTGCTGCGGGATTTACCTCCTCTGCTGCCTGTTTGGAGCTCAGATCTGCCTCATCCTTGTGTGCTGAGGGCGCCTGGGACCTGCAGGCCAGCTGGTACTGGAACTTCCTCAGGATCTGGGCATGGTCTGCCATGGACCGGCTGTAATTCCAGAAGGTTGGGCTGTTGGAAGGGGAGCTGGAGTCTGAACTCCCTGCAATGATTCAATCAGTGAAGTCACATCATTGCCAGTTAATTCTGGAGCAACAGCACAGGCACAAGTCAGAGTGAAGGAACACACTGCAGTCACTCTGCACAAACACCCGACTCATCCTTATCTGAACTGGCCCTATCCAGGGTGAAAACTGCCTGGGGGTTGTAATTTATACCCTTTTATCGTTATGTGGATTGTCCCTGCCCAGGATAAAAACAGCCTGGGGTAGTTTACATCCTTTTATCCTTGTGTGGATTGTCCCTGCCCAGGATAAAAACTGCCTGGGGTAGTTCACACCCTTTTATCCTTAGGTGGATTGTCCCTATCCAGGATAAAAACTGCCTGGGGTAGTTCACACCCTTTTATCCTTAGGTGGATTGTCCCTGTCCAGGATAAAAACTTCCTAAAAAAGCCATGGAGATGTGTAGAAACCCCGGTGTTCCACTGTTCCTCAGCAGATGAAGCTGCTGAGCAGCTTGCCAAGCTCCCAGAGATTCCCAGAAAGGGTACTCTCCTCACCCAACCCAGAATAAAGCCCACACCTTCCCATTTGCAAGCTGTTCCCACGACAGCCCGGGTATTTACCCAGCTGCACTCTGTGCTGCTTCTCCTCCTCGTTCCTCAGGAAGGTGTCCAGGGACTTGACATCAGTGATGTAGTCGTCCTTGTGGGTGTTGTTGTTGTACAGGATGGGGGAGAAGCGGTAGTGGGACCGGATCCCCCCGCTGTCCAGCACTCCGGTGGAATGGGGGGATCCATTGGGAGAGTGGCTGAAGCTGGAAACCTGGGGGGAGAACAGAAGCACTCCCAGCGGGTCTGGTTCTGCCTCCCCAGGCTCAGCAGGGGGACGGTGCAGGGTCTCACCTTGCCGTAGGTGCTGCCGGGGGAGCAGGTGCCGGAGGCGCCGTGGGCAGGGCCGGGCAGGGCCTGGAGCTGGGGGGCGAAGGCGCTGGCACAGCCCGAGGGGAACTTGGGGCTGGCGCCGGGCGAGCGGGACGGGCTGTAGCTCAGCACGCACTGGCCCTGGCTCGGCGGGGACGGCCCCAGCGACAGCACCCTCTTGGCTGCCGGCTCGCGGGGAGGGGTCACCTGCACGGCTGAGGGGACAGCGGGGTCAGCACGGCACAGGGACAGCTGCTGCTGACACCCTCAGATGTCACAGGGACAGCTGCTGCTGACACCCTCAGCTGTCACAGGGACACCAACACTGCTGACACCCTCAGCTGTCACAGGGACAGCTGCTGCTGACACCCTCAGCTGTTAGAGGGTCACCAACACTGCTGACACCCTCAGCTGTCACAGGGTCACCAACAGCTGCTGACACCCTCAGCACGGCACACTGTGTCACCAACAGCTGCTGCACACCCTCAGCATGGCACAGGGCACCAGCTGCTGCTGACACCCTCAGCTGTTAGAGGGTCACCAACAGCTGCTACTGACACCCTCAGCATGGCACAGGGACAGCTGCTGCTGACAACCCCAGCTGTTAGAGAGGACACTGACAGTCATAACTCCAGCTCAGACTCCCCAAAGCCCCAGTTCAGTTCCCAGCTTGTGTCAGATGAGGTAATCTAAAATCAGGGAATATTTTGAGGGGAGGTAATCTAAAATCAGGGAATATTTTGAGCAGGAAGGGACCCCCAGCACCACCAAGCCCAACTCCTGTCCCTGCACAGACCCCCCCAAATCCCGTTCAGTCCCCAGCTCCAAGGAGGTAAATGCAGATTGACCCCACCCCAGAGCCCTGCCCTAGGGACAGAACCCCCCCAAACCAGCCCCAAACCCCCCAGATGTTGGTCATTCCCACCTGCCCTGCGCAGCCAGCCCAGCACCTGCTGGCTGGGGGTGCCCAGGTTGGGGGTGCCCAGGCTGGGGGTGCCCAGGCTGGGGGTGCCCAGGCTGGGGGTGCCCAGGCTGGGGGTGCCCAGGCCGGCCGGTGCCGCTGAGTACTTGAAGTACCTCCAGAAGTCAAAGAGGGCGTTGAGGCTGAACAGGGAGGCGAGGGCAAACTCTGCAGAAAAAGCACAGGTTTGAGGCAGGATCTCACCAAAACAACAGTCCTGGGACACAAAGGGGCACTGTGGGGGCTCCCCATCCTCGGGGGCACCTCCTCGGGTAGGAACCAGCCAGGGCAGCTCCCCTGCCAGGCTGGCACTCACCGGCACCTTCACACCCTTAACACGGGGTGCTGACAGTTAACTCTGGTATTTACACATTTCACTGACACATTTCAAGATTTCACTGAAACATTTCAAGATTTCACTGAAACATTTCAAGACTTAAATATTTCAAGATTTAATCCAGATATTTTAAGATCTGACTTAGATACTTTAAGATTCAATTTAGGTATTTTAAGATTTAACTTAAATATTTCAGGATTTAACTCAGCTATTTAAGACAGCTATGTTAGGATTTAACTTGGACATTTTAAGATTCAATTTAGGTATTTTAACATTTAATTTAGATACTTTAAGATTTAACTTAGCTATTTTAAGATCTAACTTAGATACTTTAAGATTCAATTTAGGTATTTTAACATTTAACTTAGCTATTTTAAGATTTAACTTAGCTATTTTTAGATTTAATTTAGGTATTTAAACTTAGACTTTTAAGATTCTACTTAGGTACTTTAAAATTTAATTTAAATATTTTAAGATTAAATTTAAATATTTTACACTCAATTAAAATAGTTTAAGCTTTAACTTGGATATTTTAAGATTTAACTTAGGTATTTTAAGATTTAACTTAGTATTTTAATTTTTAACTTGGATACTTTAAGATTCGACTTAGGTATTTTAAGACTTAATTTAAATATTTTAGAAAATTAAAATATTCTAAGATTTAACTTGGATATTTAAAGATTTGATTTAGATATTTTAAGCTTTATCTTAGCTATTTTAAGATGTAATTTTGGTATTTCTGGATTTAATTTATGCATATTCAGATTTAACTTGGGTATTTTAAGGTTTAGCCTAGACATTTTAAGATTCAGCTTAGATATTTTAAGACTCAATTTTAGGTATTTTAAGCTTTATCTTAGCTATTTGAAGCTATAATTCAGGTATTTTGGGATTCAATTTATGTATTTTAAGATTTGACTTAGCTATTTTAAGATGTAACTTAACTATTTTAAGGTTTAGCCTAGGTACTTTAAGATTTAATTTTTAAAACTGGATGGTTATTTCCTCAGGAGATCTCAGGCCTCTGAGATTCCTCCTCCTTCTCATCCTGTTGGATGCATCTCCAAGTCTCCTCCTGGAAAATAAACTGCAGCTGCTGCAAAATGCCCCCCACACCAGTCAAACCTGACCTCCACAGCCTTAATCCACACCTTAAAACACATTTAATGCTCCAGAGAAAGTCCTTCCACGGTGGGAAAAAAGCTGTTCAATCTCCTCCTCTGCCACCAAAAGGGATGAAACCCCAGCGGTGCCGAGGGAGGGCACAGAGCACACCCCGAAGGTTTGGGTTCAATTTAAAACGGGGAAATTAAAAAGAAGTTCCCTTCGAAAGGCCCTGCCGGGGGTGGGAATGAGGGGGGAAGCAAAGGATGCCGATGGGATGGGCAGGAACTCACCGATGTACCACAGCGCGAAGCAGCTCAGGTTGTAGTACGTGCTCAGCAGCTTCCCGGTCCTGCAAGGGAGGAGGAGAGGCGGGAATTCAGCAGGGATTCCAGCGGGAATTCAGCAGGGATTCCAGCGGGAATTCAGCAGGGATTCCAGCGGGAATTCAGCAGGGGTTCCAGCGGGAATTCAGCAGGGGTTCCAGCGGGAATTCAGCAGGGGTTCCAGCGGGAATTCAGCAGGGGTTCCAGCGGGAATTCAGCAGGGATTCCAGCGGGAATTCAGCAGGGGTTCCAGCGGGATTCCAGCGGGAATTCAGCAGGGATTCCAGCGGGAAGGGAGGTGTGGGGCTGGGGGTCCCCAGGAACGCACATTTCCGTGTAGATCAGCCCCGCCATGGAGATGTTGAGCAGCCCCCAGGCCAGCACCACCTTCCTGGCCTCGGCCTGCTTCCTCATCCTCACGGCCAGCTCCAGCAGCGACGTGTCCGGGCTCCTGCTGGGGCTCATCTTGGCTGGGAGACGAGAGCAGACACAAATTACAGCGGCTTTTCTCCCCCCAGGGCAGCTCCCCTTCCCCGGGGACAGGAGAGGAGCAGTTCAGCCTCGCCCTTCAATGTTAACAAGAACAACTTTGAGGAGGAACGGCCTCGCTCAGCTCCGCAGGGTTTTTACAGGCAATTCCCACTCCTTTCAGCAGGTAACAGAGGATTTGCTGGGATAGGAAACCCACTGGTTGTATTTTCTCCTCTGTGCCCAGCAGGACTTTGTGTGAAGGGAACAACCCTGTCACAGGCAGGGAGCCCCCACAGCTCCCCCCAGACCTCGTTTCTCCCCCTCCCCAAACCTCTGCACTTCCCCATCCCCAAAACACTCCTCTCTCCCTCTCCAACCTCATTTCTCCCCTCTCCCCAAACCCCTACATTTACCCCTCCCCAAGCCTCTCTGTCTCCCCCAAGTTCATTCTTCCCTTCCCCAATCTCCACCCTTCCCCAATCCCACATTTCCCTAATCCCCCTCCCCAAACATCAATTCTTCCTTCCCCAAAATCTCCCCTCTCCCCCTCCTCAAGCCTTTCCTTTCCCCCCTCCCAACCTCTCCTTTCCCCCTTCCCAAACCTCCCCCTCCCCAATCTGCCCTTCCCAAACCCCCTTCTCCCCTCCCCAGCTCTCCCCTTTTCCTCTTTCCCAAACCTCATTTTTCCCTCATCCCCAAACCTCTCCCCATCTCAAACTTCTGCACTTCCCCCCCACAAACCTCCCCTCCCTCTCCCCAAACCTCACCCCCCCAAAACCGCCCCTCTCCTTCCCCAAAAACCCCAAACCCCCCTTTCCCTTCAAACCTCTCTTCTTCCTCTCCTCTCCCCAACCCCCATTCCCCTCTCCCATTTCCACCTCATTCCCGCTCCCCTACCCGCTCTCTGCTCTCCCCAATCCTCCCATTCCCATTCCCGTTCCCGTCTCACCGTTCCCAATCTCGTTCCCATTCCCGTCTCACCATTCCCATTCCCGTTCCCATTCCCATTCCCCTCCTCGGTCTCTCCTCTCCCCAGTCCCCCCATTCCCATTCCCGTTCTCGTTCCCATTCCCGTTCCCACTCCCCTCTCACCGTTCCCATTCCCGTTCCCCTCTCACCGTTCCCATTTTCAAATCCCCTCTCACCGTTCCCGTTCCCATTTCCAATCCCATTCCCATCTCACCGTTCCCAATCCCATTCCCATTCCCCTCTCACCGTTCCCATTCCCATTCCCATTCCCCTCTCACCGTTCCCAATCCCATTCCCATTCCCCTCTCACCGTTCCCAATTCCCATTCCCATTCCCATCTCACCGTTCCCAATCCCATTCCCATTCCCCTCTCACCGTTCCCATTCCCAATTCCATTCCCATTCCCCTCTCACCGTTCCCATTCCCAATTCCATTCCCATTCCCCTCTCACCGTTCCCAATTCCATTCCCATTCCCCTCTCACCGTTCCCATTCCCAATTCCATTCCCATTCCCCTCTCACCGTTCCCAATTCCCAATTCCATTCCCATTCCCCTCTCACCGTTCCCATTCCCAATTCCATTCCCATTCCCCTCTCACCGTTCCCATTCCCAATTCCATTCCCATTCCCCTCTCACCGTTCCCATTCCCAATTCCATTCCCATTCCCCTCTCACCGTTCCCATTCCCAATTCCATTCCCATTCCCCTCTCACCGTTCCCATTCCCAATTCCATTCCCATTCCCCTCTCACCGTTCCCGCTCCCCTCACGCGGCCGGGTCCCTCCGTGCCCTGTGCGCCTGCGCGGGCGCTCGCGCCGCGTCACGGGCGGCGCCGCGCGGAAGGGGCGGGGCCGGGGCCGGGCGGGTGGGAAGGAAGCGCTGAGGGAGCCGCCATGTTGGGGGGAGCGCCTCCCACGGACACGCCGTGCTCCTTATCAATATCCTTATTGGTAAATTAATGCGGCACGCGGAGTAGCGCCTTCATCGTTCCGCGTGGGCGTCACCTCGTGTTTCTGCACAAGCACAACTTCGTATTTCATATACATGTACAAGTGTAACCGTATGTCTGCACAAGCACAGCCTCAGATGTGTGTACAAGTGTACCTGTGTTTCCCTACAAGCACAAGCTCGTATTTCTGCACAAGCATCACTTCAAACTTCTGTACAGGCGTAACTTTGTGTTTCTGTGCAGCTGTAAATTCCTATTTCTGAAAAACCATAACCTCATCTTTCTGTAAGGGTGTAACCTCATATTGTATACAAACACAATTTCACTGGACAAGCACAACTTCTAATTTATGTACGGGCGTAACTTCATATTTGTGTACAAACAAATTTCACCTTTCTGTGCCAGTGTAAGTTCCTGTTTCTGTACAGACACACCCTCCTATTTCTGCACAACTTCAAACTTCTGTGCAAGTGTGACCGTAGTTCTGTGCAGCTGTAAAATCACATGTTTTGTACAAGCACAGCCTCACATTCCTGTACCAATGTAACTTCAGATTTCTGTACAGGTGTAACTTCATATTTCTGTAATATTTCTGTAAAAGCACAATTTCGTGTTTCTTACAGGTGTGACTTTGTATTTCTGTACAAACACAACTTCCTATTTCTGTCCAGGCATACCTTTGTATTTCTGTGCAGGTGTATCATCTTCACCTTTCTCTACAGGGGTACCTTCTAAATTTTGCTCTGAAATGCCATAAATGAAAAGGGGTTTGGGAATTCACCTATGGTGACATTGGAGAAGCGTCAACGTTCAAAACTATTGGAGTAATCCAACAAAAGTGGTTGTTGGTCTCTGCTCCCAGGGAACTGGGGACATGATGAGAGGAAATGGCCTCAAGTTGTGCCAGGGGAGGTTTGGGTTGGATACTGGGAAAATTTCGTCATCAAAAGGGTGGTGAAGCCTTGGCAGGGGCTGTCAGGGCAGGGTGGAGTCCCCAGCCCTGCAGGGATTGAAATCCCCATGGATGTGGCACTTGGGGACAGGGGGCAGGGCGGCCTTGGCAGTGTGGGGAGGGGGATGATCTTGGAGGGGGATGATCTCAGAGCTCTTTTCCAGCCCAAGGGGTCTCCAATCCAGCAGTCCAGGCAGGCAGAACTTGTGTTGAGGAGGTTCAGGTGACCTTTAGTGCCTCCCGTGTCCCCAGGCTGTCCCTGACTCACTGCATGACTCCACATCCTCTTGGGACAGCGTGGAAGGGATGTCCCAACCCTGCCCACGCTGGAGTGCCCTAATTGGGAGCATGAATTGCCCTGACCAGCCCTGTGTAGGGTCCCCGAGGTTGCTGGGTTTGGTCCTTGCTGGAGCTGTGGTGTGTTTCCATCCTGGCTGTGGTGAGTCCAGGCTGGATTTGGGCTGGTGGTTGTTTCCCTCCTGGCTGGATTTGGGCTGGTGGTTGTTTCCATCCTGGCTGTGGTGAGTCCAGGCTGGATTTGGGCTGGTGGTTGTTTCCATCCTGGCTCTGGAGCTGCCCTGGACGTTTCTGAGGACCTGGACCTGGTCAGTGCTCCAGACCTGCTCTGCTCCTCCTCTGTGGGTTCCCTGGGACTCTACTGCTTGTGGTGGGCTCCCTAATCATAACCCTAATCCCACTCCCACTCCCAATCCCACTCCCAATCCCACTCCCAATCCCAATCCCAATCCCACTCCCAATCCCACTCCCAATCCCAATCCTAATCATAATCCTAATCCTAATCCTAATCCCAATCCCAATCCCAATCCCACCTGCTCTGCTGAACTCCCCAGTCCCCTCTGCCTCGCTGTCTCCTTTGGCTTTCTGCTGCTCCCTCATTTCCTGGGGTGTTTTGGACCCTGGGATCTGCACTCTGGATGTTTTCAGCCTCTTGGAATCCTGGATTGGGTTGGCTTGGGAGGGACTCCCATCTGTCCCTGCCCTCTGGCACTGGGAAGCCATTCCCTGTGTCCTGTCCCTCCAGGCCTTGTCCCCAGTCCCTCCCCAGCTCTCCTGGAGCCCCTTCAGGCCCTGCTCTCCCTGGAGCCTTCTCTTCCCCAGGAGGAACATTCCCAGCTGTCCCAGCCTGGCTCCAGAGCAGAGGGATCCAGCCCTGGGAGCTCCTCTGGATTCACTCCATCACCCAAACCTGTGGCTCTCTCCAAACCCTGCAGGACCTCCTGGCTCCGGTCGGAGGTCAGAGCTGGAGGGTCAGGAGTGGGTACAAAGGTTTGGATTTAAATGCAGCTCCCTAAATGCAGAGGGTGGAGGCCCTGGCTGAGGCTGATCAGGAATCCCCGAGCGGGTTGGGATACTTTGGATCCTGACACGTTTGGCAGGATCTCCTGGCAGCCTTTAAATCCGTGAGGGATGTGGAGTGAGTGATGAAAGCTCTAATTGTGCCCGGGGTTAACTCCCTCCTTCCTGTTTTCACGGAGTGAGTCCAGGGACAGCTGCTGATTCCTCAGGGACTGTTGGAGTCCACAAGCTACAGGTGGGATCTGACTCCCACCAGAGCCACTGTAGCTGCAGAAGCAGGAACTCAGCAGGAAATGCCCACGATGGTTCCTGACCCTCAGGATCAAGTTTGGCTCTTTGATTTGGGCTTGTTTGCCACGGACTGCCCCCAGGACAGGGTGACTCATTCCCAGCAGCCCAGCCAGGCTGGAGCCCTGCCTGGGGCTCCCTCTGTTCCCAAAACACCAGAGCTGGCCTTGCACAAGCTCGGGGAGTGACCCCATGCTGGGCCTGTCTGGCTGTGGGGACATCACGAGGGAGGGGGATGAGGGGAAGAACAACAGGAGCTGCTGGAAAAGGCACTGTCCTTATTAACAGCTTCCTCTGGGAATTGTCCCTTGGAATTTCCTTGTTCTCCTGAGGGGGATGGAGCAGCTCAACCATCTCCCTTCCATCCCATATTCCCAGGAATCCCATCTGCAGGGTCAGCTCCTGCCTGTTCCTCAGCAACATTTTCAGTGGGATAAACAACCAGCGGATCCAGCTCCAAGGGAGATTATTCCCAAAGTTCACTCAGGAGGCTGCCTTGACTCCCTGCACACGGATAACAACAACTGCAATATCTGGGCACCTGCAACAAGCAGCGTTGACTGGGACAAACCCCTCTGGGATCCCTGTCATCTCTGGGACAAACCCCTCTGGGATCCCTGTCATCTCTGGGACAAACCCCTCTGGGATCCCTGTCATCTCTGGGACAAACCCCTCTGGGATCCCTGTCATCTCTGGGACAACCCCCCCCAGCCGGAGCTCCGGAGCCGCGGTGAGGGCTGGGCTGGCTCCCTTTTCCCGTGCCCAGCAATCCGTGTGAAAGGACACACATTGCTGGGCTCGCAGCCTCCTGCCCCCTGCTTTGGCTGTGTCAGTGGAAAATCCGGCTCTGGAGGTGCCCTGGGCCTGCTGGTGGCCTCGAGGGTGGCGATAAGGGTGGGAAATGGGCACGTGGGGCGATAGCGCGGCCCTGATAAGGGTGGAGCTGGCAATAAAGCCCCGTAACCCCCTTTCCCCAGGCTGAGCCGAGCCCACAGCGACCATGAGGCTGCTGCTGATCCTCAGTGCCCTCCTGGGGGCCTGCCTGGGCCTGGAGACCTTCGAGGGGTGAGTGTCTCTGGGGTTTGGGGCCGCCCAAGCCGTTGTTTGTGGGTCTCGGCTTTACCAAACCTGCCTGGGGCACATTCCGACCCTTCTCTGACCCATCACTCTCATTCCTTCATCCCTGGGGTTTGAGGGACTCTCTCTCCACTTTAATTTGGATTGAGCTCCTGAATTCCTGCTCCCCCCAAGGCTTTTCTTGGCTTTTGCTGTTCCCCAAGCCCTGAGCTGGCCCTAAACCTCCCCGCAAAGCTCAAGCTTTACGGATCTAGTCCAGCACAAAGCAGAGCTGAAAACCAGAGCCTGCCTTGGGATCAGAGAGCTCACGACTTCCCCTTGGCTTTCCAAGTTTATTCCTCCTGCTTTCCCTCATTTCTGCCTTCCTGAGCAGTTCAAATCCTCTTTAACAACCTTCCTTCCCTCTGTCAGAGCCCCCCAAAGTCAACACAGCGTCCTCCTCCTGCCCAAAACCCAACCAGTAAACCTGGGGCTGGTCCTGCTGAGCCACCAAAACCTCCCCCAGCTGTCACCTCCCCTGCTTGTTGGGGCAACTCTGGGGTGGCACCAAGTCAGGAGGTTAATTAACCCCTGCAATTAACCCCCCTAATGAACTCCTCCCTGACCCTGGGGAGAGTTCCTGAAGGCCCTGATTCCTTTGCAGGCACCAAGTTCTCCGCATCAACCCCAAAAATGAGGAGCAGCTCGGGCAGCTGCAGTTCCTGGAGTCGCTGGAGCACCTCGAGGTACGTCCTGGGGGGTTGGGAACGCTCCAGGTTGGGCAGGACTTTGCTCCTCTCTGGAAAAGGGCTCAGGATGTGAAATTGGGTCTCATCTGGAGGGTTTCCATCCCACTGCCATAAGTATTTGTACTGCCTTATTATAACAGAAATATATAAATACATCAATATAAATAAATAAATATAAAACATAAAATATACATGTAAACTATATAAATATGAATATAAAATTGATCAATATAACTATAAAATATGGCACTAAATATAAATATCTCAACATAAAATATATAAATATAAAATATAAAAATATATACCTATAAATATAAAATATATCAATATAAATACATACATATAAATATATAATTATGAAATCTATAAATCTATAAATATAAAATATATAAACATAAAATATAAAAATAGAATTTGCTGTCCTAACACCTTGTATTTGGTGTCCCACTTCCAGAACCAGCTCGGTGTCCAGGAGTGCCTGAATTCCTATTTTTTTCCCCTCCTGGATTTACAATCAGATTTGAATTATTCTTGCTCTTCATCTTGGTCCTAAACCCCCTGTTTTTCAAGTGGGACTGGTGGGTTTTTTGGGCTTCTCTCCTGGTGCTGTGGAAGGAATGGGTTGGTTGGTTTGTACCCCACTGAGACACAAAACCACCCTCGGATTCGGGAGAAACCAGCACTCCCAAGGCTGTTTGCAACTCACCCCCTTCCCCTTCCCAGCTGGATTTCTGGATAAGCCCCTCCGCCCCCGCCCTCCCCGTGGACGTGAGAATTCCTGCCGGCAGCCTCCAGCCGGTCAAAGCCTTCCTGGAATCCCAGGGGATCGGCTATTCCATCCTGATCGAGGACCTGCAGGTAGGAGACACCAACAGGCTCGTGGGGAGCCTTTCCACCTCCTGCAGGCAGGCAGGGCTTCCCAGCTGGGCCTCCTTCCCAGCGGGGGCTCTCCCGCTGTTTTTGTGGGCTGTGGGTTCCTTCCTCACGGACAATCCCTGGATCGCTGCAGGATCCCTGAGGAGGTGACACCTCCCTGGGCGGTGACATCGATAAACTCTGGGGGTTCCACCGGAATTCCACCCAGCTGTTCTGGCCACAGATACTCGGGAACCACTCCTGGAGTTCCTCAGGAGTCAGTAAAACATGCCAAGGGTAGTGACGGGTAAAAGTCACCCACGTGGGCACAATTCCAAGATTTTCCCGTGAGGAATGATCCCAACATGGCACCTGAGCCAGCGAGTCCAGAGGAGGGCACGGAGCTGCTCCCAGGGCTGGATCCCTCTGCTCTGAAGCCAGGCTGGGACAGCTGGGAATGTTCATCCTGGAGAAGAGAAGGCTCCAGGGAGACCTGAGAGCCTCTTGCAGGGCCTGAAGGGGCTCCAGGAGAGCTGGAGAGGGACTGGGGACAAGGCCTGGAGGGACAGGACACAGGGAATGGCTTCCCAGTGCCAGAGGGCAGGGACAGATGGGAGATTGGGAAGGAATTGCTGGCTGGGAGGGTGGGGAGGGGCTGGACTGGATTTCCCAGAGCAGCTGTGGCTGCCCCTGGATCCCTGGGAGTGTCCAAGACCAGGTTGGTGGAAGGTGTTGGGGTTGGAACTGGATGATCCTTCATTTCTCTTCCCACCAAGCCATTCCAGGATTCTCTGGGTAACTCAGCACAAACACTGCCTTTTCAAATCCATTTTGCAACCGGAGCAGACTTCTCTCACCCTTGGAATGTCTTGTTTTAGGATATTCTGGACAAGGAAAAGCAGGACATGGCTGAGAGCGCCCAGAGGGAGCGAAGCGCCAGCTTCGACTTCGGCTCCTACCACACCCTGGATGATGTGAGTGCCTCAGAGCAAGGGGGTTCTCTCTTTTTTCCTGGCCTTTCTTCATGCTGTCTTCCATCAGAATTCCAGTAGTAGGATCTAGATGTCTCTTCAGCTTCTCTTGGCGCCTGGTTTTGGTTTTATCTGAAAGGATTTAGTGGCCAGAACAATCAGCCTGGCCCTGGCAGAGCAAGTGCTAAGGAAACTTTTCCATGAGCTCTTGTGCCTAAACCCCTTCCTTCTGAGCCTCCAAAGAGACAGGGAAATAAAGGAATCTTGAAACAGGAGATAAAGGAATCTTGAAACAGGAGATAAAGGAATCTTGAAACAGGAGATAAAGGACTCCTTGCCCAGAGAAGCTGTGGCTGCCCCGTCCCTGGAAGTGCCCAAGGCCAGGTTGGAGCACCCTGGGATCGGTGTGAACCAGATGGTTTTTAAGGTCCTTTCCACACCAGACAAGTCCATGATTGCATGAAATGTGTTCCAAGCGTCCTTGTGCCTCCTCATTGCAGATTTATGCGGAGCTGGACCACCTTGCCTCTGAGCACAGCTTCGTGGAGAAGATCCAGATCGGGGAGTCCTACGAGAAGCGTCCCCTGTATGCCCTCAAGGTACACCAAGCGTGCCAGGGCTCGTCCCAGCGCGGGGCAGCCGTGGCAGAGCTCAGCCCAGAGCACCCAGCCTGCCTGGGATGGTTCTGGCTGACAGGTGAGCTGAATCTTCCCCTTCCATCCCCAGTTCAGCACCGGCGGCTCCGCCCGCCCGGCCATCTGGCTCGACGCCGGCATCCACTCCCGCGAGTGGGTCACCCAGGCCAGCGCCCTCTGGATCGCCAACCAGGTTCCTCCAGCTTTGCCTCGCCCTGGCAGCGTCCCAGAGCATTCCAGGGATCCCACAGCTCCGTGCTGAGCCTCCTCCCTCACCAGAACGACCCCCAGGCGGGTGTGGTGGCTGCCCAGCCCCAGGACTGGAACACGCAGGGTCTTGTGAAGAGCTCAGTTTAGGGAGACCAAAGGCAGCAGTTCAGGGAGACAAAGTGGAACAGTTCCTGTGAAGCTGTTGACAAAAAGAGGGCTGATAATTCCACAAATAACCAAGGCCCTGGAGATTATTTTGCTGCTTTGCTCTCAGAGAAACGCTGTGTGGTTGGTCCCCTCCCACAGCAATGCCCCAACCTCCATCTCTGTGTAAATTTAAACCATTTCAGGCATTTAAACCCTGCTGGAGATGCCTAAAGCACCCCAGAAGTGCAGCCCAGTGCAGTATTCCCAGCCTGGCTGCTCCATCTCAGTCCCAGTGCGGGGCCCCGGTCAGTTCTCTGGGAAAAGGGAGTGGGGAATTTTATTGCCATCCTCCATTAACCTCCAAATCAAACAGATTAATTGGCCATCAGATAACTGATACTCTTGTTCCCCTGCCCCAAAATCCACCTGGGAGGGCATTTGGGGCAGGAATGCCCTGATGACCGGGGTGTGCTGTGGTGTCTCTGCCCAGATTGCCTCCGGCTACGGAACAGACTCCTTTGTCACCTCCCTGCTGGACAAGATGGACCTTTTCCTGCTGCCAGTGGCCAACCCTGACGGCTTTGTGTACACCCACACCTCGGTGAGTGAGGGGGCTGTGGGGCTGGGCTGACCCAGGGGCTGCCCTGCTCTTCCAAGGAAATAACAAACCCTGGGAAAGGGGCTCTGGAAGTGCCGTGAGAAGGAACTGCAAAGAGCAGTTTTAAATCACTCAAATACACCACCATCCCCTTCCCTTTATACCATGAGCCCATCAGGAATAAGGCTGGGATCCCTCCCTGGGGGATGGCAGCTCTCTCTGGGAGCAGCTGGGACACAAACACCCGGGGTTCCTCACCTTTGGAAGCTGTTCCTCCCTTCCAGAACCGCATGTGGAGGAAGACGCGCTCCAAGAACCCGGGCAGCGTGTGCTTCGGCGTGGATCCCAACAGGAACTGGGACGCAGGCTTTGGAGGTAGGAATGAGGAGCCTCTGGGTCCTGGATCCTGTCACAGAGCAGCAGGAACAGCAGCAGGGACTCAGAGAGAGCAGATGGGCCCTCAGGATGGAGCTGTTCCCAGTACAGACCATTGACTGCCCAAGAGCACGGGGGGAAGGTGGGACCCATGGAATTGTGGAATATCTGACTGCTTTGGCTCAGGAGGGACCTGAGACACCTTTAGTTCAGGGCAGGGACACCTCCCACTGGGCCAGGCTGCCCCAAGCCCCATCCAAGCACTGGACACCTCCAGGGACGGGGGTTCCACAGCACAACCCCCTCCGTTCCAGGTTGTGGCGTCTGAAAGCACATCCCTTGAACGTTCCCACCCTGGCCCTGCCCTTGGAGGGTTTGCCAGCATTTCAGGCCTTGCCTTTGGCTCGAGACCTGCCCTTAGGAGAGCCCTGGCCCTTCCAGGACTGTCCCTTCTCAGCGGGCTGTCCCCTCCTTGCCCCGCCAGGTCCCGGGGCCAGCAACAAGCCCTGCTCCGACTCCTACCACGGCCCCAGCGCCAACTCCGAGGTGGAGGTCAGATCTGTCGCTGACTTCATCAAGAACCACGGCAACTTCAAGGCCTTCCTGACCCTGCACAGCTACTCCCAGCTCCTGATGTATCCCTACGGATACAAGTGCACCAGGCCCAACGACTACGCCGAGCTGGTGAGACACAAACCCTGCCCTGGCTGCTCCTTCCCGGGCTCTCCACGCCCCAGGCCCTTCCCTAAGAACAGCAGTGTGGACCTCACTGCCCCAATTCCAAAGGGAAAGCCCTCTGGGGGGCTCCACTCCAGCCCTTTGGAGCCAGAGCCGCTTTGGGAGGGGGTGGCCCAGTCAGGGCCTTGCCTTGATCAAACCGAGCTTGGGGTGGTTGTTTGGATTTGTTTTGATGCTTCTAAAGGCAAATCCCACACCTTCCCAAAGTCCCACCCTTCCAAAAACTCTCGTGGGTTTTTTCTTTGTCCCTAATGCCTAAATGCAATTTTTCCCCCATGGCAATTTGTTGCCACTCGTCTTTTTCCCACTCCCATGAAGATCCCAGCTCTGTTTTCCATAAAACCCCTCTTAGGTAGTTAAAGTGAGGACAAACCCAGCCATGGAGTATTGGAATATCTCAAAATTCCTTGGGATTTTCTGGTATCCCTTGAACCTTCCCTTGACAAGAGAGGCAGTGAATGAAACTCCGGATGATCCATTCTGGAAGCTGTTGGGGATCGTTCCACCTGCAGTGCCCCTTCCCAGGAATGCTGTGGGAGCTGGGAGTGCTGGGGGTGGGTGGGGGTTTCTCTGAGTACCTGCTGAAGTTTGGCTCTTCCTGACCTGTCCCTGGCTGTGCTCTGCAGGAGTCCCTGGGAAGAGCCGCTGCCAACGCCATCAAATCCGTGTACGGCACCACCTTCCAAGTGGGGCCCATCTGCACCACCATCTGTGAGTGCTGAGCTGCTCTGGGATCCTGGGCTGGGCCTGGGCAGCAGTCCCTTCCCTGGACAGCAATCCCTGTCCCTGGACAGCAGTCCCTTCCCTGGACAACCATCCCTGTCCCTGGACAGCAGTCCCTTCCCTGGACAGCAATCCCTGTCCTGGGACAACCATCCCTGGACAACCATCCCTATCCCTGGACAGCAATCCCCATCCCCATCCCTGGACAGCCATCCCCATCCCTGGACAACCATCCCTATCCCTGGACAGCAGCCCCTGCCCCTGGACAACAATCCCTGTCCCTCCCACAGTCTCTGTCCCAGGACAACAATCCCTGTCCTTCCCCAATCCCTGTCCCAGGACACCAATCCCTGTCCCCATAATCCCTGGACAACAATCCCTGTCCAACAATCTCCATCCCCACAATCCCTGTCCCCACAGTCCCTGTCCCAGCACACCAGTCTCTGTCCCCACAATCCCTGGACAACAATCCCTCTCCCCCCCAAGTAATCCCTATCCCAGCACAACAGTTCCTGTCCCCACAATCCCTATCCCAGGACACCAATCCCTGTCCCCACAATCATTGTCCCATCACACCAATCCCTGTCCAACAACCTCTCTCCCAGCACACCAATCCCATCACACCAATCCCTGTCCCATCACACCAATCCCTGTCCCCCACAATCCCTGTCCCATCACACCAATCCCTGTCCAACAACCTCTCTCCCAGCACACCAATCCCATCACTCCAATCCCTATCCCATCACTCCAATCCCTATCCCAGCACACCAATCCCAACCAAACCCCCCCACAGCGTGACCTCCCCCCCAACACCATCTCTGAGCGTGTTCCCCCAAACCTGCCCCCTTACCCCTCCCAAACACAAAAAGCAGGACTCCCGAGCTCGCAGATTCCCGAGCTCATCCCTGCATTCCCTGCTTTCCAGACCAGGCCAGCGGGGGCAGCATCGACTGGGCCTACGACCAGGGCATCAAATACTCCTTCGCCTTCGAGCTGCGGGACACGGGGCGCTACGGGTTCCTGCTGCCCGCCAACCAGATCGTCCCCGCCGCCACCGAGACCTGGATGGGCCTCAGGAAGATCATGGAGCACGTCCTGAAGAAGCAGCCCTAAGAGCCGGCGGTCAGCAGAGCGCTCTCCCCTCGGCCGGGACGGTGCAGATGAATAAACCCCCACCCCCCGCGCATCCCCCCGTGCCGTGTCTGGGCTCGTTCCTTCCCCGAGCGTGGGACACCCCCCAGGAGGGGTCGGACACGGCCCTTCCTTTCCACGCATCCAGTGCCACCCCCGGCCGTGGGCAGGGACACCTCCCGCCAGCCCAGCCCGGCCTGGGACACTCCCAGGGACAGGGAGAGCCGGGAGGGGCGGGCAGGGATGGACCTGGGCTCGGAAAAGCAGGGAAAGAGAGTCCGATAAAAGCCACGGATAACGGGGATTTGGACGGGCTCAGCGGGATTTGCCCTTGTCAGGAAGCAGGAGAACAGTGAAAAAGAGGGGAAACAGGGAAATGAGGGAAGCAGGAAATTCCCTGATGGTTGAAGGCAGTGATGGAATCCTGGAATGGTTTGGGTGGGAGGGGACCTTAAAGCCCATCCAGTGCCATCTCTGCCATGGGCAGGGACACCTTCCATGATCCCAGGTTGCTCCACCTGGCCTTGGACACTCCCAGGGATCCAGGGCAGCCACAGCTTCTCTGGGAAATCCAGTCCAGCTACTCCCCACCATCCCAACCAGGAATTCCTTCCCAAAATCCCACCTATCCTTGCCCTCTGGCACTGGGAAGCCATTCCCTGTGTCCTGTCCCTCCAGGCCTTGTCCCCAGTCCCTCTCCAGCTCTTCTGGAGCCCCTTTAGGCCCTGCAAGGGGCTCTCAGGTCTCCCTGGTTCCCTCTCTTCCCCAGCCTGCAGAGGCAGGTGCCGAGGGGCTGCTGGGAGCCCCCTAATCCAGGCTGTCAGGTGATTAGAGGAATTTAATTGCCTTTAACGAGCCTCAGGACGTTCCACCGAGCGCTGCCATCAGGGGGATCTCCTTCCTTACTGTCCCCATACGTTTATCTCGCCCCTTTTCCCCTCCCACCTCTGCCCGGTGGACGCGGTGAGGGGAGGGTGGAGAGGGGGGACACCTCTGTCCCTCCCTCCCTGCCTCCAGCACCGCCAGTCCCGCTCCCTCGGGATCCCCCCCTCCCTTCTCCTGTTGTCCCCCCGCTAATTAATTTCTTTGGGATTAAGAGCAGAGAGCTCAGGAGGATCAGGGATTAGCCGGTGCTGCTGCGCTGGCCGTCAGGTCTGACGGGTTTATCTCGGCAGTCTTGTGACCCCGCAGCAGCTGCGGAGTTACTCACCCCTCGCTGAGCAGGGCAGGACAGCAAACACCTCCCGCGGCACACGGGACCCGAGGGCAGCACAGCAAAGCCCTCGGTGAGCGGGGCAGGACAGCAAACACCCCTCGGTGAGCAGGGCAGGACAGCAAACACCCCTCCGTGAGCAGGGCAGGACAGCAAACAGCCCTCCGTGAGCAGGGCAGGACAGCAAACACCCGCTGCCTTCGGGTCACACTCCCTGTGCTAGTGCAGACTCACCTGATGTGCCCCACAAAAACTCAGTTCACACTCAGTTTAACTCGGATTCCTTAGTTCAGTTCAGTCTCACCTGATGTGCCACACAAAACCTCGGTTCAGAGTCAGTTTAACTCAGATTCCTTAGTTCAGTTCAGGTCAGACTCACCTGATGTGCCACACAAAACCTCGGTTCAGAGTCAGTTTAACTCAGATTCCTTAGTTCAGTTCAGGTCAGACTCACCTGATGTGCCACACAAAAGCTCAGTTCACACTCAGTTGAATTCAGGTTCCTCAGTTCAGTTCAGACTCACCTGACGTGCCCACCTCAACAACCCCGGGATCATCCTGGGGGAGTCCAAGGCCCCTCAAGGAGGCACCTGCTCTGCTTCCAGGGCTGGCTGTGCTCCATCCAGGAGGGTGGATTTCCACCTCCTGTGTTCCCTTCCCACCCCAACAACCTCCTGACCCCTCCAAAGACTTCCCTGCCCACCCCCCTCCAGGTCCATCCCAGCACCACCGGCACCTTCCCAAAGCCGCAACCCCCCCGGGCCGCGGCACCTTCCCCAAAACCCGGGTTTAAGGAGCAAAATCCCGGTTTTAAGGGGGGGAAATCCCGGTTTTAAGGGAGGAAATCCCGGTTTTAAGGGGGAAAACCTGGCCTGGCGACGCCTGCCCTGAAAAGGCGCCGTGGGAGCGGGAGCCGGGCTGGGAATGCGGCCTGGGAAGCCGGAACATCCCGGCCGGGCCAGGTGGGAGCTCCGCAGATAAAGGGCCCACAAAGGCGCTGCTGTGCCGGGAACAAAGAGCCGCTGTGAGCCCGGAACAAAGCCCGGCTGTGGCTGCCACCGCCCGCACCCCCCGCGCCAAGAAAATACCAAAATCGCTCCCTTTCCACCCAAAACAGAGCCCCTGGCTCTCAGGTGAACGTCCCTGTGCCGCTCCGGGACATCCATTTGGATGGGCACAATCCGTCCATCCTGGGATGGGGATGGATGAACAGCACCGGGAGTGAAGGGTGTAAATTGAATAATAAATCGAATAATAATACATAGATTAATAAATTCAATAATAAATCGAATGATAAATTGATCAATATTTTGAATAATAAATCGAATAATAATTTGAATAACATTTTGAATAAAGAATTTAGTAATAAATGGGATGATAAATTGAACAATAAATGGATTAATAAATTGAATGATGAATAATAATTTGAACAATATTTCGAATGATAAATCGAACAATAAATTGAATAATAAATCGAATAATAATATGAATGATAATTTGAATAATAAATTGAATAACTTATTTGAATGTTGTATCTATTTTTAGTTCCATAGCTATATGACTATTGTATGTATATAATCCTATCTATCTATAGAATCATATCTATATATATACCTGCTTGCTTTCCCGCCGGTGAATTTCTAATTACACAGAAATCATAATTAGAATTGGCTCGTCAAGAGGGATGTGTAATGAAGAATAAAGAGTCCCCCGGGAGGGAATGTGTGGGACACAGACACTCGTGGACGCCCAGCCTGTCCCTGCTGGTGGATTTTGGGGGCTGTGCCGCCCGTCCCCTCCTGCCGTGGGTTGGGGGTCTCCGGAGCCCGCGGGGGCTGCGGGCCGGGCCGGGCCGGGAGCGAGGAGGGCCCTTCTGAGAGCCGGCCCCGCTCGGTGTTGACTCTGCCAAGCCAAGCGGACGTTTGGGCTCCCGGAGCAGCTCCCGGAGCCTCTCCCAGCCCCGTTTCCAGCCCCGCTCCCTGCCCCGCTCCCGGCTCCGCGGCCTCGGGACGAGCTCCCGGAGGGGCTTCCCCCGGCCTGGGGGTCTCTCCATCGCGGGGCTCGGGGTGCCCTCACCCCCACCATGCGGGTCCTCCTGGTGCTCGCAGCCCTCGCGGGAGCCGCGGGCGCCGAGCGGCGATTCCAGGGGTGAGTCCTTCCCACGGCAGGGGGGACGGCCCGGGGGAAATCCATCGGCTCGGGGCTGCTTCCCAACCCGGACAAAGGATGCTGTCCCCCTGGGATGGAGGGAGGTTGGAAATTAGGGAATGCTGGATCCTGGAAGCGTCACCCCAGGCTTTGCCAGGGGGGCAGAATCCCGGGAGATGAAGGGATAAGGGGTCTGTCCCAAACAGTGGGGGCTGGATGGCTGTGGAAGGATTGTTGGGTTGGATTACCAACCAAGGATTGTTGGGTTGGATTCCCAACCAAGGATTGTTGGGAATAACAGCCATGGGTTGTTGGGAATAACAGCCAGGGGTTGTTGGGAATAACAGCCAGGGGTTGTTGGGAATAACAGCCAGGGGTTGTTGGGAATAACTGACAAGGATTGTTGGGAATAACAGGCAAGGATTGTTGGGAATAACAGGCAAGGATTGTTGGAACAACAAAGATTGTTGGGAATAACACCCAAAGATTGCTGGGAATAACAGCCAAAGCATTTTGGGAATAACAGACAAGGGTTGTTGGTAATAACAGCCAAGGATTGCAGGGAATAAGAGCCAAGGATTGCTGGGAATAACAGGCTGTGGGAAAGAACAAGCTGTGGCCGGAGAAGGGGCCGTGGGGAGGTCGGGCAGGGATTTTCCAGGACAAACATTCCTGTTGCAGTTCCTGGAAATAAGTAACAGCCCAGCACAGGTGCAGGAGTGAGGTCAGGAGAGGGCATGGAATGCAGGGACCCTCAGAGCCTCCAACCCATTCCCATTTCCCTAAAATTTCCTTCCTTTCTCCCTCCCTCCCTTCCTGTCCTTTCCATCCTTCTTTCCTTCCTTTTCTTTCTCTTTTCCACCCTTTCCTTCCTTTTATTCCTTCTTCTTTCCTTCCTTTTCTTTCTCTTTTCCACCCTTTCCTTCCTTTTATTCCTTCTTCTTTCCTTCCTTTTACTCCTCCTTCTTCTTCTTTCCTTCCTTCTTTCCTCCCTTCTTTTCCTTCTCCCTTCCCTTTTCCCCCAGCCCTTCCTCCAACCCACAATTCCCAGGCCAAGTGTGTCATTTCCTAACAAAACTCTGGAATTTCAGGTGGATCCTCTGACTTCTATCCCTTTCCATCCTGAGCATTTACAGACCCCAGGTCCTCTCTCCCCCTCAGGGGTGGGAACATCCCCCTTGTTGGACAGGAGGCCGTGGTTTGAAGGGATCATGGACTGGAAAAATTGGGAATGCAACTCCTGCCTGACTCCTCCAGGCATGGAATGGGCCGGTGGGAATTGTTGTCCGTGGGTAAACTGATAAAGGGGGTGTGAAGAGAAGGAAGGGATGAAAGGGGGAAGGTGGAAGAGCTCCATGTGGGATTTTGGGAGAAGGGACTGGATCCCTGCAGGATTTCAGGATCAGTGAAACGAGGAGAGGGAATTCAGGCTTTGGGAGAAAGGAAAAGGGTGTTCAGGAACAGCACAAGAGCTTAGAGGCTCAGGAGTGATCCCAGACTGGAGAACCTGGAGGAGAGAATTCCTTCCCTTCCAAGGGCTGTACTTACCCTGGGAGAGCCCAGCCAGGCTGGAGTGGGAGCTGTTCGGACACAAATCCATGGATACAGACAGCACATCCATATTAGCCATTCCCTGACATTTTGGGAGCTGCCCAGCCAGGCTGGGACCCCCCTCAGATTCTCCAGCACTGCCTCTTTGCCCGTGGCTGCTCCAAACCTGCACTTTCTGCTCTCCCACCAACACCTGCTGCACTTCCCAGCCCTCCGAGCCCCCGGGATGTTCCCGAGGCTCCTCCCAGCCTGAGCCCCCATCCCTGCCCGCCCTCTGCCCCCCTGCAGGGACCAGGTCCTGCGGATCACGGCCCGGGACGAGGAGCAGCTGGCCCTGCTGAGGGGGCTGGGAGAGCAGGACGAGCTCCAGGTGAGCCAGGATGGGGCTCCCAAACATCCCCCCCATCAGAGAGCCTGGACACATCCAGGGCTCGGTCCTGCCTTTGCCCTCACATCCCTCTGCCCTCCCCGTTTTGGGTCTGTATCATTTATACCTCTGTAAATGGGATGTTCATCTCGGGGCTCCTTCAGCTCCAACTCACCTCGAGTGGGGACATCCCCAAAATCATCGTCCAAAGGGGCTTCTGTGGCCTGAAACCCCCTTGGGCTGAGACATGTTTGAGTAGAGGCTCCACTGAGTGAGGCCAACCCATCCACCTGTGTCCCAAAACTCATCCCAAAGCCTCTTTAGATCCTTCCTGGAAGCTCCCTGGAGGGTTCAGTGGGTGAGCACCACCACAGGGGGCTCTCCCAGGTCCAGCCAAACTCTTTCAGCCCAGCCTCTCCTTTCCAGGTCCCCGCCTGTGTCCCAAAACTCAAACCAAAGCCTCTCTAGATCCCTCCTGGGAGGCTCCTTGGAGTTCTGGGGGGCTCAGAGTCTGAGCACCAGCTCGGGGTGGGGCTGAGCTCCCTCCTGCAGCTCCACCTCTGCTGCCCAGGTGGATTTCTGGCGTCCCCCCTCCCGCCCTGGCCACCCCACCGACCTGAGGGTGCCCTTCCCCAGCCTGCAGGCAGTCAAAGGCTTCCTGGAGAGCCACAGCTTCTCCTACAGCGTCATGATTGAGGACGTGCAGGTAACGGGAGCAGGAGCAGCTCCATCCCAAGCAGGGCCAAACCCTCGGGAACCACGGGGAGCCGGAATTGGAACCCAACCCCCACCTCCCTCCAGCCTCTGGTGTTGGGGTTTCTGTGCCTCCCGAACAGGAGTTACTGGATGAGGAGAGGGAAGCCATGGTGAGGGCCAGGAGGGTCAAGAGAAGCTCCAGGACGTTCGATTTCGGCTCTTACCACACCCTGGACGAGGTGCTTTTCCCTGGAGAGGCTCTGCTGTGCCTGGCTGGGGTCACACCCCACCTGTGCTGTGGTTGCATCCGTGTGGGGACATTCCTGGTGGCAGGGGAGACACCCCTGGGACAGCTCTGGGGCTGGAAGGTGTTTCCAACCTCATTTTTGGAGGCTGGGATGGTGTTGGGGGATCTCAGAGCTTTCCCAGGGAAACACTGGTTTTTTTTCCAGGGAAGCTCTCAGTCTCCTCCAGGGGAGCTCAGGTCTCTTCCAGGGCAGCCCCAGGTCTCTTCCAGGGCAGCCCCAGGTGTCCTCCAGGGCAGCCCTGCACATTCCTCTGCTGCTGGAGGCCCTACAACCCAAGAGGCAGCCCAGGGTGAGCCTCCTGAGCCGGCAGCTCCTCCTTGCAGATCTATGCCTGGATGGACACCCTGGTGGAGGATCACCCCGGGCTCGTCAGCAAGATCCAGATCGGGCAGAGCTACGAGGGCAGAGCCCTCTTCGTGCTCAAGGTGAGTCCTGGGGCCCCCCCACCTCCTGCAGGAGGAGAGGACACGGCCTCAGGCTGTGCCAGGGGAGGCTCAGGCTGGCCATGAGGAGGAATTTGTTGCTGGAAAGGGTGGTGAGGCCTTGGCAGGGGCTGCCCAGGGAGGTTTGGAGTGCCCAGCCCTGGAGGTGTCCCAGGCAGGCCTGGCCGTGGCACTCAGTGCTCTGGGCTGGGGGACGAGGTGGGGATGGGGCACAGGGTGGATCCATGGGCTAGGAGGGCTTTTCCAGCCTCAGGGATTCCCTGATTCCCACAGTTCAGCACCGGGGGCTCTGCCCGGCCGGCCGCCTGGGTGGACACCGGGATCCACGCCCGGGAGTGGGTCACCCAGGCCACCGGCGTCTGGACGGCCAACAAGGTGACCTGGGGGGTCCCCACCCCTTCCCCTGCCCCCCCTCCCGGTGCTGCTCCAGCTCCTCCCTCATCCCGAGGCCATTCCCGCCCCCCTGCAGATCGCAGAGGCCTACGGGCAGGACCCCTCGCTCACGGCCATCCTGGACACCATGGACATCTTCCTGGAGATCGTGGCCAACCCCGACGGCTTCGCCTACACCCACAGCGCCGTGAGTGCCGCGGCACCAAGGGGGGCCCGGGCTGGGCTTGGCTCCGTGGGTTTGGGTGGGGAGGGACGTTCCTGCTGCTCCCCACGGGGGACAGAGAACCTCCTCCCAGCCCTGGCAGTGCTTGGGCTGCGGGCCCTGGTGCCACCCGTCCCCAGAGGGTGGGACTGCCCTCCCTGTGCCCCCAGAACCGCCTGTGGCGCAAGAACAGGTCCCTCAACGCCGGGTCCCACTGCGTGGGCGTCGACCCCAACAGGAACTGGGCCGTGGGGTTTGGAGGTGAGGGCGGCCCCACGCTGGGAATCTGCCATCCCTGGGATCATCCCGGCTTTCCCGAGGGACAGGGACCTCACCTGGGCTCCTGCAGGTGCTGGCTCCAGCAGCAATCCCTGCTCCGACACCTTCCACGGCCCCTTCCCGCACTCTGAGAGGGAGGTCAAGGCCATCGTGGACTTCATCCGCGGCCATGGGGACGTCAGGTCCGTCATCTCCATCCACAGCTACTCCCAGATGCTGCTTTTCCCCTATGGATACACGGCAGCGCCCTCGCCCGACCACCAGGAGCTGGTGAGGTGGCCCCAAAACGTCCCAAGGGCTTGTTCCCAACCGGTTCTGGGCTCTGGATCCCGCTGTCCCAAGGTCCTGGTCCACCACATCCCACCACTTTTGGGCTCCAGATCCTGCTGTCCCAAGGTTTTTGATCCACCAGATCCCACAAATTTTAGACTCCTGATCCCCCTGGCCCAAAGTCCTGGTCCACCACATCCTGCCACTTTTGGGCTCTTGATCCTGCTGTCCCAAGGTTTTTTCTCCACCACATCCCACCAGTCCCAACCCTGCTGTCCTAAGGTCCTGGCCCATCAGATCCCACCCCTCTCGGGCTCTCGTCCCAAGGTTTTTGCTCCCCCAGCTCCCCCCCATTCTGGGCTCTCCTTGCAGAACGAGCTGGCCAAGAAGGCCGTGAGCGCCTTGGCCGCCGTGTACGGCACCAAATACACCTTCGGCAGCATCGCCACCACCATCTGTGAGTGTCCTCCCTCCCTCCCTCCCTCCTCCCTGCCCGCAGCCGGGACCGGCGTTCCCCCGGGAAGGCGATCCCGGCGCTCTCCTCTCCCTGCAGACCCGGCCGGAGGCACCACTGTCGACTGGGCCTACAAGCTGGGGGTGAAATATTCCTTCAGCCTGGAGCTGCGGGACACGGGGCAGCACGGCTTCCTCCTGCCCTCCAGCCACATCCTGCCCACGGCCACCGAGACATGGCCTGCCCTGCTGGCCATCCTGGGCCACAGCCTGGAGCAGCCCCGCTGAGCCACCCCCTCCCCAGTGAACCCCCTGGCACTCCTGTCTCCCTCACCTAATGAACCCCCTGGGCACTCCTGGTTCCTTCCCCCAATAAACCCCCTGGGCACTCCTGGTTCCTTCACCCAATAAATCCCCTGGGCACTCCTGGTTCCTTCCCCCAATAAACCCCCTGGGCACTCCTGGCTCCCTCACCCAATGAACCCCCTGGGCACTCCTTCCCCCAATGAACCCCCTGGCACTCCTGGCTCCTTCCCCCAATGAATCCCCTGGGCACTCCTGGCTTCTTCCCCCAATGAACCCCGTGGGCACTCCTGGCTTCTTCCCCCAATGAACCCCGTGGGCACTCCTGGCTTCTTCCCCCAATGAACCCCCTGGCACTCCTGGCCCCTTCCCCCAGTGAACCCCCTGGGCACTCCTGGCTCCCTCACCCAATAAACCCCCTGGGCACTCCTGGTTCCTTCCCACAATAAACCCCCCTGGCCCCTTCCTGCAATAAACCCCCTGGGCACTCCTGGCTCTGTTTGTCCATGGAAAGGGGCCTGGGTGGGGATCCCCACTTGTGGGTTGGGCCCCCAGCCCCCAGTGTTGGGCCCTGCAGGGAGGGGCAGGAGCAGGACGGGCAGTTTTGGGGCCCCCAAAGCCGGAGCTGGGGGGGTTTGAGCAGCTTCGCCCCCTCGGCCCCTCCATGGGGATCTCTCTGTGCACGTGGGAGGGGAAATCAGCACCTGCTCCCACCTCTGCTAGGCCGGGCTTTAAACCAGATTCTTTAAACCAGATTCCCAGGCCAAGCTCTAGGCCACGTTCCCAGGCCAAGCTTTAGGCCACGTTCCCAGGCCAAGCTCCAGGCCACGTTCCCAGGCCAAGCTCTAGGTCATGTTCCCAGGCCAAGCTCTAGGTCATGTTCCCAGGCCAAGCTCCAGGCCAGGTTCCCAGGCCAAGCTCCAGGCCATGTTCCCAGGCCAAGCTCCAGGCCACGTTCCCCCAGCACGGTCCTGGTTTCGGGTCCATCTCCCGGCTCTCTCCATGTGTAAATGGCATCTCCCCCTTTCCCAACCCCACCTCTCTTTCTGTCCCCGCTGGGCCGGAGGGATTGGTGGGGTTTGGCCCCTCCTGTCCCCCCTGGCCGGTGCCTCCCCCGCGGCCCGGCAGGTTCCTGGAACAGGTTTTTCCAGGCCTGGCAAGGCCGTGGATGGAGGGAGGGCACGGCCTGACCTTGGCGGTGCCAGGCCGGTCCTTCCCACGGCGCTGGGAAAAGGGGCAGGTGGCACCAGGGGATTTAAGGGGCGCGGGGGTGGCCGCGGGACACGAGCCCGGCTGTCCCCACTGACCATGAGGGTCCCCGCGCTCTTGGCCGCCCTGGTGGCCGTGGCCGCCTGCACCGAGACCTTCGTGGGGTACGGGGGCTGCGCCGCGGGGACGGCGGCGCTGGCGGGGCCGGGAGGAGCTGCCTCGGCCCCTGGGGGGGCTCAGGGCAGCTCCCCGGGCTGGGGGCACGGGCGGGGTGGGAACTGGGCTGGAGCCAGGGGGGCAGATCTGGTCCTAAACCCCCCGACCCCACAGGCAGCAGGTGCTGCGCGTGGTCCCCACCAGCCCCGAGGAGCTGCAGAGCCTGCAGGAGCTGCAGGGACTGGAGCACCTGAAGGTACAGGGCCCTTTGGGGTGGGGTTTTGGGGCTGGATTCGGGGTTGGGGTTGGGCTTTGGGGTTAGATTTTGGGCTTGGATTTGGGGGGTAGAGTTGGAATTGGATTTTGGGGGTTGGATTTGGGGGGTGGATTTGGGGTTGGGTTTTGGGCTTGGATTCAGGGTGGGATTTGGGCCAGCGCCGGGAGGGGGTTGGATTTGGGATGGGGGGAACCAACCTGGACAGAAGCTGCTGCTGGTGGCCGGGGGGGTGCAGCCTGAAGCAGGATCTTGATTTCTCCCCTTTCTCACCTGGATTTGTCCGTGTCCAGCTGGATTTCTGGCTGGCCCCCCGTGGCCTGGGCTCTCCCGTGGATATCCGGGTGCCCTTCCCGAGCCTGCAGCCTGTCAAAGCCCACCTGGAGGCCGCCGGGGTGTCCTACTCCATCATGATCCAGGACGTGCAGGTCAGTGGAGCCCCAGGGCAGCTGGGGGGGACTCAGGGGCTCATCCTGCTGGGAATTAGGGCCCATGGTGCCCCGTGTGCCCCAGGAACTGCTGGATGAGGAGCAGAGGGAGATGATCCGGAGCAGCCGCCGGCTGGCGCTCTCCACCAGCACCTTCAACTACGAGGCCTACCACACCCTGGACGAGGTGAGAGGCACAAGAGTCGGGGCCTTTTGGGGGGAAAAAGCGGCATCCTGGAATTGCTGGAGACCCCTCCCCTCCCCCTGTCCCAGATTTACGCCTTCATGGACATGCTGGTGGCCGAGAACCCCAACCTGGTGAGCAAACTGGAGATTGGCCGCTCCACCGAGAACCGGCCCCTCTACGTGCTCAAGGTGAGGGGTGGGCTCTGGGGGTGAGCGGGGAGGGGCAGCGGGGTCAGGGACAAAGAACAAAGCCAACTCCCCCTCTCTGCTGTCCCAGTTCAGCACAGGGGGCTCGAACCGCCCTGCCGTGTGGATCGACACCGGGATCCACTCCCGCGAGTGGGTGACCCAGGCCAGCGGGGTCTGGTTTGCCAAGAAGGTTTGGACACTTCCCGTGCCCGTCCTCTGTCCCCAGAGGTCCTGCAGCCGCTGTGGGACCCAGGGGGTGACCCCAGGGAGCCCCAAACCTCCTGTGCTTTGTAGATCGTCGAGGACCACGCCAATAAGGAAGGGGTGGCCTCCATCCTGGACACCATGGACATCTTCCTGGAGATCGTCACCAACCCCGATGGCTTTGCCTACACCCACAGCACGGTACTGCCCCAGCTCCCCCTCCCTGCTCCCTACAGGGTGGGAAGGGCAGCAGGGCTGGGAGCTGCTCACCCCTGGGAGGTCAGGGCTCCCTGTCCCTGTTCCCATGGGATGGGAAGGGGAGCAGGGCTGGGAGCTGCTCACCCCTGGGAGGACAAAGCCTCCTATATTGTCCCTATTCCCATGGGATGGGGAGGAGCACTGAGGTGCTGCACATCCCTGGGAGGTCAGGGCTCCCTGTCCCTGTTCCCATGGGATGGGAAGGGGAGCAGGGCTGGGAGCTGCTCACCCCTGGGAGGTCAGGGCTCCCTCTCCCTGTTTCCATGGGATGGGAAGGGGAGAGGGATAGGGATCCTGCTCCTCCCTGGGAGGTCAGAGCCTCCCTGTCCCGTTCCCATGGGACGGGGAGGGCACTCCATGGCCCTGCACAGCACTGAGGTGGCTCTGCCCTCCCAGAACCGCATGTGGCGCAAGACCAGGTCCAAGCACTCGGGCTCCATCTGCGTCGGCGTCGACCCCAACCGCAACTGGGACGCAGGCTTTGGAGGTCAGAGCCTTCCCATTCCCCCTCCGGGGCGTTCCCACTCTCTGGGTGGAGGCTCCGAGGCCGTTCCTGGCTCACAGATCCCTGGGGATGAGGTGGGATCTACTCTGTGTGCCAGATCCAAGCCCATTCCTGGCTCACAGATCCCTGGGGATGAGGTGGGATCTGCTCTGCGTGCCAGATCCGAGGCCTGGGGGCCCCACCAGGGTCTGATGGGCAGCAGAGTGGGGACCACAAGGGGAAGTCTCCATGCAGATCTCCAGGAGGAGCCTCAGGAATGTTCCTCACCGGCCACTCCTGGAGGGGTGGGAAAAACTCGGGGGGTGGAAAGGGAAAAGACCCTTTTTCCCTTGGGAGTCTTTGAGCCACCAAAGCCCATCCCGTTTTCCCCTCTCCCGTTCCCCACAGGTTCTGGGGCCAGCGGGAACCCCTGCACAGAGACCTACCATGGCCCCTACCCCAACTCGGAGCCCGAGGTGAAATCCATCGTGGACTTCGTCAAGGCCCACGGGAACATCAAGGCCTTCGTGTCCATCCACAGCTATTCCCAGCTCCTGCTCTATCCCTATGGATACACCACCACCCCGGTCCCGGACCAGCAGGAGCTGGTAGGGCTCCTGGGGAGGTTTGGGGGGGATGTGGGGCTGCTCTTCTCCTCCTCCCAGGCACCTCCATCCTGCCCCACGGAGCAGTGGGAAGCTCTGGCTCCTCTGCCAGCCCTGGGAATTGAACTTTGTGACCTTTCTTGCCTGGGAAAATCCTCTCTGGACCCCACACGCTTTGCTCTTCTGTGGCTCAGCTTTTCCTCTTTCAGCTCATCTTCTCTTCTTTTCCCCTCCTTTGGCTCATCATTTTCCTTTCTTTACCTCACCATTTTCCCTCCTTTAACTCATCACTTCCCCTCCTTTGACTCACCTTTTCCTCCTTTTTAGCTCAACTTTTTCCCTCCTTTCGTTCATCATTTTCACCTCCTTTGACTCATTATCTTCCCTCCTTCAGCTCATCCTTTCCCCTCCTTCAGCTCATCCTTTTCCCTCTTTTTACCCATCTTTTCCTTTCTTTTGGCTCATGATCTCCCCCTCACAATTCTCCCCTCACGATTTCCCACTCACGATTCTCCCCTCACGATTTCCCACTCACGATTCTCCCCTCACGATTTCCCACTCACGATTCTCCCCTCACGATTTCCCACTCACGATTTCCCCCTCACGATTTCCCACTCACGATTTCCCACTCACGATTCTCCCCTCACGATTTCCCACTCACGATTCCCACTCACGCTCCTCACGATTTCCCACTCACGATTCTCCCCTCACGATTTCCCACTCACGATTCTCCCCTCACGATTTCCCCTCACGATTTCCCACTCACGATTCTCCCCTCACGATTTCCCACTCACGATTTCCCACTCACGATTCTCCCCTCACGATTTCCCACTCACGATTCTCCCCTCACGATTTTCCACTCATGATTTTCCCCTCATGGCTTTCCCCCACAATCTCCCCTCACCTTTCTCCCTGTTCGCTCCCAGCACGAGCTCTCTGCCAAGGCCGTGGCCGCTCTGTCCTCCCTGTACGGCACCAACTACAAGTACGGGAGCATCATCACCACCATCTGTGAGTGCCTCCCCAAACCCATCCCAAACCCATCCCAAACCCACCCCAAAGCCCATGCCTCACACCACCATGGGATGAAACACCCCATAAAAATCGCCCTCCTGTTCCCTCAGACAAGGCGAGTGGAGCAACCGTCGACTGGACCTACAACCAGGGCATCAAGTACTCCTTCACCTTCGAGCTGCGGGACACGGGGCGTTACGGGTTCCTGCTGCCCGCCAACCAGATCGTCCCGACGGCCCAGGAGACGTGGCTGGCCCTCCAGGTCATCATGGAGCACACCCGGGACAACCTGTACTGAGCGGCATCGGCGGCTGCAGAGGGGGAGAGCCCAGGAAATAAACAGAGGAGAAAAACAAAAGCGTTTTGTTGTTTTCCCTTTTTCCCAAGTCGGGTGGAAAAGCCCTTTTGGGAGATGGATCCGCTGTTCCCGCGTGTGCCAACCCAAACAGGGTGTGCTGGGCTGGAAAGGGCATGGAAAGGGCATTAAAATAGCAGGGATGAAAGGAGGAAAGGGGTTTTCCCTCTGTTCTGGTAGAGGGGAAGGGGAAAGGGCTGGTTTGGCACTGGGCAGCTGGAGCAGCTCCGGGATATGAGGCAATGATCGACAGGATTTACGGGGCTCCAGGGCTGGAGAGGGACTGGGGACAAGGCCTGGAGGGACAGGACACAGGGAATGGCTTCCCAGTGCCAGAGGGCAGGGACAGGTGGGATACTGGAAGGAATTGCTGGCTGGGAGGGTGGGGAGGGGCTGGACTGGATTTCCCAGAGCAGCTGTGGCTGCCCCTGGATCCCTGGGAGTGTCCAAGGCCAGGCTGGAGTAACCTCGGACAGTGGGAGGTGTTCCTGGGGTTGGAACTGGATGAGTTTTAAGTCCCTTCCCACCCAAACTATTCCATGGTCCCTCCTCAGGGACCGCTGCAGTCCCCAGGGAAGGGGAGCCCAGCCCCTGCCCACTCCCACCTTTGCCAGATTTTCCAAAACTCTCAAAGCTCAAATTGGGGGAAAAAAACCAAACACCCAAACCACTCAATCGTCTGGTGTCATTTACATTTAATTAAATTAAACAATTACACCTCTCAGCATTTACAGACTCTGACTCTCCACCAAACAGCACCAAGAGTCCAAACACACCCAAATCCACCAAGGCAGCGGGAAAGTCCTTCAGTCCTTCCTTGGATTCCTGGATTTGGGAGGTACCAAACAGCTCAGACCAGTTTCACCCCCTCCATAGGAGGCTGTCACGGAACCAGGGACAGGCAGCAAAGCCAGCATTTCAGCCAACACAGGGACAATTCCAAGAGCTCCTGGAGGTGACAAAGCTGCTCCCACCCCACAGGGCCCTTGGTGTTGTACCAATCCCTGCATTTCAAGCACCCAATAAATCAGGGAAATCTGAAATCATCACATCCAACCATTCCCAGCACTGCCAAGGCCACCACAAATCCACGTCCCCAGTGTCACATCCACGTGGATTTTCAATCCCTCCAGGAACGAGGACTCCACCACTGCCCTGAGCACTCTTTCCAGGATGGAATTTTCCCAGGTATCCAACCTAAACCTCCCCTGGCACAACTTGAGGCCGTTACCTCTTGTCCTGGGGCTCCCTGGGATCTCCCCTTCCCTGTGCACATCCAGCTCTGTGGAGAAGGGGGATGATGTTCCTGAATTACACAGGAGCTGCTGCTTTATTCCATCTTTTCCACCACAAGATAAAAATGGAGCTGCTGCACATCCCAACTTCCAAAGCTAAATGGGCTATTTCTGTGGTGCTTCAACACCAAATTCCTTTGAAAGCTTCCTCTAGCTTTGTTTTATTTCTTCTGTTTTCCCTATGGATGATCCTGACACAGAATCCCAATTTTGGGTGGATCTCCTCCCTCTTTCCTGGAGAAGCCCAAGGATATGGCTCTTAAGAGACTAAAACTTCCATTCCTGGAGTTAGGAGTGACTGAACACTCAGAGACACAACCAAACTGGGAATTCTGTGCAATTTCTCTCCCTCTGCCCTTTCACCAGAATTATCCCAAAATCCCCAGCGAATTTTGGGGAGGGCCTTGAACATTTCCTGCTTCAAAAAGAGGGCGAAAAAAGCACTGAAATCCCAAAATACACACACAAACCCCCATGACAATCAAAGCTGGACCAGGCTCAGCAGGGCTGGAAGTCAAGACTAAAGAGCAGGTCCTTCCTAAGCCTCACTCTGCTTTGTCACCAGGAAGAACCAGGTGATTCCCAGAAGGAAAACAGTGCCTCTCATTTTCCACGTAAGCCTCGCCCTGTTCAGCCCCACACTCCAGGGCCCTGCTGGGATTTCGGGTCCTGGTCTAACAGCAGCACAAAGTTTCCCTTGAGCCACCAAAACCTCAAAAGGAGCTCCTGCAAAACCTCTGGGAAAGGTGTAACTGGGAATAAACTTCCAGCAAAAAAGCCACAGCAGTTCCCGGAGTCCAGGAGCAAACACCACCCTCAGGTCCCAGCACCACCTCGGGCTGATTTCCAAAAACACCTTTATTAGAAATACTTCTGTTCATTAGCACAACTTAATTAAAATACTCCCCAAAAAAAGCCTTTCAAAGGATCTTCTCTCCATTTTGGCAACTTGCTGAGTGTCTCTGTGCTCCCAGGACAGTTCTGGCCCCTTCACCTCCATGTGTGTCCACAGGTGGCTCCAGGGAATGCCACGGATGCAAATCCCACCTCCTGGACTAAAAGCTTTGTGGAAGTTCCTATTGGCCCCAGACTTCACTACCAGTTTGCTCCCACCCCTACAGAGCTGTGGGATGACATTCCTGCCTCCAGGAACCCCCATTCCAGCCTTACCCGAGCTGCCTTTTCCACACCTTCGGCTGCTTTTCCCTGCAGATTCCTAAAACCACAAAGGGGCTGCACTGCTCAGGCTATTCCCAAAACCTGGATAATCCTTTATTCGGTGGGAGGAGACCCCCAGGCTATTTCCAGGGCCTGTTCTGGAGGCTGGTCCTGCTGAGCGTGCGGGAGCTCAGGGATCCCGCGCTGGAGCCGTGCAGGCTGGGGTTGCTCCTCACGGATGCGGGCTTGGAATCCCGGCTGGAAATGCCCCGGCTCAGGCGGCCTGGGGGGAAGAACAACCCACAGTCACACACTGGCTGGCCCGGGGGGAAGCTGTGGACACCCCATCCTGGAATGTTCAAGGGCAGGAGGGACGGTTGGAGCAACCTGGGCCAGTTTGGGGTTGGAGCCGGGTGATCCTTAAGGTCCCTTCCCACCCACCCTGTTCCAGGATCTTACTGGCAGTGTCCAAAGGAATGTGCTCCTCGGCCAGGTAGAACTTGAGCTTCTGCAGATCCTCTGCAGAGAACCTCCACTTGTTCTCGGCGCGGGCGGGGGGTGCTCGGGGGGAGGTTTTCCTGCGGGCGGACCCCGGGGCCGGGAGCTGGCAGCACAGCGGCAGCATGCCCGTCACCAGCCCCTCGGGGATCTTCTGGGCAACCACCTTCAGGCCTGCAGGGACACAGAGACACCTCAGCACAGTTGGGACACAGAGCCACCTCAGCACAGCTGGGACAGAGCCACCTCAGCACAGCTGGGACAGAGACACCTCAGCCCAGCTGGGACACAGAGACACCTCAGCACAGCTGGGACACAGAGACACCTCAGCACAGCTGGGACAGAGACATGTCAGCACAGCTGGGACACAGAGACACCTCAGCACAGCTGGGACAGAGCCATGTCAGCACAGCTGGGACACAGAGCCACCTCAGCACAGCTGGGACACAGCCACCTCAGCACAGCTGGGACACAGAGACACCTCAGCACAGCTGGGACACAGAGACACCTCAGCACAGCTGGGACACAGAGACACCTCAGCACAGCTGGGACACAGAGACACATCAGCACAGCGGGGCTGGGACACACCAGGCACCAGGGAAACACCGCAGGGAGCGGGAGATGCAAGAAGGAAAGTGGGCAGGAGGAGAGGGGGAATTCTGTCCCTCTGGGGAACAGCACAAGGACGTGGAGCTGCTGGAGATAGTCCAGAGGAGACCCTGGAGCTGCTCCCAGGGCTGGATCCCTCTGCTCTGGAGCCAGGTTGGGACAGCTGGGGGGGTCCCTCTCCCCTGGGAGACCTGAGAGCCCCTTGCAGGGCCTAAAGGGGCTCTAGGACAGCTGGAGAGGGACTGGGGACAAGGCCTGGAGGGACAGGACACAGGGAATGGCTTCCCAGAGCCAGAGGGCAGGGACAGATGGGAGATTGGGAAGGAATTCTTCCTTGTGAGGAGGTGGAATGGATTTCCCAGAGCAGCTGTGGCTGCCCCTGGATCCCTGGGAGTGTCCAAGGCCGGGTTGGAGCAACCTGGGACAGTGGAAGGTGTCCTCTGGGGTTGGACCTGGCTGATCCTTCAGTTCCCTTCCCACCCAAACCACTCTGTCATTCCACAATCCAACCTCCAGCTCACACAACCCTCTACTCTGTTTACCCAGGAGGTCTCAAGGAGCTCCTCCCTCCCCCAGGAGCTCTCAGGGGGCTCTTCCCATGCCCAGGGAATGTGTGGGATCCCTTCCCAGGCCCAGGGGATGTGTGGGAGCTCTCCCCACCCCCCCAGGGATGTGTGGGGTCCCATCCCAGCCCACTGACCCCCAGAGAGCATGAAGAGGTTCTCGAAGCCCCTCTCACACATGGTGGTGGCCGCCTGGCTCGCCAGGCGCTCGTCGTCGTCGTACACGATGATGATCTTCCCGTGGGCGTTTTTCTGGGGGGGTGGCTAAGGAGGCACTGCTGGGCTCGAGGGGGCAGCAAACACATTTGGGGCCACAAAAGGGGGATCTGGGACTGAGGGACTCCCCAGCTCACAAACATCGTTCATCGCTCCTGCCTGGGGAACGATGGAGCAGGAATTCAGCCTTTTCCTGCTGAATTCCCAGGGGCTGAGGCTTGGCACACGCTGGAAGGAGAATCCCCACGGGATGCAGCCTTTGGAGGCTGGCTGGTATCAGGGATCAGCAAGAAGCACCTTTGTTTAAAACCCACAACCTCCCCCAGCCAACAACTGGGAATGATCAGCCTAATCCAGCCTCCTAATCCTCTTTCTCTGCCCTCAATCCCCATCAAGGTGCTGACAGGAAGCCAAAGGATTTGAGGGATCTATCCCTGCAACAACAGGAGAGCACCACGGAGGGCTCTGCCTTCCAGCGGCCCAAATCCCAAGAAATGCCAAATCCAGCTCCCTCTGGAGCCAGGAGGAACCTGGAGGAATTTGAATCCAGCAGTGGAGCTGCCCCAGGTGATGCCAGGAGCTCCTGTCCCACCTTCCTCGGGATTCCCAATTTTGCTTGGCTGAGATCCAGCTGGTTTTGGGAGCCCCCCCTCCCCCAGACGTCCCCCTTTCTTTCCCTGTGCCAGCACTTTCCATGGAAAGGATACATATTCCAGAATACTGTTTGTGTATGGATTCATGGTCCTGGACAGCGTGGCAATAGGGTAGGAATAAGCTGCAGGAGAGGGGGAAAAAACAAAAAAAGAGGGATAAATCACCCAGTGGCTGGGATACAAAAGGGATTTACTGGGGTTCCACAGCCTTGGAAACCCTGGGAATAGAGGGATTAAGATCAGCTCAGTCCCTCCAGGGTGGATCAGGTGAGTGGTGAGGGCACCCCGAGATGTCCCAGCTGGGGCACAGAGGGAGGCAGAGCTGGGTACCCCAGCCCAGCTGGCAGTGGAGCTGTGTCCCTCACCTCCCACGATGTGGCACTGCTCGTAGGCGTCCCGATCCCGCACGTCCAGCAGCAGGAAGGGACAGTCTGGATAGGGCAGGTCCTTGGCCTGGGTGTCCTCCTTCTTGGGAGAGTCCTTCTCGATGTCCATCTCCCCCACTCCGCTGATCACACTGGGAAAGGGAAGAGCAGGCTGAGGGGGGAGCTGGGGGATCTCATTCCCAGCACTCTGGGCCTCTCCAGCAGCTCCCAGTGCTTGGGGAGAGCTGGGACAAAGCATCTTCCTGGACCCCTGAGCAGGGACAGGGGAACTCGGGATTTGGGCTCTTTCTCAAGGATTCCAGGATGGTTTGGGCTGGAAGGGAACTGAAGGATCAGCCAGTTCCAACCCCAACACATCCCACTATCCTAGGTTGCTCCAGCCTAGCCTTGGACACTCCCAGGGATCCAGGGGCAGCCACAGCTCCTCTGGGAAATCCAGCCCAGCCCCTCCACATCCTCCCAGCCAGCAATTGCTTCCCAATCTCCCATCTAACCCTCTGGCAGCAGGAAAGCATTCCCCCTTGTCCTGCCACGCCATATCCTCTTAAGAAGATCCTCATAAACCAAGATCCCTGGGAAGGCAGAGAGGGCTGAGCTGAGTAGAGCACACAGCCCCTGGATGGAATCCTACCAGCACATTTCCTCACCAGCCATTTAAACCATGCCCAGGTGGCACCAGAGCTGGATTCCACTCTCAGTCCAGCAGGAAAACCTGGCAGACCCTTCTCCCCTCACCCCAAAGCCAGGCTTTAATGAGAAATAAAGGATGAAGCCACTCAGCTGGCACTTCAACAGCTGGATCAATGGATCAAAGAGAAGGGAAGTGTGTCAAGGAGGCACCTCTGGAGCGTGGAACGCTGGGACTCCCCAGGGGCTGTGCTGTTCAGGAACAGGACTGGATTGGGGGGCTCCTCAGGGCTGCCCTTGCCGTTGGTCCCCGGTGCCACCTGGGCATCCTCACCGGCGGCAGCGGCATCTGCGGACACAGCGGGGACGTCACTGAACGAGCTGCAGGGACAGCAAGGGGCTCCTGAGCCCTGTTCCTAATCCTGCACTCCAGGGGGACAGCCTGGGCCTCATCCTCTTACGGGGATCCTTCCCCAGGGCCCCACCCTCTAAACAGAGGGCCAAACAAAGAGCCTCAGGTATTCACAGCAATGAAGGGCAAAACAACAAAGAGCCCAGATCATCAATAAAGAGCCCAAATAATCATATAAAGAAAGGACCCAAATAATCAATAAAGGGCCCACATAATAATAATGGGCCATAATAAGGGCCCAAATAATAATAACTATAACATTAATAATAAAGAGCCCAAATAATATTAATAATAAATGGCCCAGGTGGTAGTAGTAGTAGTAATAATAATAATAAAAAATGGCCCACGTAATAATAATATCAATGATATTAATGATATTGATGATATTGATGATAATAATAATAATAACGGGTCCAAATCACCAATAAAGGGCCAATAATAATAATAATAATAAAGGGCCCAAATAACCAGGTCGGCCTAAACAATAAAGAGCAGAGCCCCAAAAGTCTACAGAAAGAGCCCAAATCCCCAGGAAAGCTCCCAGGGGCTGCAGACCCCAATAAAACACAACTCTTGCCATGCACCCTCACAGATTTCTCCCAGCAGAGCAGCCAGATGAGACCTCTCCCCTCCAACCCCCCCCATCTCAGGGGTGTCAGCAGTGTTTGTGTCCCAAGCTGCAGGGCTCAGGGGAGGTTTCTCTGTCCCCAGGCGTGTCAGGAATGTTGTGTCCCAGCAGGCCAAGGTGCAGGGCTCAGGGTAGGTTTCTCTCCCTGCCCTGGGTCCCTGCCAGTCCCCCCAGCCCGTGTGAGGACAATCAGTGCCACTGTCACCCTGCAGCCTGCGCAGCTCCTCGCTGGTCACGGCCAGGCTGTCATCGCAGAGGGAGGCCACCTGCAGCACCTGCAGGACAAACACAGGGACACCCTGAGTTCACAGCCCAAAGGGCACCCAAGGCAGCAGCAAAATCCAGCCCCGAGCCCAGGGCTGGCATCAACCCCCCACTCAAGGGGTTATTAAAGCTCCAGCCCTGAGACATTCAGAGCTCAACCTTCCCTTTCCCTCTCCCCCAGTTTGTTTTTTTTTTTTTAAATAATTTTCTTGATTTTTCTTGAATTTATTTATTCTCTTCATTTACTGATCAATTTTCCCTTTTTCTTTGTTGAATATCTTGGTTTCTTACACTGACTTACAATAAGCCTGGAAGTCCCAACCTGCCCACCTGGGCCCACTGGACACAAAGCTCAGGTTTAGGTGCTTTTGGACCCACCTTTTCTCTTTTTTTAAGAGGTTTGAGGATCCTTTCAAATTAAAGAACAAATAAAATCAGCAATGACCTCAAAGAGGGAGTCGCCACAAACTTAAATTTGTAACTAAAAACACTCGGGCCACTCAGGAAATTCAGGATTTGCTTTTAATTAAGGGAAATTTATAAGGGCAGCAAGAAGCCAAGCCAGGGGAATTTCATCCTAAGGCTACAAAACCACAAAGAAAGTTTTATTCCAAGGAAAACCACTGTTTCCTAAGAGATTTTGGGAGGCCAGAGAGGGATCTGGTACCTACCAGCTGGGCAAACGTTGTCACCTTCAGCCTCTTAAACAGCTCATCCTTTTTATACCTGTAATCTTCCAAAACACAAAACACAAGAGGTAAATGTTACTGCTCATTCCCAGCTTTTGGGAAGACCAGGAGCTGGCTTAATCCCAGCTGTTCTCTGGGATTAAGGTTCCTCTTCTCCAAGCAGGATTTTCAGGACACTGAGTCTCTGTCGAAGGGCTGGAAATCTGGAGGTTTGGGGAAATTCGGGTTATAAAGGGAGGGTTTAATCAATGTCAGTTATAAAGAGGAGGTTTAATCAATGCCAGTTATAAAGGGAGGGTTTAATCAATGTCAGTTATAAAGAGGAGGTTTAATCAATGCCAGTTATAAAGAGGGGGTTTAACCAATGCCAGTTATAAAGAGAGATCCTTTCCAGACATGATTAAAGTGGAGGAGGCAGATTTAGTTGTTTTGGGGCTCAAATATGAATCCCTTTTGGAATCAGCTCAGGATTTGGGTTTTTCCCCCAGTCCCGCTGGTTTTGGAGCCCACTGGGGTCACAAAGCCCCTGAACTCCAAAGCTTCATTTCCCTGAGTTATTAATTAGTGGGAATTAGAGCAGGGCCATTCCAAGCACTAAGCTAAAGACGGAGGTTTGATCTCACCCATGAAAACATCCCAGGTTTTCGTGGTTTATCTGACAATTCAACTCCAATTCCTGGGATTTGCTGCCAGGGGATCCCTGCAGGGGTGGATAATTGACACAAGAAAGGGGACTAATTGGATCTTAAGGGATAATTGACACAAGAAACGGGGCTAATTGGATCTTAATCCTAGAGGCAAAGCTTAAGGAGCAAGAAAACAGAGAGGCAGAGATTCCCAGAGCCAAGGGAAGGATGGAAGTTTGATCCCAGCTGGATCCTGGAGCTGCAGAAACAGCAGGAAGGGAGGAACCTGCTGGGAGTGACAATTATCAGCAGAGAGATCCTGAGGTGAAAGAGCCTCTCCTGGGGAGCAAGGGCAGCTCTGTCCTTTGGGAATGGGAGATCCTGATCCCTCTCCAGCTGCTCCCAGAGGGATAACAATGGATGACAATGGAGCACGGGGATTTTTAGCAAATCCACTCAGTTAAGCAAGTGTAAATCCCCTAAAACCATCTGCTGAGTGCCCCATTAGCCTGGGGGACAGGAGAAGGAGGGAGGGCTCCCAGCCACATTCCTGCACAGAATTCCCACAGGAATAGCTGGTGGAAGCAAGGGAAGGAACTCTGGAGGTTCAGGTCTCTCTTCCCAGCGCACTCAGAGCAACCAGAATTCCCAAATACCACATCCCACCCCCTATAATTTTGATTAGGCTGCAAAACAACCCTTCTTGCTACTCCCAACTTGTCCTGGGAAAAGGGAGCCCACCCAACCTATCCCTGGAAGGTGCCCTGAGCATCCCAACCAGGACAGGAGGTGAATAATTGGCATCCCCAAATCCAGTTTAACTGGGAAGTGCCCCTCCTGCTTCCTGCCAAACCACCTGTGTTCAAGCCTGGAGCTGGGCTTGTTAAATCCTCCTTGAACTCCTCCAAAACAATCAGCATTAATTATCTCCCTGTCCTGCCCCACACAACCCCCCCTGCTCAGAACCCCCCTAAAGAGCCTTTCAGTCCCAGGGAATAAATTTAAGTGAAAGGATAAAATAAAATGCTGGATGTATAAAAACACCCTGCTGTAAAGACACAGCTCCTGGACAGTTTCTTCCTCCTTTAATTAACAATTATTTCTCCCAGAAAAGAAACCTTTTCCACCCCCAAAACCCATCCCCTGCCAAAAGCAGCCCCACGTACCCGGCTGGGTCCCGGCAGCTCCGCTGGAGTTTTCAGACATGTTTTGGGGGCTGTTTGATTTTTGAATCCCTGCAGTGGCAGGGGAGGATGGAGAGCCGTGTGTGGCTGCAGCCTGGCCGGGATAACTGGAGGTGGTGGCTGCAGCCTGGCCGGGATAACTCCTGCAGTGTCGATTGCGGGTTTAACTCCTCTCGGGTTACATAAGAGACAGAGCGGAGCCTGTGCCTGTGCCTGTGCCCAGCCCAGCCCAGCCCAAAGGGTGTCGGTTTTCCCTGGGAAAGCAGGAGGGGCCCGGGGCTCTGTCCCACCTGCCAACAAAGGGCTCTGTTCAAACCTTCCCCCTCAGCAACCACAGGGAACAAACAGGCCACAAAAACCCCGCCTGGGACACAAATGCAGGGGAACGCTCTGGGAACGGGAGCTGGGAACGGGATCCTTCAGCAGGAATGGGAAGGGGGTGGGAAAAGCCCTGCTCTGGAAATGGGATGTTCAGCAGGAATGAGAAGGGGATGGGAAAAGCCCTGCTCTGGAAATGGGATGTTCAGCAGGAATGAGAAGGGGATGGGAAAAGCCCTGCTCTGGAAATGGGATGTTCAGCAGGAATGAGAAGGGGATGGGAAAAGCCCTGCTCTGGAAATGGGATGTTCAGCAGGAATGAGAAAGGGATGGGAAAAGCCCTGCTCTGGAAATGGGATGTTCAGTAGGAATGAGAAGGGGATGGGAAAAGCCCTGCAGGGTTAAGGAGAGATGGGGAAAAGCCAAGGGGGCTGCTCTGGGGAAGTTTAGTGGGAAATCACCCCTGGAAATCACACCTGGAAATCAAATTGCCAGGCAATCCCAATGCCCATCCCAGTGAATGCTCCTGGATGGGACTTGCAGTTAATGTGCCTTTCTGTCACCCTTGAAAGCTATTTATAAATAAAAATAACCTGTAATAATACTATCAAAATCTATGTATAAATAAAAGTAACGGGTAATAATATAATATTAGAATCTATTTCTAAATAAAATTAAACTCTGATATTACAGTAGATATTAAAATCTATTTATACATTAAAATAACCTGTAATAATAATATCAAAATCTATTTATAAATAAAAGTTAATAATAAGTAATATTAAAATGTATTACTAAAAATTTTATGAACATATTTATAGAGAAATATAATTTGTAATATAAAAATATTAAAACCAACGTATAAATTTATAATGAACAATATTAAAATATATTTATAGATAAAACCAATTTATTATTATAGTAAACAATATTTAAATATATTTATAATTAAAGGTAATTTCTTAGCCTGGACAACCCAAAATGTTTAAAATACCAGCATTTACTGGGGGTGAACTCAGTGGAAACACCGAAATTATCTGGGTGTTTTTTTCCTGCCCTGGGGAATTCTGAGAACAAATTTCACTTCCACAAAGGGCAAAGAGCTCAAGATGGGCCCTCAAAGGGAAAGGAAACCCCAGAATTCCAGGCTGGGCCTTCCCAGGGGAGTCCCCAGGGAAGAATCTCCTGGGATTGCCCCCTGAATGCCCCATCCTGCCCCGTTCCCCCCCCAGTACTCACTTCTCTTCATCTCCTCCACCTTCTCCAGGTATTTGGACAAACTGTTTCCTACAACAACAACAACAACAACAACATCAGTTGATCCCAATTATTTATTTCTTGGAGGGGTTTTTTCCCAGGTCTATTAAAGGCCAAAATTGAAGTTTTTGGAAGGAAAGAGCTGTTTGTTGGGGATTTTCTTTCCCCACCACAACACAAGGCACAAAAATCCCACCTTTTCCCTCTTTTCCAAACTGAAAAATCCAAGGATCTGCTGCCTCTTCCCCAGGGTTTGGGAGAGGAAAACAGAAGCAGGTGCTGGATCAAATTCAGCTGCTTGAACACCAAAAGAAAGACCCCCCCAAATAATTATTTTGGCCCAAAGCCTGGAGAAGATCGAAGGAAAAATCCACGTGGAGGAATTCCAAGGGCAGTAAATTCCATGGGAACCATCACAACAGAGCCTGGCCCGGTTTAAAGCTATTTCAACCCCTCTTTTAAATGATTTCAACCTCAAGTTTTAATTTAAAAAAGGAAGAACAGAGAAAATAAACAGGTTTGGACTCCAAACACACCATTTAATCTCCGTTTTGGAGGACATGCAAAATGGTTTGGGATGATAAATATAAATATATATAAATATATATATGAATATGCATAAATACATAAAAATATAAAAAAATATTAATAATTCTGCAGGTTTGGGGTTAGAGATGAAATAATATAACAAAATAGAAATATAAAATATTATGAGTAATTATTTATACATATATCATATCATCATCATGTTATATAATGTTTATACATTATGTTATATATTTATTTATTTATTTGCCTCACCAGTGTCCAGGCGGGTCTTGACGTGCTGGTATTTGGGGTTCTGGGGGATGCGCCGGGTCAGGTACTGGGGAAAAGGGGGAGAGACAGGGAGAAAGCCAAGGGGTTAAAAATATTTTAAAACGCTTTTTGAAGAATATTTAAATACTTTTAAAAGGGAAAAAAACCCAAACAAACAAAACGAACAGAAAATGCGATTTTTGAAAGGCAGGAGAAAGAGGAGCGAGGCAAGAAAACCCCTGAACCCCCACCCGGGGATTAAATTCCCACTTAAAACCTTAAGAGGCGAATTTTTCCCGGTTTATGGCCACTAACAGGCGAATTTCCCCCCTCTTCTAGTCACTAAAAGGTAAATTTCTTGTGTTTTTTTTACTACTAAAAAGGGAAACTCTCCCGCTCTTTGGCCACCCAAAGGCAAATTTCTCCCGTTTTTTGGCCGCTAAAAAGCAAGTTTCTCCCATTTTTTGGCCACCAAAATGCAAATATCTCCCGGTTTTGCCTCTAGAAAGCAAATTTCTCCCAAGTTTTGGCTACTAAAAGGTAAATTTCTCCCTTTTTTTTTTTTTGGCCACCAAAATTTAACGTTTTTGGCCCCTGAAATACAAATTTCTCCCGCTTTTTGGGCGGTAAAAGGCAAATTTCTCCCAGGTTTTGGCCGTTAAAAGGCACGTCTTTTGCCCCTAAAACAAAAATTTCTCCCGTTTTTTGCCCCTAAAAGACAAACTCCTCCCGTTTCTAGGCGGCGAGCGCGCTCCGTTTCCCGTCCCGCGGTGCTGCCCGCGGAGCGGCCGTGCCGTGGCCGCAGCCGTGTCCCCACCTGAGCTCCGCCGATCGCCGCCTTGGCCGCCATGGCGCCGCCTCCCTCACAGCGTTCGCTCGCTCGCGCCGCGCGCACCCCGCAGCAAGGCCGGCGCTGATTGGCCGCCCGCCGCGCCCTCGCCCAATCGGGAGCCTCACCGGACGCTGCGCGCGCGTTGCCGGGCGACGGCAGGGACGCGGGGGGCGGGGCCGGGCGGGGCGGGCGGGGCCGCGCGCGCGCCCTTCTCCCTCTGGCGGCCCCGCCCCTCCGCCGAGGCCACGCCCCCAGCCGGCCGAGCGCGCGGCGGCGCCCGCGGCAGGTGAGGGGTGAGGGGCGCGCGCGGGCCCCGCCCACTGAGCCCCCTCTGAGGGGAGGGGCGGGGCCTGAGGGGCGCGCGGGGGCGGAGGAAAGGGCGCGGTGCGCGTGGCGGTGTGGGCCGGGGCTTGTGGGGTGTGGCTGAGGGTGTGGCGGGGGCGGGGCTTGTCAGCCCCCTTGGGCTGCTGTGGACCCCCAGTGACCCCCCTGCTCCGGGGGGCGATGGACCCCCTCAGACCCCCAGTGATCCCACGACCCCTCAGACCCCCAGTGATCCCACGACCCCCTCGGACCCCCCAGTGATCCCACGACCCCCTCAGAACCCCCAGTGATCCCATGACCCCCTCAGACCCCCCAGTGGGTCCATGACCCCCTCAGACTCCCCCCTAGGTCCATGTTCTCCCTTCATCCCGTAATGACCCCATGACCCCCTCAGACCCCTATGGGGCGATGACTCCCCTTCTCAGACCCCAAATGGGTCCATGTCTCCCCTCAGCCCCCACATAGGAACATGGCCCCCTCAGACCCCAAATGGGGACCTCAGCCCTCAAAAGAGACCCACATCCTCCCTCAGCCCCCAGACCTTTGCTGGACCTGCCACCCTGGGGATGGGCAGGTTATGGGGCCGGGGGAGTTTTAGGGTCCTGCAGGTGGGTTATGGGAATGGGGGGAGTTTTGGGGGTCTGGAAGTGAGTTATGGGACCATGGGAGTTTTGGGGCCCCCGGGCTGGACTGTGGGCCCTGGGGGGAGCGTTCCCGTGTGCCGCTGTTCCCGCAGGATGAAGGAGTGGTGGGTGCAGGTGGGGCTGCTGGGGGTGCCCCTCCTGGCCGTGTACCTGCACATCCCCCCCCCCCAGCCCTCGCCCCCCCTGCGCTCCTGGAGAGCCTCCGGAACCTTCTTCACCTACAAGGACCAGAACATCTTCTACAGAGGTGAGGGGGGAGCGGGGCTGAGGCCCTGGCCGTGTTCCCGAGGGAAGATCCGTCCCAAAAGGGAAGGGATCCAAGAGGAGCCACTGCCTGGAGCCAGCGGGGCTGGAGCTCAGCACTGAGTTCCCAAAGGGGACCAATGTTCCCCCTCAGACCCCAAATGGGATCCATGTCCTCCTCAGACCCCAAATGGGACCAACTTCCCCCTCAGACCCCAAATGGGATCCACACCCCCTCAGACCCCAAATGGGACCCATGTCCTCCTCAGACCCCAAAAGCAGGATGACCCCAAACCCTGGGGAAGGTCTGTTCCTGTACCCTGGGGGTGTTGGGAAGGATCCCAAAAGCCTCTGATGGATCCCAGCACGGAGAAGATCCTGGGAGCCCCTTTTCCCTGGAACAGCAGTGGCAGCTCCAAATAACTGGGGATGAATGAATCCCTGGATTCCCCCCCGTGCCCGGCACCAGCGGCCGCTCCGGGTGTCCCACTGGGAAGTTGTGGTGGGAATCCACCCCACCCCTGGGTTTTGGGGAGCAAGGGCAGAGGCTCCTCCGTGCCCTGGGGGGGACCCAAACCCCAAGCCCTATCCCAAAAGGCGGGAATTCCGGTGGCAAGGGTAATCCCGAGGTGTGCCCGTTCCCTGCAGACTCCGGCGGCGCCGTGGGCAGCTCCGACGTCGTGATCCTCCTGCACGGCTTCCCCACCTCCAGCTACGACTGGAGCAAGGTGAGGGCAGCGGGGCAGGGGCGGCTGCACATCCCGGGGAGGGCTCAGCCCCGCTCCAGGGGACAATTCCCGATCCCTTCTGGAGCCCCCACTCTGGGATATCGACCCCGTTCTCCCGACACTCTGCCTGGGATCCGCACTCTCCTCACGCTCCGGCCCAAAGCTGGGGAGGACCCACAGCTGTTTCCTGGACAAGGTGTTTGTTGGTTTGGGGTTTTTGGGATGGTCTGGCTGTTTATTGGGAAATTGGGACCTCCTGCTGTTTTCCTGGAGTGGGAAGAGGCTCCCTGGGGGGTCGGGGTGGAGCAGTGCCCAGATGCTCCTTCCAGAGGTTTTTTTTTTTAATGGATTTCTCCCCTTCCCAGATCTGGGAGGGGCTGACCCAGCGCTTCCACCGGGTCATCGCTCTGGATTTCCTGGGATTTGGCTTCAGTGACAAGCCCGTGAGTAGCCCCGGGGAGGGGTTTCCTGGGTGCTTTCCAGCTCCAAAGCCGGGCATTTTGGAGCACAGCTTTCCCTCCCACTCACACCTGGAAAGGGGATAAGACGTGGGATAAAAGGGATCCCAACAGGGGGAGGGATAGGGGAGCTTTGTGGTGGAGCCTCACGTGGGTTTGAGGTGATCCCAAAGCACTCCTTGATCCCTTTGGAGCATGGACAGCGCGGACACCACCGGTGATCCGGGACATCCCAATGCTCGGTCCAGGCTCACAAACTCCTGCTCTCCATCCCAGCAGGGGGTTTCTCCTGGGATTTGCAGGCTCAGGCTCTCACTGGGGCCCCTCTCCCACTTTTCCAGAGGCCCCACCGCTATTCCATCTTCGAGCAGGCCAGCGTTGTGGAGGGGCTCGCGCGGCACCTCGGCCTCCAGCACCACCGCATCAACCTCCTGGCCCACGACTACGGCGACACCGTGGCCCAGGAGCTGCTCCACAGGTCATTCCAGCCCTGGCACCCCTGGCTGTCCCCATGGACACCATTCCAACCATTCCAGCCCTGGCACCCCTGGCTGTCCCCATGGACACCATTCCAGCCCTGGCACCCCTTGCTGTCCCCACGGACATCATTCCAACCCTTCCAACCCCTGGCACCCCTGGCTATCCCCATGGACACCATTCCAAACCCTGACACCCCTTGCTGTCTCCATGGACACCATTCCAACCCTGGCACCCCTTGCTGTCCCATGGAGATGATTCCCAGCAATCAGTGGGATCCCCCTTTTCCTCGTGCCTCCCAAGGCTGGGAGCTCTCAGGGTGTGTCATTCCCGAGGGTCCCACCCATGCAAATCCCAGCAGGGATCCAGGGCTGGCCTGGCCCTGTCCTGGGCGGTCATTCCTTGGCTCCTGGAGGGGTTGGGATGGGTGCCACCTTCTCCTCTGGTGTCCCCAGGTACGAGCACAATAAAACCGGGAGCATCCTGATCAACAGCCTCTGCCTGTCCAACGGAGGTGAGCGGTGCCTGGGGAGGTGGGATCTGTGGGATGGGGATCCCTGGGATGGGGTGGCCTCCCCATCTCCCTGGCCTGAACCCCAGGAGAGGTGCACTGAGGGTGCTGTGAGCAGGAGACCGATCCCCACTCCCTGTCCCACATTCCTGTCCCCACGAGGACGGGGAGGGACTGGGACATGAGGAGCGAAGCACCTGCAGGTTTCCAGCTCTGCTCTCTGCCTCCTTCCAGGGATTTTTCCGGAAACCAACCACCCCCGGTTCATCCAGAAGGTGAGCTACTCCCCCCTCTGGCCGGCCTGAATCCCAGAATCCCAAATAAACACCCCTTGGAGCGCTGGGGTCCCTCAAACCAGGAGACCTTGCGGGCGTCTCCGGGGTGGGGGCTGAGCTGGGCAGTGGTTGGGAAGAGCAGGATTTATCCAGGTGTTCCATCCATGTTTTCCCTCCTCCCCAGCTGCTCAAGGACGGGGGGCTCCTCTCCCCCCTCCTCCTGCGCCTCATGAACTTCTTCTTCTTCTCCCGCGGGTGAGCTGAGCTGCTGCGGCTGCCGCTCCAACGGGACACAACAGGGAAGGAATTCCTGCTGGGAGGGTGGGCAGGGGCTGGACTGGATTTCCCAGAGGAGCTGTGGCTGCCCCTGGATCCCTGGGAGTGTCCAAGGCCAGGTTGGAGCAGCCTGGGACAGTGGGAGGTGTCCCTGCCCGTGGAAATGGAGGATCCTTAAGGTCTTCTCCAAGCCAAAGCATTCCATGAGTCCATGAATTAGCTCAGCAGGGGTTTGGCAGGTGAGGGGATTCCCTGGAGAGATTTGCCTCTGGATTTGAACCTTGACCTTCCGGGCAGGTCCCTGTCCAGGCTGGGCTAATACTAAACCACCTGCTTCCTTCTCTCCTGCCAGGACTGGAATTCCACATTCCAGAGGCAACAAACCCCCACCCAGGCCCTGCCTTTGGTGCACAAGCACCTTTAGAGATTTTTCCCAGCGTTGAAAACCCTCTTTTTCCACCCCCCTGCCCCCCCAAAAAACAACTCCCTCTCCAAACTCCCTTTTTTGCCAGGCTTGGAGCAGTTTTTGGGCCCCACACACAACCCTCGCAGGCAGAATTCTGGGACATGTGGACGGCAGTGCGGAATAATGATGGGAATCTGGTCATGGACAGGTGGGTCACCCGGAATTCCTGCAGGAGATCAGCTGGACACCTGCTCCGAGATTCCCAGAGCTCATCCAGGCTCTCTGGAGCCTCCAGCTGCCTCTGGTGGCAATCTGGGATCATCTTCATCCCAGAAAAGAGCTGGGGTGTGATGTAGGAGTGGGAATTCTCACTGGGACGATGCAGGGCAGGTAAATGAAGTTTGGAATTGGGTCTGAGCCTGCAGTGATCCAATGTGGCAGAGGCCGGATCAAACCATGACACTCCAGTTTGGGAAGGTCCTGTTCACTCCACTTTGGAAGGTCCTGTTTGATCCAGTTTGGGAGCTTGGGAAGGTCCTGTTCACTCCAGTTTGGGAAGGTCCTTTCATTCCAGTTGGGAAGGTCCTGTTCACTCCAGTTTGGGAAGGTCCTTTCATTCCAGTTTGGAAGGTCCTGTTCACTCCAGTTTGGGGTTTTAGGATGTTTTGGTTGTGAGTTCAGTGTCCC